CGCCCGCAGCATCAGCCACCTGACGCAGAGCCTTCGGGATCGAAATCTGCACAACAGCACCGGCATGTCGGTCGCTTTCCGAGTCGTATCGGCCTGTACGATCCTCATTCTGGTTGTATGGGGAGCCAAGCGCAACGGCGGGCGAGTCTCGAGCTCGGCCACTACGGATTTGCGCCGCTCCATCGAGGTGCTTCGCTCGATGGAATCGGTGTGGCAGTTCTGCGGCAAGGCTGTCGACATCCTCGAGTCCATCATGTCGTCAACCCAGACCAGCGTGACGCGCCAGGCATCGAACGATCAAGGCATCAAGCGATCGCGCGATGGTTCCGAAGTCGTAGATGTCAAAGTGGAAGGCGATGCACCGTGGGCGCAAGCCTCTCGGCCAACCAACTCTGGCACGAGCAAGGCGGCATCGGCACCAGGCAAAGGGCATCACAAGGCGCCAGTCAAGTCGGCCTCTCCCGAGGCGCTTGGTGCGAGCGCGCAGCCTTTGGCGCCGGAAGCAAGGCAGCTGCCGCTGTCCACGCTGCAGCTTGCTTCCATGACGCCGCAGTCGAGCGCGGAACAGTCGCCCTCTTCGGCAACCGACGCAAATCCACGGCCGACGGCCGAGGCTGCGTTGGTGGATCCGTTTGGACCCAAGACGCCGCAACCGCCGCAGCGTGCGCGCATCCCGTCGTTGAGCGGCGCCTCGGGCATCCCTGCCGCGCTGTCGTTCGGGTTTCTGACACCGTCGGGGGGCAACTGGGCTCCGGGCATGGAAGCGGACTACTTGCAAGGCCCGCATGCACAGATGGGCTACCAGTCGATGCCCTCGATCACGCCGTCGATCTTTGACAACCTCAACCTGCCGCCCTCGACGGACGAGATGCTGCCTCCCAACGTCTCCAACCTGGCCGGCATGTCGCAGTTCAACTATGGCGCGAGCAGTAACGGCACCAACGGGCTCGGCGTCCAAGGAGACGCCTACGGCAATTTTGGGCGGTACTATGGCGGTGGCGACAACGCCTTGGGCGCGTCTCAAGGCCCAGAGGAAGCGCGCGCACAGACGGGCGATGTCAATACACCCCAATCCGACGGCAGCAACGGCCTAGCCTCGTACGCGTTTGAACTGCTTCAGAAGCAGAGCGTGTGGAACCTCGACGACGACTCGCTCAGCTTCCTCCAACAGTGCGGTCAGCAGAGCTGATTGCAACCCATCTTTCAATCCCCCACCTCTCATGCTCTCGTTCTCTCCCTTTTGTATTATCTTGGGAATGCTCCCGTGTGTATCTTTAATGCTGGCGCAAAGTCAAAGATTGCAGTTGGATTCGTGCTGCGCAAAGTCGACGGGGTATAGAGGTGTGTTCGAGGTGTTGATCAGATGACAAAGACGCGTGTGCGGCGGAGACCGCCTGGACCGGAGGAGCCGCGCAAGCCGGTGCTGAGCGCCGCAGGATGCTTGCGCTGGAGACGCGCAAAGGCCTCGTGGATGTGCGAGGCGAGCAGCGGCGTTTCGACCGACGGCGGCACGGAGAAGAGCGTACACAGCTCGTCGTCGGCGGCGGCTGCGGCGTTGTTTTCCGCTGTGTCTGCGTCTGCATCTGCGTCGGTTGTTGCCGTGACGGTGCGGTCGGCTGCCGTGGCCGAGTCTTCGGCATCGGATGCTGCGGTTGCGCCAGACTCGGATTTGGGACGCTTGGTCGCCGAAGTAGCGGCAGCGTTCTGTTCGAGCTTGCGCTTTTGCGGAGGCTGCACCTCTGCACGCAGCCTCGCCGCCTGCTGTTCCTCAAGCGCCTTTTTGATCGCCACGGCGCCCAGACACAGTTCGCGCACCACCTCAAAGGCGAGGAAGCCGAGGATGTCGATGATGTCGTCGTTGGGCTTGACGTCGAGATACGCGTTGGAGTTGATGAACTCGCGGAACTTCTTGGCCTTTCGGAACGTGAAACTCGCCTGCCTGCATTCGGAGTAGTGGACGTACTCGTCGCGCGTCATGCGTCTGGTTGCCTCGTCGGCATCCTTGAGTCTCTGCATGGACGCTTCGTGCGCCTCGATGTCATCGTCATCTTCCTCCTCCTCGCCGTCGGCGCCGGGCAGCGCTAGCAAATGCTCCGAGTAGATGGACGAAATCTCCCACGGCAGCCGGATCTTCATCTTGGTCGCCTTCATGCTCGGCCCTTCGATCGCTGTTGGGTCGTCGAGCGCATCCATCTCGGTGGCTCCACCCGGAGCGCCGCCTGAGTCGCCCGAGTCCTTGGCGTTCTTGCGCACATCTTTCCAGCTGAGATACGTGCGCAGTCGGTTGACCTTGGCGCGGTCGTAGCGGATGAGGAAGATGAGATCTTCGGGAGAGAGGTACTTGGATGCGCGGCGTTGTGCAAGACGTCGTGACTGGATGATCATCTCGATGACCTGGCTGCGCACGATGTCTTCGACGAGGCGCGTTACTTCGGGCGCAGGATCAACGACATCGGCAAAGACGAACATCATCTGTGCAATCTCGACTAGGTAGCGGTACTCGGGGGTGGGCGCGTCGGACGTGTCTGGCTCCATCCCGGGCCCGGGAAAGGAGCTCGACGCCGAAGCGGCGCCCTTTGACATTGTTGTGTAGGTCGATGGCCTTCGAGTGGGTCGGAGGGTGTGGCTGGCGCGCTCTGATGTAGCTTGTGTCTCTGCAATGGAGAGGTAATGGGGTGAGACCATATCGCGGTCTTGACGGCAGCGGAACAAGACGTGGATGCAGCGCCCCCGCGGATGAGCCGGAAATCCGAGGGAGAATTTGTGCGCGAGACCACTCTAACAACGTCATTTTTTTGCGAGCTTAAAGTTGTGGAGCGGCTATACAGTTGCGCGCGGCCGAGGTGATTTCGTCATTCGCCAGAGACTCCTTCGCAAAGTCACAGCGCAGCATGCTCTTTTAGCTCAAAGTTGCATTTCGCTGACCTTGTGCCGGACGTAGCATCCCGAACGGCAAGGCCGAAAGGGTGGGTCCGTGCTCGAGGGCTAGAAGGCATATATACTCTTCGCCGCTTCTGCTTTATCCTTCCTTTCATTCACTGCATCAACCTCACTTCTACGAAAGGAAACATGATCAACAAGGCAGTTCGAGTTACCAAGGCCAACGGCGCTGTTGTCGAGACGCAGGCCAAGCCGTTCTCTGCATCGGACTTGGAGGCGGACGAGGTGCTGATCAAGAACGTCGCAGTAGCATCGAACCCGAAGGACTGGAAGCTGGCTTATTACGGGCTTTTCGAGGGCATCGAAGGCAATGATGTCGCTGGACACATTGAGGCGGTGGGTGCCAATGTCAAGCACCTGAGCAAGGGCGACCGCGTAAGTACAGCGCTTCGACATGTCGATTGGGAAGCATAGAGTGCTAATGCTCCTTTCTCTCTTTACGCGACCCTTGATTGGCTCAGGTCATCGCATTCACTCGTATGGCCTCGGGCGACAAGTACGGCGCATACCAGCCGTACACGGTGGCACCTGCATGGACGACCGCCAAGCTGGCGGACAATGTGTCTCTGGAGGATGGCGCTACGCTGCCACTCGCCGTGACCACGGCCTTCGTCGGACTGTACGACAAGCTGGGCCTTCCTGAGCCCACATCCGACGGCGAGCCCGCGGCTGGGGCTGACGAGGCGACCGTACTGATCTGGGGAGCGAGCTCGTCGGTGGGTGCGTACGTGACGCAGCTTGCCAAGATCTCTGGCTTTAACACTGTTGCTGTGGCTGGAGCTGCTCGCGATGCGGTCGAGGCGCTCGGGATCCCGGCTAGCAAGATCGTCGACTACCGCGCCGAGCGCGATACGGTGATCGAGAACATCAACAAGGCCGCAGGCGGCTCTGCTTTTACTCATGTCTACGACTGCATCTCGACGCAGGAGACGGTGGATACGATTGTCGAGCTGCTGTCGACGGGGCCGAACCGGGGCGGCAAGGTGACGACGGTGCTGAACAGCGCGTACGACGACGCTGATGCCAACGCGAAGCTGAGCAAGGAGAAGGGCATCAGCTTTGACAGGACCATGTGCGGCAGCGTGCACGCAGACAAGAAGGAGTTCGGCACGCGCTGGTTCAAGCAGGTGACCGACTGGGCGGTGGAGGGCAAGCTGCAGCCGAACAAGGTGCAGCTGCTCGACGGCGGTCTGGACGGCGTCCCTGCAGGCCTCAAGCTGCTCCAGGAGAACAAGGTCAGCAACCGAAAGCTAGTTGGTGAGTAGCCTTGTACACTCAGCGCCCTGTGCTGCCCTAGACACAAAGCTGACAACAAAGCGGGGTTGCTTTTGGTGATTGAACAGCACGCATCGCCGATACCAAGGCGTAGGCACCTCGATGAGGCGTGTGCGGTTGACCGTTAGTACCGCACTGGGATCGACGACGTGCTTGCATGTAGCCGAACAACGTGACTGGCATTGATCCGAGCGATACGATCTGCGAGTGCGATTGGTCTGATAAAGACGAGGAGATGAGGGCCGGGTGAGCTTGTCATCTAGACCGTAAAAGCCGAGTTGAGGTCTGAGCTTTGACGCGTTTGCGGGCGCGGCTGTTTTCGGACAGATCCATCCGACAGGCGCACTCCCACTTTCGCTGCAGAGCGTCGTGGAGTCACACAGAGGAATGCTGGCCGCAAGGGTCCCGCCATGCCGCGTGACTGCGTCCAGGCAAAGGGCCCTGGCTGCCACTAGGAAAAGAACGAGCGAAAATCCGCAAATCGAATCAACAGCCCGTGTTGGCTCGGCGAATTTGGGCCAGCAGCTGGGCGGTTTCTTTAGAAATTTTTCCCTGCGGGTGAGTGAGTGTGTTGGGTCGTGTGGGAGTGCGGCTTCGGAGCGCTTTTCGCGCACTTATCGGTCTGACTCGGTCTGCAGCCCAGTGCAGCAGCGCCCTAGATCTTCGCAAAGGCAGCTTCGTCCAGCACGGTGGGCGGTACGGTATATAGGCTTTGTTCGAGTTCAGACGCCACTGGCCCACTGCGTACGACCACCTCCGCCCAGCGAGATCCACCCATCGAGACCATGCCTGCTCCTACTACCACAGCGGTTCCTGCCCCGACCACCGCCTTCGCGGGCCCTTCCACCATGGCTCCCCTCAACGCCGACCTGCTCCAGGTCACGCTCAACGAGTCGGCGGCTGCGCCCGACTTTGACAACCTCGTCTTCGGCCAGAAGTTTTCGCCGCACATGCTCATTGTCGACTGGAACAACAAGACCGGCTGGGGTGTGCCTCACATCAAGCCGTACGGCCCGCTCTCGCTCTCGCCTGCCGCGCCCGCGCTCCACTACGCCAGCGGCCTCTTCGAGGGCATGAAGGCCTACCGCTCCGCCGACGCTTCGGGCAAGATCCGACTCTTCCGCGCCGACAAGAACATGGAGCGCATGAACCGATCCGCTGCCCGTGCTGGCCTGCCCACCTTTGACGGCGACGAGTTCATCAAGCTCATTAAGGCGCTCGTCCGCCTCGATCGCGACTATGTGCCGCACGGCGAGGGCCAGACGCTCTACCTGCGCCCCACGCTCATCGGCACGCCCGACACGCTCGGCATGGGTGTCCCCACCGAGGCGCAGCTCTTCTGCATCTGCAGCCCCGTAGGCAACTACTACTCGTCCGGCTCGGGCTCCAAGCCCGTCAGCCTGCTCGCGCGCACCGACGTGGTGCGTGCATGGCCCGGCGGAACGGGCTGCTACAAGCTCGCCGCCAACTACGCCGGCGCCACGCAGCCCGCCATGGAGGCGCTCAAGCACGGCTACCACCAGGTGCTCTGGCTCTTTGGTCCCGACAGGCAGCTCACCGAGGTGGGCGCCATGAACCTCTTTGTCGTCTTCCGCGACCAGTCGGCCGACGGCGAGACCACCAACTACGAGATCGCCACCGCCGCGCTCGATGACGGCACCATCCTGCCCGGTGTGACGCGCGACACGATCCTCTCGCTCCTGCGCGCCTACCAGCAGGGCCAGGTCGCCATCGACGGCCTCCCCAAGCCCGAGCGCATCACCGTGGCCGAACGCAAGGTGACCATGGACGAGATCATGGACAAGGCCGAAAAGAACCAGATCGCAGAGGTGTTCGGATCGGGCACCGCCGCTGTCGTTTGCAGCGTGGACAAGATCGGCTACGAGGGCATCGACATTTCCATCCCCATCCAGGCCGACGGCATGGGCGTCTTCATGCGCACCATGCTCCGCGAAGTCACCGGCCGCCAGTGGGGCGCCATCGCCAGCCCCGAATGGAGCACCGTCTGCTAAAGTAGCCAAACCTTACAATCAGGGCACCATTCACGCCCGCCGTATACCATCTGTCACGCGTACACATACAGAAATAGAACCTTGTTTTGTATAACGAAGGTGCCCACTGCCAGTTGGGATGAGTCTAGATGGTGTAGCGAAAGTAAGGGCTGTTTTCGCCGCGGAGGAGCACGTCGATCTTGCGTCGGTCTGCCTCGGAGAGCGACGGGTCGCGGTCCACGCTACACGCCTTTTCTTCACCCGCCTCGTGCGGCTCGACCTGCGAGAGCGCATGTTGTCGGTCTCTGCGGCGGTTGATGTTCCAGAACCAAAGGCTGGCAGCCGCCGACACGACAACGCCAAACAGCAGCAAGCCCGCGCTGGTCGCCGTGCCCTTGACGTAGTACGGCTGGTCCTTGGAGGGGAACAGATGCGTGCCCAGCAGAGGACCGCACTGTCCGATTGTGGCAAAGATGACCAGCCCAAGTCCCTTCTTCGACTCGCTCATCTGGTTCGCCATGAGCCACATGTACAGGATGGGGATGAATGGGAAGAGCCCATTGATGATGAGCCAGATGCCGACATAGCGCGCCGCTGTAGACTTGAGGCATGCAAGCATGAGGTAGCCAACCGCGCCGACGATGAGTAGCAGCGTGCACACAGGGCCTCGCACCTGGTACCGATCCGTGAGCCAACACGCCGAGAGCGAGATGAAGAACGCCAGCACGTACGGGGGCGCCGACAGGCCCTGTGCACGGATGCTTCCGTAGCCCATCTCGGCGATCAGCGTGGGCACGTACACGGGCACGCTCGAGTATCCGACGTTGATGATGAAGAACAGCACCGCGGTGATGTACGACAGCGGGTCGGTGAATGCAGCCGCGGCTTGCTTCCAGCTTACCTGCTCGCGGAGGCGGCTTGTCCACGTCGTCGTCGTCCTGCCCGTCGCTGCGTACTGGATCGCCTCTGGCGGCGGAGGTCGGAAGAGGCGTGCCTCTGCAATTGCCTTCTCGCGCGCCGTCAAAAAGCTCGCCGTCTGGATGCTGTTGGGCAGTGCAAAGTACGCCACAGGCGCCATGATGAGCGTCGGAATGCCTTCGATCAGGAAGAGCAGCCGCCACGATGCGATGTCCGTGTGTGCATTCACGAGGCCGTAGGCAATCGATCCTGCGATCGCCGCCGAGATCGCACCTGCCGAGACAAACACACCGAAGCGCAGTCCAATCTCGTTTTTGGGATAGAAAAATGACAGGTAGAGCACCCAGCCCGTGCCGTAGCCTGCTTCGCTGACGCCGAGGAAGAACCTGGCGGCCATCATTTCAGCCCAGTTGTGCGTGGCTGCTTGACAGATGCCCGCGATGCCCCACACCAGCACGCACAAGGCGATCCACACGCGAGGCGGCAGGATCTTGTAGAAGAAGACCTGGAACTGGAAGACGATGTAGGCGATGTAGAAGATGGTGAGGAGCCACTGGAACTGGGAGTCAGTCATGTGGAGCGCCTTGACCATGCCGGCGGTCTTGGCGTTGCCCACGTTGGAACGGTCGAGAAGCGCGGCCAGATAGAGCAGGAAAGAGGTGGCGACGATGCGCACATCGAGCTTGCGCCTCACCACCGCTTCCTCGTCGTCTGACCACCACTTCGTGAGCTTGGCTAGGTACACCTCGTTGGAGGCGGCTCCCTCATTGCTTTGCGAGCGGTGCATCGTGCTGTCGGTCGAGTCAACCACACCATCGTGGGGGTTCTTCTTGAAGTCCATACTCGTTGCGGAAGAATGGTGGTGAGAGTACGAGAAAGATGGGCAGACCGAGTCACAGGCACAGGTCGAAAGCGGCGGCAACTGTGGGTGGCGACAAGGCCCGCCGGCAACGGCCGCGTTATTGACGTGCACAACGGCGTGGGGGAAGCACCCGCGATATGCAGCTGGGTGGGGGCGAGTCAGAGCCCCACAATCTCGCCTAGACCTCGCTTAGGGCCCGTCGGCTGCGACAAGAGTTGCCGGCTCAAAGCGTTGTCCAATGGCTTCTCCTCGGACAGCTCGGTGAATTCCCCACCTCTTCCACCGCGCTGTTGGCCACCTGGAGCACGACTTTGCGCACGCCCTTGAGCCGCTTCGGCACGTCGGAGTTTTCTGTAGCCGCCGTTTTGGCCGTCGCTTAGCGCACAACAGCCAACAATGCCGCGTGACTTTCAATTCTCGCCACCAACCTCATCGCTTTCAGTGGGGACCGAGCAGCGTCCCACGCGGTCGTTTCATATCTCCGCAGCTCATACCGCCTGACAAACAAGCACTCGACATGACAGTGGGCTGGATTACTGTGGCTTGCAGCCGCTCTGCAGGCGATCGATAGGCGCTCTAGACGAAGAGCGCACGTGTGAGACTGCCAGGCCCAAAGCCGACGTTCGCCTTTGAAGATACAATTGAGTTGCCCTGCGGGTCGATTCGGTTGGTCCACGGTGTGCCACGCTGCGCAGGTGGGGGCAGAGCATCGTCGAGCAGGCGCATGATACCGATCGCCTTCTCATCGTGATACGGACGCGTGACCACCTGCACACCCACCGGCAGCCCCGCCATCTTGGTGGCATCGTACGCCGTCTTGTACAGCAGGAAGTTGGCCACTCGGCTCGTATCCTTCCACCGCCTGTCGCCCGCCCACATGTTGTATGCCTTGCGCTGCTCGGCCGACGCGTGTTCAAAATCGCTCTCGCGGTGCGAATCCAGCTTTGGGTCTACGCGCAGCACGGGCAGCACGGCAGACGGAGCATTGGTGATGTTGTACAGCACCGTAGAGCCCGCCATGGCCGAGTTGTGGTCGGCACCTCCGTGTGGGACGGCGGGACAGGCTTGAGTGGGTGCAATGAGCGCGTCAAGCGCCAGATCATCCCACATCACGTGGTTCCAGCGGTCGACAAAGCGCTCGCGGCGCTCGAGCACGTCGGCATGCTCGGCCGCGCTCATGCGCATCATCGACCCGGCCAGCTCGGCGTAGATGGGGTCGCGAATGATGTAGCGCACGAAGAACACGATGACGCCGCGCAGCCAGCGCGGGATTCGGCTGAGTCGCACCGGCAGCTGCACCTGCGAAATCAGCTTGTCCTTGCCCAAGTAGCTCTCGAGGTTGCGGTATCCGTCGGCCGTGAGCATGCGCAGGAAGAGCCGCATCACCTCGAGCGTCTGGAGCTGCCGGGGCTCGATCTCAATCAACTCCACTCGTTTGTCCGAGTGTTTAGCCTTGAGCGCGGCCACGCACTCGAGAACCGCCCGATAGACCGCCGGCGTGGTGCGGTAGATGCCGTCACCTAGCACGTAGCCGATCCTCAAAGGCGTGCCTCTGGCTTCCGACATGCCCAGTGGGTTGAGCCATGCCTCGTTGATCACCACGGTCGAAGAGTCGGACAGCTTGAACTTGGCCATCGCCTCGTCGTGCTCCACAGCCTCCTGAAGCACCGCAGGGTCGTCCTTGTCTCTCGGCGCTCGCAGCCACGTCGGGACGTGCTGTCTGGCCACTTCGATGAAGAGCGTCTCGACGTCGGCAGCGCTTCGGCACATCGGACCTGCAACCGCCTTGATCGACTCGAATCCTTTGCCAAAGTCGCACATGCCGTTGTACGACCATCTTCCGGGACTCGGCTTGATCGTGTAGATGCCCGAGTGGTGCGACGGGATGCGCAGACTGCCTGCGATGTCCGTGCCGAGGCCGGCGGCAGACCCATCGCACGCAATGATCGCTCCTTCGCCTCCCGAGCTTCCGCCCGACGTGTGGTTGGCGCTGTACGGATTCAAGGTGCGCCCGAACACTGGGTTGGTGCTTTCGAACGTCATGAAGGTCTGCGGGATGTTGGTCTTGACGTAGGTCAGCGCACCGAGATGCTCGCAGATCGACACGACGGTGGCTGATACGGGCTCAGCCGGCTTGGCAATCCATCCGGAAAAGCCGATGGTCGTCTTCTGACCCTTGACGTGGAACATGTCCTTGATCGACAGCGGCACTCCGTGCAGCGGTCCGACCAGCGATCCCGTACGGTCAAAGTGCGCATCGAGCTCAGCTGCACGACTGAGCGCATCGTCGATAAAGACCTCGGTCAGGCAGTTGGTGCGGATCTGCGCTCGGCGCGTCGCTCGCACGTAGGCACACAGCACCTCGGCCGACGTCCAGCGGCGCTCCTGAATGCCCGAGGTGATGCCGGCAATGTCGCTCGACAGGATCTCAAGGTCCTTGGGTCCCAGACCCACGTCCAGGCCGTGGTAGGGGCTCTTGCTGCTCTGCACAGCTATGGCTACGTGCGACGCCTCGTGAGGCAGGGCATGGCGCAGGGCTCGGTCGCGCTGCGCCACGTGGCCCTCGATGGCTCGTTGCGTGACGGACTTGCCCGTGAGCCCAAGCATGTTGATTGCTTCCTATAGTTGTGATCGGCCAGCTGTTGTTAGTCGAAGAGAGATGGTGTTGTTCGTCAGAGCCTTGAATGCGGGGCAAACGTGGATCAGTGCATGCGGGACATCTGGGCGGCTACCACATCTCGGCGGCTACCGCACATGTGTCACACGAGATCTGTGCGTCCGGCTTGTCGGCTTCATCGGCGTTCCGACTGGCGGAAGAAGGAGGATCGCCCGATTAGACACGGGGTTGGCCGATTCGGGCGCTCTCGATCGAGGACAAAAATGCTGCTGCTGCTGCTCAGCCAGCCAAGCCAATTTGCGCGTCGCTGAGGCCGAGGCGGGAAACTTTTTTCGAACGGGTCGGCAGCACGTTTGCTCTCCGCCCCGCGTGTGCGCGTCGATGGCACGTCGCGAGTGTGCTTTTCATGCGGTCGTCTTGGATTAGCTGCAGGTCCACGTTCCCTCCGCTAGCGCCGAATTCAGCGCCTTGCCAACGACGCGGCCTGTTGAATTGCGCATTACACTCGCCTGAACCTCTGGCAGCTGCACGAGGGGTCCATTTGCTCCGAGCCGGGCACGTTTTGCGCTCAACACCATGCACGTTGCTCATGCGGCCTCGTCTTCTGGCCMCCCTCAACCCGATGGCCGCCACCGCCACTCCGACACTGTCAGGCTACGGCGCCCGACCAGGCTGCAGACAGTGCGCAAAGACAGGAAGAGAGAGAGGAGAGAGGCGTTGTGCTGCTGACAGACAGATAAGTGAATGCTCAGGCAAGTGACAGACGGAAGGGCAGGCACTCCGTTGCTACGGGATCAGGCAGCCACGGAGGATCTGCAAGTGTTGTACTCCGAGCCTGCCTCGGCGACGCATGATCCTCCACAGCTGCACACACCGGGTCCATGCATGAACGCTGCCTCAAGCCCTCATTGCCATGCCCCAGCGGGAGGAGCTGCAGCTACCTGAGCATGTGGTACAGACTGTCGGAGCGATCGTCGGAGGCAGCTCCCAGCTTTTCCTTGGCTCGCAAGAGCCACCTGCCGGCTCCGTTGTCGTCCGACCTGGGCAGACTTTCTCAAGTGTTGTTCTCGCCACCCCTTCCCCAGCTCAAAGAGACAGCATACATCTGGGCCTTCCTTTCCTCCTCCACCCATCATTCTCGCTGCGAAGCATCCCACCTACTTCCATCGTATCTCTTCTTGCTTTCCTCTTTGCTGATAGCTCCTCCTACCCGCAGCTACTTGTTCAAGCGCAAACGCATTTGCAACCATGCCTGCGCCGGTCCTAAACACCAACGGCTCGTCGAGCCAGTACCACGTCCAGTCGGTGCCCACGCAGGTGCGCGCCATCTGCTGTATCGGCGCCGGCTACGTTGGTGGGCCTACGTGCTCGGTCATCGCGCTCAAGTGCCCTCACATCAAGGTCACCATCGTCGACGTCAACCCGGTGCGCATCGCCGCGTGGAACTCGGACGTGCTGCCCGTGTTTGAGCCTGGTCTCGACGAGGTCGTGCACGAGTGCCGCGGCAGGAACCTCTTCTTCTCGACCGACATCGATGCGGCCATCCAGGAGGCGGACCTCATCTTTGTCTCGGTCAACACGCCCACAAAGACCTCGGGTGTCGGCAAGGGCTTCGCCGCCGACCTGCACTACGTCGAGGCGTCCACCCGTCGCATCGCCTCGGTCGCAACCAGCTCCAAGATCATCGTCGAAAAGTCCACAGTGCCGTGCCGCACGGCCGCGAGCATGCGCACCATCCTCGAGTCCAACTCGAGCTACACTGCCGATGGCACGCTCATCTCGTTCCAGATCCTGTCCAACCCCGAGTTCCTCGCCGAGGGCACCGCCATTCGCGATCTCTTGGCCCCGGACCGTGTGCTAATCGGCTCGCTCGATACCAGCCAGGGCAAGGCTGCCGCCAAGGCGCTCAGCGAGGTCTACCAGAACTGGGTCAACCCCTCAAAGATCTACGAGACCGGACTCTGGTCGTCCGAGCTCAGCAAGCTCGCCGCCAACGCGCTCCTGGCGCAGCGCATCTCGAGCATCAACTCGCTCTCGGCGATCTGCGAGGCCACTGGTGCCGATGTGGACGAAGTCGCCCATGCGTGCGGTCTCGATGCCCGTATCGGACCCAAATTCCTCAAGGCTTCGGTCGGATTTGGCGGCAGCTGTTTCCAGAAGGACATTCTGAACCTCGTCTACCTCTCCGAGTCGCTCGGATTGAGCGAGGTGGCCGACTACTGGCACCAGGTGATCAAGATGAACGAATATTCCAAGGAGCGCTTTGCACGCAAGGTGGTGAGCACGCTCTTCAACACGATCACCATGAAGAAGATCGCCGTGCTCGGCTTTGCGTTCAAGAAGGACACGGGCGACACGCGCGAGTCGGCAGCCATCACGCTGTGCAAGTACTTCCGCCAGGAGCGTGCCTTGATCTCGATCTACGATCCCAAGGTCACCACCAACCAGATCATGCTCGACCTCACCGAGCCCGGCGTTGTCGACGATGCAGAGCAGGTCAAGAAGCAGGTAACGATTGCCAAATCGATGAAGGAGGCTTGCGTCGATGCCGAGGCGGTCATCATCTGTACCGAGTGGGACGAGTTCCGCGATGCATCCCCACAGGACTGGGCCGAGATCTATGCCTCCATGAAGAAGCCCGCCTTCGCCTTTGACGGACGTGGCGTGGTGGACGCAAAGATCCTGCGTGCCGTCGGCTTCAAGGTGCACACTGTTGGAAAGGGACCCCTGATCGTCGACCCCATCTGGGCCTAAATCTCGCAGATCCAATCGCAAACTTTGTGCTACCTTCGCAATCATGGCCGGCACAGTATACCCAATCACAAGCCATCCTTCTAGTCCTCACGTCCTTCTTCCAAGATCCGGTCCCTTTGTGCCTTCAATAGACAGTCTACTCTCCCATCGCGTTTTGTATCTGCTTGAATCCTGAGTTGCTATCCTTGCTGTCCGAATAATACAATGTCCATGAGCCGGCACAGAAGATCTGTGCTGGTGTCAGATGAGAAAGTGAAGATGTGTCTGGCAGACGATCCAGAAGGGCAGAGCGACCACAATGACGGCCATCAGATCCTGCCTCCATTTCCTCGCCGCCTGCGTTTTCGAGCCAACCGTCTCGCCTCGCCTTGTGCTGTCGGTACTGCCGGACACGAGGTCGTCGTCGTCGTCGTTGCGCTTTCTCGGATTCGACAGGGGCAGGTATCCGGATGCATTCCGCGAGGGAGCCCGACGCGGCCACACGGCCAACAGAACGAGGCTGAGGACAAATGCCGGCAGGTAGAGCTTGGTCCAAATGCCGATCTGGTCCGGCAGAAGACACGGTGTGTACGCCATTGTTGCGTGCTGTTGCTCTCCACCAGCTGTCGGCGACTCCGGCGGCGAGAAGAGACTGAGGCGCGCAAAGCCTGGTCGGCGAACACCTTCGGTCATCGAGACCGACTTGACCGTCAATTCGGGGATTTCACCTGGTGCAAAGCCATCGACGCTGCCGTCTTCTGCGACAGGTCCAGCTGGTCTGCGGTGACGGTGCTCGCAGTGGTCGTGGTCGTCGCCGCTGAATACCGCTGCGGGGTCTATTGATCGGAGCACCCAGTCTGACACGGACTCGGAGACCATGTTCTGGTACGTGGACCCGCGGTCGGTGCCCTGGTGCAGCGGGCGTGCTGCCTCCCTGGTCACGCCATGCTGTGCAGATCGAGCCGCATCGTCGCAGCCCGTACCCTCTGGCCTGTAGAGCGGCACATGCGTCAGCAACACCCGGGGCACGCGGAAGCCACCGCGCTTGACCGATTCGACAAACTCGTAAGTCTCGTTGTAGGCTCTGTGCGCCTCCTCTCCCAGCGCACCATCGAGCTCGCCCTGGTGCGCCGAAGCGAGATAGGTGTCAAAGGGTCCTCCACCTTGGCGCTGCATACCTACGAGGTCCTGCGCATTGACCAACACCAACTCGTGCGTGGCACCCAGAGAGACATCGGTAGAGGCCAGGATTCGACCATTGAGGCTGGAACGCAGATATGGATTGCGATCCTTGACGACGAAGCCGCCGCCGTCGATCTTCATGCCAAAGTCGCGATTGAAGCGCTCGATCGCATCGTCGGCAGCGTTGACGTCGATGCGCTGCCCCGACGTCGAGGTGCCGGGCAGGCCGATGTCGTGGTTGCCGGATAGGTGGAAGGTGGGGATGTACATGCTCGCCGAGGTTCGCGGGACGATGAGGTGGCGGGTGCTGCCGAGCGTCGCCTTTGGTGCCTCCCAGTCGGCCTCGCGTGGCCGCCAGAAGATGTTTCGGAAGCGCAGAACGAGCGCGGCCCACTCTTGTTCGGTGCGATGCCGCCTGCCTCCGTCGGTCAGATCGCCCATCCACACCACAGCATCAGGCGGTTGTGCGAGCGTGGTGCTTGGTCTAGCGCGATCTTGCGTCCGTGGCTGCCAGGGCAGGATGTTTTCTCGCATCATCCACTTGTTCGGGTTGACCGCGAGACTTGTCCAGACATTCTTGAGGTAGTTGTCCGAGAAATGCCTCACGACTGGGTACAGCAGCGCGGGAAAGGGGAGGCTGGGGTAGGTGTCGCGGTCGATGATTTGCGGATCTGTGACGAGAAGGATGTGTACGGGCGGGCGCGCGTCGATGCCTGCCGACAGCGCTTGCTCGGGCCATTGGCAGCGATTGGCCGCATCATGGAAGACGCCGCGCTCGCCGTAGAAGAGGAGTGCGAGCCAGAGCAGCCGGAGCGTGACGACGTGTGTAGGCCCCACGAGGAGGCCCAGCACGTGTTGCACCAGCTCGACGGCTCGACGAGGGCGCGCTCGGTCTCGCATGGCTCCCGGTGGAGTCGAGAAATGCTCGTCAACGCATCGACCGAGGCAAGAACAACGCCAGGCTACCGCTGTGTGTGCTGGGAACGATGGCGCCGAGGATGCTGGCTTTGCTTGGAAGTTGATGGTGGAGATCAATGGGGAGCTGAGTTGAGAGGGTCCAAACAGGCGTGAGTTTTGGCTTGATTCAACGAATTCGGATGGCCAGCCGGCGTCTACGGCGTCCAGGGTGTGAGAACAATGCTTGTCTTGGCGTTCGAGTTGGCATCTGGGGAAAGCCGTCAGGCTCATGACGATCCTCATCGTGCATGAAAAATGGCCGAAGTTGTCAGAGTCAAAACGATGTAACACTACAATTTTCCGATTTTTGGCTCCACCCGCACTTTTTTTTTGGCCGGCTGTGCATCTGCGGTTTGGAGTGTGTGTATGTGACCGCGTTCGGCGGAAATTTCGGAAGCGGGTGAGCCGCAGCGTCACGAGTCGTTGGCATGCTGTCGACGGCACTAACCAACCCCACTTCTAGACCTTCCATCATCATCAGCGACCACCGGAAAGCGGCTCAAGACTTTGATACGCGCATCTGACATCTGCTCGGGTCCCTAGCTTGACGTCCGCACCAAAAGCTAGAGTTGTTGCGAAGATGCTGTCCAACGGTCACGCGACGTGCTTGCGAATGCCTGGTCGGCTGGCACACCGAAGTCTGGGCACTGCTCCAAGGACTCAGCTCCTGTCTAACAATGCAGCGCTGCGATCGATAAGCACTACCACCTGCGCCTCGGTCTCACGCCGATCGGTCACAAGCACACGGACATCTGCCTCAACTTTCGCACCGACATTGCGAACCGCTCCGTTGCGGCGCACATTGACAACGTCGGCGCCGCGCTCGTCGCAAAAGCCCTTCAGCTTTCTCACTGCTTACGCATTCCAAGGCAAACCACGCCACTCGGAGGATGTGACGCAAGAGGGCGACTCGTCATTCTCGGCCGCGGCGGACGAATCGGAAGCCTCCGCTTCGGGAGCAGCCGAGGACGGCGCAAAACGAGGTCAGATCGGCTTTCCCGCCGACAGCGAGATCGGAAGATGGCGTGATGAGCTGCTGCGAGGCGGTGAGGCGGGTGAGGACTCGTTGATGTGCACCTCGATGGGCTCCGCAGGCGATGTAGCCATCGGCGTTGCCGACGGCGTGGGCGGATGGACCGAAAACGGCATCGATCCCTCGCTCTTCTCGCAGGCGCTCATGTTCTACGCATCCAAAGCGGCCGCCTCCGCACCGACAGACGGCAACGGTGCGCCGAACCGCATCCTCGCCGAAGCCTTTGAGCACGTCCTCAAGGAGCCGCTCGTCGTCGCGGGCAGCGCCACCGCATGCATCCTCACCATGGACGCCTCCAACGGCACACTACACTCTGCCAATCTCGGCGACTCGGGCTTCGTCATCCTGCGCCAGGGCACGGGAAAGCATGGCGTCTTCCACGCCAGCCCGCCACAACAGCTCGGCTTCAACACGCCGCTCCAGCTCGCCAAGCTGCCCAAGGAATGGATTCAGGAAGGCTCCATCTCCAACACGCCCAAGGACGCCGCCGCCTGGGAGTGCACGCTTCAGCACGGCGACCTCATCATCGTCGGCACCGACGGCCTCTTTGACAACGTCGACGCAAAAATCGAGATCCCCCAGTTCGCCAAGTTCATCAAGGAGAAGCACCACGCATCCTACGCAGCACGCCACGCGGGCGCCGACAAGCCAACGGATAGCTTGCAGGAGGACAGGGAGTTTGTGCAGGTGTTGGCGACCAACCTGGTCGAATACGCAAAGATTTGCCAGAACTCCACCACCAAGCAGAGCCCCTTCGAGCGCGAGGCAGCCCGATACGGCATTCACTTCCCCGGCGGCAAGATCGACGACGTGGCCATCGTCTGCTGCCTTGTCATCGAGCGCTGAGCACATCTGAACCCCCGGCATGCTTTGTAATCACGAATCCTGTACTACTAGTCGATCGCATCACATTCAACCATCTCGAGGGTTCGGTGCCCAGTTGAGTATTTGCTTGGGCTTGTGAGACTGAGATGCGGGCGTGATTTTGCCGCACTGGTTGCAGAGGGCGATTCCTCCACTTTTTCCGCACAGCCGAGAATTGGCGCATTGACGATCCGTCTCGTTTCTGACACCCGCGATCGCACCCGCTTCCACCACCTCTTCCATCCTCCCATTGCCGCAGAACCATCCTCACCACAGACTCTATGACGGAACAAAGTAGCTCGCGCCGATACGCCTCTGGTGACGTCCGACACGAAGACGACGTTGCGGCGTGGGAGTCTCTGTCCGACACGTCCGACACCTCGTCGGCATCCTCCAAGCCTGCGCTCGCCAAGCTTCCCACTCTGCCAGATCTGCGGTTTGAGCAGTCGTACATCGCAACCATCCGTGGATTCCTGCACGAAAATTCGCCAAATTCTGCCGATGCAGACACGTCGCACGGACACGAGCACAAGGTCAAGATCACCCGCCCCGCGCCCGACGAACATACCCAACTCTGGCTCGGAAACCTCCGTGTCGAATGGTAAGTCCCCAACAAGCCTACACTCATATCAAACGGTACCAGTTCCTCATCTGCTTTCCTTTGGGGCTGGTACAGGTCGTCGGTTCTGTGGGTGACGGTGCGCGATCAGCTTCTCTCGCCTCTGGTCCAGGGCGCGGTGTGGGGCGTGGGAGGCATCCTGCTCACGCAGTTCCGACAGTACTTTTCGGCAAAAAGTCGATCATCAGGCACGGGAGGCAGGAAGGCAATGCCCCAATCCTCTGTGATGCGAAGCTTGGGCCTCTCCAAGCGCTAGTGCTCGCACCCTGAAGGATGCAATGACATTTATACCCGCCTGCAACAGAGGTCTGGATGCCCCTCGCCATCTCTTTCACCATCACGAGCCGTGCGAACAGTCGCTTGCAGGCATCATGGCCGATTTACCTCACCAAAGCGTGCAACTTACTTTGACTCAAATTCTCGCAGTCCACAACAAGCTAGGGCCGAGTTACGATCATTGAAGATGCAAGCTTTCTACAGATGGCTCTTAGCCTGGGGTTGTGCCTGGGACCAGGAATAGACGAGGCCGTGGCCCAAGTCAACGTCCTGGGCGGCGACCTTGGCGTCGGAGGAAGCTGCGGCCTTGAGCTGGGCTACAAGGCGGGCGAGATCGGCGAATCCGGCGGCGCCGTCCTTGCCGCCGATCCAGAGGCGGGCGAGGTGGACGTCGTGCTGGATCTCGCGCTCGTCGACCTGCACAGCTGCGATGTGCTGCAGCTTGCTATCCTGCGCAAGCGTACTTGCCTTCCATGCGGTATGCTGGAGCAGTAGCGCCGAGGCATGTACTGCCATGATGAGATCGAGCAGATACCTCGTAAACCTCAGATCGGCCGACTTGACGTGGCGCTGTACATCGAGCTTGCCGAGCACGCCCGCGGTCTCGCGGATCACGCTGCTGAGGAAGCCGAGCTCGGGCTTGAGCTGCGCCGCGAGCTGTGCGGGCAGCGAGGTGAGGATGGCCGTGGTGTCCTCGAAGAACTCCTGGAGCGCTTGACCGTTGGACTGGACGAGCACGCGAAGCACGTCGAGCGAGAGGATGGCCGGCGTGCCTTCCCAGATGCGCTCGACAGTTGCGTCGCGCAGGATCTCGCCCATACCCACCTCCTCCATGTAGCCCTGTCCACCAAACGCCTCGAGGAGCGTGAGGTAGCCCTCGGATGCGCGCGTCGCGACAAAGGCCTTGAGCGCAGGCGTGAGCAGTCGCAACCGCGTCTGGTCGCGACGGCTTGCTGTGCCCGCCTCGCTCGCTCCCATCAGCAGCACATTGGTGAAGAAGATCTGCAGGAACACTCGGTACAGCACCGTCACCTTGAGCAGCTGGTCCGTGTGCAGCGGCAGGCGGTCGAGCTTACCGCCTCCAAGGGCAGGACGGATTTTGGCATAGGCGGTGGCGGATCGCAGACCCCACGAGAGCGCACCCACAGCACCGCCCGCAGAGTAGAGACGCGTGATGTTGAGCACCGACGAGATCGTAGCCACACCGCGACCGAGCGGTCCAACGAGCTCGCCGACGCAACCGTCGAGTTCGAGCTCAGCAGTCGGGAGGTACTTTGTGCCGAGCTTCTTCTTGAGGCGGTGGACGCGGATGCCGTTGAGCTTGCCCGTGCGATCGTCGCGGATCTTGATGAGGAAGAGCGAAAGGCCCTTGGAGCCCTGCGAGAGGTCCGTGTCGGTGCGCGCGAGCGCCAGCGAGATATCGCCGTCCGTGGCGGACGAGAACCACTTGAAGCCGTTGATGACAAACTCGTCTCCAGGCTCCGCTGTCTTGTTGGGCTGCATGGGCGTGGCGGTGGTCTCGGTGCGCGAGACGTCCGAGCCACCGGGGCGTTCGGTCATCCATTGTCCGGCAGTCCACGCTTTGGATGCATCGGTGGTGGTCAAGCGTGGAATGATCTCGCGCTTCTGTGCGTCGGTTCCGAAGAGCTCCAGCACCCTAACGGCGCCGTCGGACATGCTGATGGGGCAAAGGATGACCTTGGACACTGGAGCGAACATGACGTTGCGTGTGAATGCGAACAGTCGGGCGTGGGGGCCGATCTTGTCGCGGCCACCGCCATTCTTGGCGTCGCTCGAGGGGTAGGACTCGGCAACGATGCCCTCGCGCGCACTCACCTGCTTGAGGCGCTTCCAGCCCTCGCCCGTGGCGAGCTTGTCGATGCGCTGGCCCCAGGCGTCGTACTGGATGAGGGTCGGTTCATGCTGCGGGCCGTCGAGCGTAGCGCCAATGTCGGTGTACTCGCCTGCCACCTTGTCGCCGAACGAAGCGAGGCTGTTGAAGAGACGCTCGATCTCGGAAGCGGGCAGTGCTGAAGAACCCGTCGAAAGCAGACGCAGGATGGTCAGACGCAGCGCAGCGTCCGAGGACCACGGTGAGCCAACGCGGAATCGCTCAAACTGGAATCCCTCTTCGGCACGCATGTCTAGTAGGCAGAGCTGGGCAGAGATGGATGATGGAAGTCGAGCAGCATGCGAGTGACAAGCATGTGGCAAGGCCCTTTTAGACTGTTTGTGCGGGGTCGAAGCGTGAGGACCGCGTGCGGGGTAGGCTGACAGGCGGGCCGCCGTCCCAGAGTGCATGTTGCACAGCGCTGTGCTGTCTGAGTCCGGCCCGCGAATTTACCGGCAGCGCCTGCAAACGCTCAGGGCTCCTCACCGCATTTTCACGCGTGGGCAGCAGCCACCGCAACCGCACACATCCGCATCCCGAACTTTCGGCACCTGCTCATAGGGCGATAACATCACAGCCAGCCAGGTTGGCAAGGTCCACCTATGTGATTGCGGAGTCTATAGCGGGTGCGTTACATCATGATTGGAAATTGCTGCCATGAGTAGACGTATGCTCATGCAGAAGCCTGATCGGTGTTCTTGGGAGGAATGTTGTAGAACTGGCGCGGCAGAATGTCGATCATCTCGGGCGTGAGCTGGTCGAGCGAGCTGACGCCGAGAAGGCGCATTCCCCGGTGGATCTCGTCCTCGAGGATCTGAATGGCGCGCGTCACGCCCGCCTCGCCGTAGCCCGACTGCGCATACAGGAAGGGCCTGCCGAGACCCACCGCCTTGGCACCGAGCGCCACCGCCTTGAGCACGTCGGTGCCGCGACGCACACCGCCGTCCAGGAACACCTCGATCTTGTCAAACAGGTCCGGGCGGCGCTGGCGGAGCTCGACGAGCACGTCGATGGGCGCCGGTGCGTACTCGAGACTGCGACCGCCGTGGTTGGAGATGACGACACCTTCGACGCCATGCTTGACGGCGAGCTCAATGTCCTCGACGGTCTGGATGCCCTTGAGGTAGAGCGGAAGCTTGCAGGTCTTGCGGAACCACTTGATGTCGTCCCAGGTAAGGTTGGGCTCGATGTAGCCCGAGATGGCCTGTGCGACTCCGCCGCCCTTGGCCTTGACGTCCTTGCCGTGGTCGACGCCCATCTCGACCTCGTCGCCCTTGACGCGCATGTCGCGCTCGCGCTTGCCCATGACAGGCGCATCGACGGTGAGCATGACGGCCGAGCATCCCTTGTCCTCGACCTTTTTGAGGATGCGCTCCGAAGCCGCGCGGTCCTTGTTGACGTAGAGCTGGTACACGATTGGCTGGCCTTCCTTGCGGTTGTCGAGCATCTCATCGAGTCCGACCGAGGCGTTGGCCGAGATGCCCTGGATGATCTGTGCTTTTCCAGCGCCGCGCGTCAGGTTGAGCTCGCCATCCGGATGGCCGAGCTTGGCCATGGCGGCAGGCGAGATGTAGACGGGCAGCGACGAGTCGTAGCCCTTGCCGTGGGAGTCGATGAGCCTGACGGAGCAGTCGACCTCGCCGATGGCACGCAGGATGCGCGGGCGGAAGACGATGCGCTGGAAGGCAGCGCGGTTCTGTGCGTACGTCACCTCGTCGTCCGCAGCCGACGAGTAGTAGGCCCACGCCTGATCCGAAAGGATGGTGTTGGCGATGCGCTCAAAGTCGTCCAGATTGAGCACGCTGCCCAAGCTCGGCAGGTTCTCGCGCGCGAGGCGCTTCTTGCGGTCCTTGTCGGACTCCTCCCCTGCCTGCTTGATCTGCACCGTGCTTGGGTCGACCTGGCCGATGTGCTTGGATGCGTCGAGGTTCTCCTCAAGCGCCGTGGGCGGGTGAATAGGCTCGTACAGCTCCGTCACGTCCTTGCCGGCGTTCTTGAGGATGATGTTGCGGCCGCCCGGATGGTTGTCGACGAACTCGGTCACGTCGTACACCTCGCCCTTGATGACCACCCACAGGCCCTTGCCGCCTTCGGAGGGAAGCTTGTTGTACTGCGCCACAGTGTCCATCGAGATGAGCTTGCCCTCGGGATCCGACGCCGCAGTGGGAGAGACCTTGGACGGCGGCGACCTCGCCTGTTCATTGTGGACCTCGCCCCTCGGGACGGCCGAGGCGAGCAGTGCCAGACCGACGAGACCAGCGACCAGGCCGCCCACGTTTCTAGACGCGGACGCGGATGCTGTCGCCTTTGTCGAGGACGAAGAGGAGCTGAGCGCGCGGCGCTGGACCATGCGTGGCGCTGGCGAGCGGAGCAGCTGGGCGCCGCTCTGACTCGCGCGCATCGAGGCTCGTACTGTGCTTCGCAACATTCTTGCTGTCGTATGTGTATGAAAGCTTCGCTATGTGTGCTGTGACCAGGGGCACGCGAAGGTGATGGCTCGGCGTGAGGTTATATGGGGATCCTTGCAAGATGACGAGGGACATTCAAAGCCACTGTCGGGCGTCGGTCAATTCCCCCACTTGTTGCGAAGCTTTGGGGGACCAGCTGCAGCTCTGAGCGCGGGGGGTGGGGGAAGGGCGAGGGGAAACACACGCAACGCCAAAAGTGTGGGCCGTATTTCCGGCCTCGGTAGATCCGTTACAGCCACTCGCCGCTCGATTTGAAATGCACTCGCTGCGGAGCGGTCCGAAGGGCGGCCGGCCCCCGCTCGTGTCCTGCTCGCGTGCTGCTGCTGAGATTCTGGAGTGGACCCTGACAAAAGCGCGTCTGTAATCCGATTTCAAAGTCGGCGTAATCTTCGGCCGACGCACGGCGACCTACGCGGGACGACCTTCTCTCAGCTCTCCGTCCGCTAGGCCCTGTTCCGAACGGCGGACGGGTCTCGATATGTGCCGAAATCTCACACTGCTCAGGCCTCAAAAATGCTCGCTCAGTGACGTCAACCTGCCAGCGGGAACTCTAAGGGTGCTCGTCTTGCAACACTCACTCGATGCCAGAGCCGATACGGTAGAGATCATCGATTGGCAAACGGGCCGGCAGGGCTAGGGAACAATCAAAGACGAGCATGTATAACAAGACGCGGAACCAGGGTCAAGGAAAGGCTCGCTTGGGCAGAGGCGGCCGGACAAGGCAAATGCAGAGGAGGGTATCAATGAAGGAGGATGCAGACAGAAGGAGGCTTGAGCCATGAACTCAGGATGACGGCGGGTCAAGCAGCTTCGGCGACGATGCGGCGCGACGACATCCTGGGCGAAGTGCGGCGGCTGGACGAGACTGACGAGGGCGATCCTTCCTTGACGTGACGCGCAGGTGCCTCGTGTCCGGCTGGATCGACGCTTGTTTCGTCGCCATCGCGCTTGAGCCGCTTGGTCGTCTCGTCCAGCGCATCGGCTGCTGCGGCCTCCACGCTACTGTCAGCTTGCACCTCCTGGCTCAAGGCGCTAGCCTTGCGCTTGGCAGATGAGGCAGCACGCGCCGCCGAGGGCGAGACCTCGGCGAGGGATGCATCGGGTTTGGTGCTGTTCTGCTCGGCGTCTTCGGTGTCAAGCAGCGGCTCCATCGTGATTGCGCTCGCGGCGAGAGGACTGCTCTGGAATGGCGCCGTCGAAGACAGGCCGTGCAGGCTCTTGTTCTGATCGGGCGGGCTGGTTCCTCGCGAGGGAGACCCGCGGCCGTTGCGTGTCGCCTCTTCCTCCGAAGGAGCTGCGGATCCCGAACGGGTGCCCGAGCGCCGTGCGGATGGCGCCTGGGCCATTGCTGGAGCCGGCGAGGATGCCCTCGAAGCGGGACGACGCGATCGATTGACCGAAGGCACCGTGAGAGTGTTGTCCGAGGCTGCGGGCTTGGCTGAGGAACGGCTGCGGGAAGAGTCGCGGCTCATGGCTTGGCTCGCAATGTACTCCTGAACGGCTCGCGATGTGCTTGCCGAGTACACCGGGTCTACCTGAACAGCTGTAGCAGCATTGGCGGTGGCACCTACGGTGGCGTAGGGGCTGCTGCTCTTGCGCTTCTTGCCGAGTCCCTTGACACCGAGATGCTCGAGCTCGGCCTTGGATGCGAGCTTCTTGGCGGCTTCGCGCTTGGCCGTCTGGATAGCCTTTTGCTGGGCCTCGCGCGCCTTGGCGAGGGCAGTGCCTGGCGCACCGGGATAGCGGTCGTTGGTGAGAGAGTAGATCTCGGATCGCTTGCCGGACGACGGATCAAAGAGCGGATGCGAGCCCTCGGCAGACCAGTGCGGCACGCTGGTGGTGATGAGCGGCGTCAGCTTGGCTGTGATCTGTGCCGACGAATGTGGCAGCGAAGATGCTAGCGGGGAGGTAACGAGCGCTGGCGCCCTAAAGGCTTGGAACTTGCGGCCGCGTTTGGCACCTGCGGTCTGGACGGTGCCGACGGAGGGCTTGAGGTACGACGTGGCAGGCGGGGGAGAGCCGGCGGTGGAGGAAGATGCCGAGGAGACGGAGGCGGAGGCGGAAGCCGAAGCGGCAGCTGCCTGGAGCGCCTGCAGTGCGAGGATCTGGTTCTGCTTGGCGGCCAGCGCAACGCGGCTGAGCGGAGCAGGCATGGGCTGCGAGGAACGCATAGAGGCGGGGAGCTGGCCCAGCGGCGCGTAACCCCTGGAAGGCGGGGGTGCAGTCGACGTCATGGAGAGGAAGGGGATCGAGATGATGGGACGCAGCGGGATGGGTGCTCTGAGCGCTACTCGCTGCTTGAGCTGCAGACGTCTATGGGATGGAGGGGGCAGGCAAGGCGGGCTTGTTTGTGGCAAGATGGAGCGGCCGACCTTGCAGCGGTGCTTCTGGATACGTAGCAGGCGCAGCGACGGTGAGGATGACGGCGGCGACGGCGGCGAGATGAGATGGAGCGCAATTGTGGATGGTGGGGGAGAGGCAGGGGCCGAGGAGAAGGAGGAGGTGGTGAGTCAGGGCAAGCCGGTGCGGGCGGCGGGATGCTTTCGCGGGTGCGGGCGGTCGAAGGAGGATTTGATGGCGCAAGGGCATGCATTGCAGACCCAGGCCAACCAACGGGAAAAGCGTTGGGCGGTTGGGGGTGTGACGACGCAAGCGCTCAAGCCGGTGCATCACTAGGGTCCGCTGTGCTCTGCAGGCGGCGGCCATCCCGGCTAGAGAGATTTTGAGCAACGCAAAGCGTTTGCGCATGCATGGTGCTCAAGCGCTCGGCTCGAATCCAAAATTGTGGCCACCGCATCAGCCGAACCACGCAATGATAGCGGTGGAATGCCTCGCCCGCTCATCAACTCGAGCCGCTTTACCGGTGGCCAAGCCGCAATTTTTTCCCAAAGCCTGCTGTGGGCGGTAGCGGGGTGTGATTTTGTCCAATCTCCACTTGACCAGCCCAGCCACTAGCTTGTCTGTCCATCTCACTCTGCGCTGTCGCAGCAGCCAAGTTCCATCGATCGCATGGCGCTTCCTCAAGCTGCGTCCAGTCCACCACACGAGTGTACGCTGCGTTCTCGCAGATGAAAGTGAGCGGCGGCTCAAATAAGGCACATCGGTCAGGGCCGGACTCGCTTGCAACTCTAGACCGCTGCGCCAGGTGTTGTGATTGCCTAGCATTCATGCCGCGAACCTTGTCGGCTCAGCCTGTGTTGTCTTGCAGGATCGACTGCAAGATCCTAGAGTCACAATTGTGACGCGCGCTGGGATTGCGTGTTGGGACGTCTGCTGGACGCTAGATCGACGTTGTCGAGACTCGACGAGGATCGAGCGGAATGCTCTGAAAATGCCTAGGTGAGGGGTCCAACAAACGCTTCCCGGCTACGCCGACGGGAGCCTGGCGGGAGCGTCGTTCCGCCGCCGATCCCACCCAAACCAGAGCTCGCCCGCCCACTTTTCATTTTCTCTGCTTTCTCCACATACGCTCATCTTTGCTGCCCGGTATCACTCCCCATCCCAGCGTGACTGCGTGGTTGATAAGCAGCGGGTGATGAGCACCATGGAGCGTTGAACGCGAGTCTGGTGGCAATCGAAGGACCCTTACAAGTTCGTTGCGGGACCCTGCATTCGCGCTGGCTTGGAACGCGTCGAGGTCTCGTGCGAGAGACTCATCTCGTCGAGCCGGGTTTGGCTCGAAAGTGGAGCAAAACCGCGCTGCAGAGGCGTGCTGCACTGACCCGTTTAGGAAAGCTTGGCACACGCCAGAGGCAGTGCCGTGGCTGCGCATTGTTAGGCGATGCGTCGGTGTGGGGTTTGGGCTCGACCGCTTCGTCATATCTCATTTCCATCGTCATCAACTTATCAGACGCAGACTATCGTCCAACTCCGAAAGACCTCTGACCTGGTCTCGTCTATACAGTCTTTTTGGTCTGCAACCCTGTAGACGCTCTTTCGGTGCAAGGGACGGTGGAGCGCGGAGCTCACGTGGCCACTCTTTCACGATAGACGTCGCGCAAGAGCTCGACCAAGACCCGCTCATCGAAAATGACCTCGAGACCCACCACACCCATTCTCCATCAGCCCGGATCGTCGAGTCTGGCGACGCCAAGGAGCAGCACAGAGCAGCATCGCTCGGGACGGCAAGGCATCACCATCGAAGAGCCGGTGCGGCCCCGTGGTGCGAGCCACAGCTCGCTCGCCTCGGCTGCCGGATCCGGATCCAACTCACCATCGCGATCGGGTATCGTCGGCGACGGCACCTATGGTGGCCGCCGAGGCGGACCGTCGATGCACAAGAGCCGCACCAGCAGTTCGGGCGGTCTGAGCGATGTCAAGGCAGGCTACGAGCGCAGGGTCGGCTTCGACACCATGCCCGACGCCGACGAGACGAACAGCGGTGCATTCAGCTTCACCCTGCAGGTCAAGTCGAGGGGCTTTCTGCGCACCAAGAACACACGCACATTCATGGTCGCCATGGATGACAATGCACACTCGGAGCGCGCGCTCGAGTGGCTCATGGAGAACCTCGTCGAGGACGGCGACGAGGTGGTGGCCGTGCGCATCCTCGATGGCGAGGCGGACCAAATCGACCAGGAAGAGGCGCGCGAAGAGGCACGCGAACTCATGGCATCCATCGTCGAGCTCAACGAGGAGGCCGAGGATCGCAAGATCTCGATTGTCGTCGAGTTCGTCGCAGGCAAGGTGGTGTCGACCATCCTGCGCATCATCCACGTCTACCGCCCGGACAGCTTGACCGTAGGAACGCGCGGCAAGTCGGCCAACAAGTTTCAAAAGATGCTCGGACAGCACATCATGGGCCACGTCAGCCGCGACATCCTCACCTCGAGCCCCGTGCCGGTGGTGGTGGTGAGGCCCGAGGCCAAGGTGCAGAAGCACCTCAAGAAACGCCTCAACGATCCCAAACGCCGCGGCTATCACAACCTGGTCAAGGGTGTCGAAGGCCTCCCAATGAGCATCACCAAGAACAAGCGCCGCTCGCTCCAGGTGCCCTCTTGACAGCGGCAGCTCGCTCTGACTTGTGTCGACGTTCATGTATTTGTACCATCTTTTAGAGCACATTCGATAGATCTCTTCGCCTCTTCCTTGCAACTGGCCTGACGAATCGCAGTGAAGGACTTGTGGAGTGTCTCCGAGCCAACGGGTGCCGATTCGTGGGAGTTTGAGGACACGCTTTGGACTTAACAACGTTATGCCGGGCGCCACCGGCTACTTTCGGGCATGTCCGAAAAGCCACGAGCACTGGCGCACGAGCGCGTCCAGCCGAGCAGCCCCAGATAACGGAAAGAAGAATACAACGGGTCTTCCGCTCGAGCTTAGTGCGGGGCCAGTTGCTGGAGTCTGGTGTCGTCCGACCACCATCGTCTTCCCCTTCTCCCTCTCATCCTCCAACTGTCATCGCAATGCCGTCGCTTCGCGGCCACTGTCACTGCGGCGCGCTCGAGTACCAGCTCAATGCTGACCCAGCGCACTTGCGTCTCTCGGCGTTCTGCCACTGCACGCGCTGCCAGCGAATCAACGGCGCGCCATACGTGTGGACGACGCACTGGGCCAAGGACGCTGTCACCTGGTCGTCGCGAGGCAAGCCTTCGTCCGCTCCAGATGCTACTGCTCAAAAGGTGCTCGGCGAGGGCGTCACCACGGCCAAGCTGTACGAATCGGTGCCCGGGAGCAAGTTCAAGCTGCGCTGCTCCGAGTGCGGCAACCCCATGGGATCGTGGAACGACGCCAAGCAGCAGTGGTCCATCTGGCCCAGCACTCTGGAACGTCCCAACGGCGACTCGGAGCAGCTGCCCGGTACAGAGGCCTTCCCTGCGACCGCACACATCTTCTACGGCAAATGGAAGGTCGCCAAGGTCGTCGACGACTTGCCCAAGTTCCTCGGCTATCCGAACGAGTCACAGCAGGTGGACAGGGACGCCGAACCGCTGCCGGCCAACTTTGGCGTGGGCGACTTCAACCCGCACGTTCCACGTGACATGGTCGGCTATGGCGAGAAGCCTCCGCACCCGCAGTGGCCCAACAATGCTCGCATTGCCGTATCGTTCGTGCTCAATTACGAGGAGGGTGGCGAGAACCTGACGCTCAACGGCGACCAGTTTGCGGAGCTCTACCTCACCGAATACGGTGCGGCCAACGGCTCCAAGCCGCCGGCCAACGTGCGCAACCTGAGTGTCGAGTCGGCGTACGAGTTTGGCTCGCACCGTGGATTCTGGCGTGTGCTGGATCTGTTCCGCCGCAACGGCCTCACATTCACCAGCTGGTCGGTCGGCCGTGCTGTCGAGCAGAATCCTCAGGTGGTCAAGGCGATGGAAGACGCCGGCTGCGAAGTGGCGAGCCACTCGTACCGTTGGTTCGACCACTCACTCATGTCGCAGGAGGAAGAGCGTGCGCAGATCCAGGCGGCGATTCGCGCCATCAAGTCGGCCTCGCCCAACTCGCGCGAGCCAAGGGGATGGTACACCGGTCGCCAGTCGATCAACACCCGCCGCCTCGTGTACCAGACGTACAAGGAGCTCGGCCTGCACAAGGAGCTCTACGACTCGGACGCCTACGACGAGGACCTCCCCTACTGGGTCCCTGCTCCCGATGGCACGCCTGGTGAGCACTTGCTCGTGGTGCCGTACACGCTCGACAACAACGACATGCGCTTCGCCATCACACCCGGCTTCTTCAACTCCGAGTCCTTCGCCACTTATCTCATCGACGCATTCGAGACGCTCGTGGCTGAAACCTTCTTGCCACAAGACAACCCTCTCTCCGTTCCCAAGATGATGAGCGTTGGCCTGCACTGCCGCGTCGTGGGCAGACCAGGCAGGTTCCAGGGCCTCCAACGCTTCATCGACCACGTTCAGCGCCGCAATGCCGAACTCACCAAGCAGGGCAACGGTCAAGGCGGCGTCTGGGTTGCCACTCGCCAGCAGATCGCCGACCACTGGCGCACCCACCACCCCCCGCCCTCGGCATGAGTAGCGACGAAGCTTCGTTCCAGACGACACATGCACACGCGCTCATCTTGCCGCGGAGAGGAAACATGCGTGTTCGACCCAATGCAATGGATAATAAAACATGAAGATGGAGGCAATATGTGTTGTGCATGCGTATCGTGAGGGCGTTCAGGAGCGTTCAAACTGGTATCGGACACGATCGGCGGCGAGGTAGAAGAGCTGCGGAGGGCGCTTGGGCGCAGCACCTGGTGCACCGAGCGTGCCGCCCTTCATCTGCTCGACTTGATCGCCAACCTCGGCCGCCAATCGGCCGCCCTGCATTTCGGTGGGCAGGATGGTGAATCCGAGCGGGCCGCACTCGCAGTCGGGGCAGAGGAGGTACTTGACAGTCAGCTCTTCGCCCGGCGTGAGTCCGAGCGAGAGGTGTGCGAGCAGCGAGCTGACGTCTTCGTCCTCGGCATTCGAGTCCGATCCACTGCCGCCACGCTTGCGCTCGCGCTTCTCCTGCTTCTCCTTGGCTTTTTGCTCTTTGCGACGCTCCTTCTCCTCGCGCTGGCGCTCCTTGTCTTCGCGCTTCTGCTTGTCGCGCGCCTCCTTTTCCTGCGCCTTGGTGCGCGGTGCATTGAGCCCGGCGCTGATGCTCGACGCGCTCGGCGCCGACGCATCCGCACTTTCCAGCCGAGGTGATGTCGGATCGTTGCTGATCGGCACGCTCCACTTCATGTCGCGCGAGAAGCCGACGTTGTCGAATTGAAGCGGGCCAGCCACCTGCCAGAAGCCTTTGACGGTGGTCAGCAGCCGGTTGGAGATGCCTGGGCTGGCGGCATGTAGCGGAAAGGCAGGCGCCTGGGGCGGCGACGGCGAGTTGGGCAATTCGAGAGCCGGATTCGACAGGGGACCGCTCTCCTTGCGCGTCCATTCACCCGCGCCTTTGGCAAGGATGCAGCACCGGCAGTTCTCCATGGGGCAGTAGAGCTTGGCGAGGTTGGTGCCGGTCTCGCGATCGACGAGACGCGCCTCGAGGGCCATGCCGGCATCTTCAGCCGGCGTCTTGGCGGCCACAGCCTGACCGAGGATGGAAGTGTACGTTTGGCCAGGACTCTTGCCTGGCTGAGACTGTGCGGCGAGAGCGGCCATGATGGACGCCTGCGAAGGCATGCCTGCGGGTGATGCAGGCGCGGGCGAGCTAGGCTTAGGGGTGACTGACGTCGCTTTGGCGTCCGTGGCAGTTGGAGTGGGAGTCGGGGTATCATCGGTGGCGTTCGTGGCGCTGGTGGTAGTGGGAGCGCGCGTGTTGGCCGTCATCTTCAGGCCAGCCGGATTGTCATCGCTGGCGGAAGAGGTGGCGGAGGTGGTGCGGGTGAGTGCCGAGCCGATGCGGCTACCAGGGCCGCTGCTTGGGGACGGGTAGACGCTGCGCCTCATCTCGAGCCACTGGCCGCTTCCGTACTGGATATGGCTGACGCACTGGACACGGAAGCCGACCTTCCTGTAGAGGCCGGTGAGCTCTTCGTGGGCCAGAAGCGCGAGTGTCTCGTATCCGCGCTTGCCTTTGACGCCCTCGGGGCCCTTGCCTTCCTCTGCCTTTCGGATGCGAGAAATGTAGTTCTCGAGCATGCGGGTGGCCAGGCCTTTGCGCTGAAATTCGGGTGCTACGACGACCGAGTGAATGCAGACCATGTGCGCATCTTCGGACGTGTCGTGCGTCGACATGGAGCGGAGGGTGAGCGCGGGAGCGGCGGTGCCGGTGATAAAGCCGACGATGCGGCGACGTGGCTGGCCCGATACGGAGAGCGGACCCGCTACCTTGGGAGGAGGCAGGGGAACAAAGGCGCCGAGGTAGAGGTGAGGAGCCGCCTCCTGACGCTGGAGGAGCCTCTGATAGCTGGCAGCATCCTCGGGTGGATAGCCCTCGACTTCGAGTGCGTGGGCGGCGCGAACCTCTTCGGGGCGGACGTAGTCGAAGACAAGGTTTCGGGGGAGCGCCGAGGTGGAGTAGGAGGGACTGGTGACCTTGTGGAGGGAAGAGGTGCGCTTGTGAGAGCTTGCGGGTGGCGAGCGCTGCGAGGACTGGCTGACGTTGGAGGCAGAGGACGAGGAGGAGTTGGAGCGCGTGTTGGTGCGGCCGAGCGTGTTGGTGATGGTCTGGTAGAGTGTTGTGGAGTTTTGAGCCATGGAGCTCGGAGGCGGATGCATGTTGGGCAAATGGAGATGCTGCAGCAAGCCAACGACTGAGACTAGCCTGGGTGGTTGCGTGTTTGTCTTTTCGATCGAGGAGGGTCTGCCGTCGCTGCGACAGCTAGACGCGCGAAGGAGCGAGCGAAGCGCGAGGTGGAGTGCAGAGAGCTACGAAGAGAGCGGGGCCATGTTCGCAGCCGCAATCCTGGACTATGAGGAACGCAGCGATCAACTGGTGATAGTGAAGGTGCGTGAGCAAGTTGTGACGGATGTGCCGAACGGTAATGAAGCAAGAGGCAGCGGCGGGGACCTTGGACATCGGCAAGTGAGGCCCGGCCTACAACGTGTGGACGGCAGCTGCAGTCGGCGGTGGTGGTCGGCGGCGCTGGCTTTGGCAGATTCGCCCGGGTTTCGGCCGGGCGGCAGGAGGCAGAGCAACGTCGGCTGGGAATTAGCCGTCGGCCATCTTCATCGTCGTTCTCCTGCTGCCCTGGATGAGCGCACGCAGCTGCCCTGAGAGCCCTGAGCCCTGAGCCCTGAAACGACATTTCTAATCTGGCTGATTTGGCGCTCAAGCCAGGCACGGCCACAGTGGCAACGCCGCGCCTACTCAATTTTTTCGTGTCTCTCGCCCTGCCCCCAGTGTCTTGCCCGCTTGGGATTGGGCGCGCGTGGGCCGCCGTGCCAAAATAGTCAGGGGCCGAGCCTCTCTCTGCTATCGGCAGCCCCGAAACCTCGATATCGCGCAGCCTTTTGATTGTTGCCGAGTCTCGACCTCATCCACTTTACCGTATCCACATGCAATCAGCGGCCCGCGGTCCTGACTTCGGTGCGCCAAACAAGCCCGCCGACTTGCAATGAGGCTGCTCTTTCAGCCTCGATACAGCGCATTCACATGAGCAGCTCAGCTTAGCCAGCCAGCCCGCCAGCCAACCAAGCCAAGCCAAGCCAAGCGGACCCACACTCGGTTGAATCTCGGCCTGGACCCGCCACTTGGGCGGAGGCTTTCGGTCGGGAATCTCCAACCCTCACAGGCCGCGCTGACTTATTTTACCTCGAGGCAACGATGCCTCTCTAAGCTGTCTGTCTGAGTCTCAATTCCCCTTGGCATCGGCTTCCCCGCCTTGGCTTCTAAGTTCGTCCGTCCTCTGCCAGTGCGGCCCCAGCGCATTCTTCCAAGCCTTGCGGCCCAAACTGCACACCGAGCCATCTGCAACGGCTGCGTTTCCTTCTCCGCTTCTTACACCTTCTTTCAACAGCTGACCTGTACGGCGGGGCTCGACTCAAGCGACCGCCACCGGCGACGTAGCCCAACCTCAGAGTCCCGTCAGAAGCGTGAGAAACGCCAAGGCGCGACGGTCGTCCATCTCCAGCCTCGCTTGGCCATCGGTTCTGACGGCTCTGGCATCGTCCAGTGAGCCCTTGCGCTTGATCAATGCGCTGTCTTCCTCGACCACACACGAGCATCTGTCCATCGTGACCCAGTCCAGCCAAGCCATGCGCGATGCACCTCTTGACCGAGCCATCCATTGCGGCGGAGCACGTTGTCCTGGCAACATGTGACGCGATCCTGACTCGCCTGGCATCCGAGCTCGCCTCTCTCCCCCACGACCAGCGGCTCTTTCCGAGGTCCATCGGGGAGGAGCTCCATCGGGGCTCTTCCTGAACCCGATGCAAGATTGTATCGGCTATATGCACGTCATAGAGCGTTGGTGTTCGGTCAGTGCGAGGCAACAGCTGCAGCTTCTGCACGCCTCGTTGTGGCTGTTGCTGTGGCGGTGAGCGGCGGCCCAAATTCCAGCCGCCGCCGCTGCCGCATGTCGAGGCTCCGTGTTGGGCCCGTGATGGCTTGCAGCACGGTCCGTCCGAAGATAGCAACGCTAGCCTCGGATGGCGTCGAGGTGGAGTCAGGCAATGCAGTCTCGGTGACGAACCAAGTCGCATCCCCCGTTCTACCTGAGGAGACAGGCAAGACAGCGCAGACAGCGAAGGAATCTTCGCCGGTCACTGAACAGCGCACAAAACGACGAGCTTATATACCCGGCCGTTGATGCGTTCTTGTCCTCCTTCCATCACCGCAAAAGCAGGTCTGGCCTGAATCTCCAAGATGAAGAAGTTCCTCGGCAAGGTCCAGCAGGGCATGAACAAGTTCGACCAGGATCGCAAGGCCGGTAAGGTCATGGCGACCGCTCAAACCACCTTCGACGCCCTGCCGCCCACCTCTGTCGATGCCCCGCCCACGCGCCGCGACATCTATCGTCATCGAAAGCAACGCGGAGTCAACCTCGGCTCTTGGTTCTCGCTCGAGGCATGGCTCACTCCTTCCCTCTTCCAAAAGGCCAGGGATTCCAAGGCAAGCGAGCTCGATGTCGTCGCGGGCATGGATCCCAATGAGGCCAGAGCCATGCTCGAGAACCACTGGGACAATTTCATCAACGACGGTGACCTCCAATGGATGGTCGACCATGGGATCAACACTGTTCGCATCCCCGTCGGCTACTTTCACTTCCTCGCTGGTCACCCCAACGAGAGTGTGCGAGCCCTCATCAAGGACACTGATTACGAACGATATGCTCCCATTTATGCGGGCGCCTTCAGCCGCATCCAACGTGCCATCGAATTCACCGCGAGCCGCAATGTGGGCGTGCTCGTGGATCTTCATGGCGCGCCTGGTGGTCAGAATGCCGATGCCCACTGTGGTGTCAGCGACGGCAAGGCAGCCCTGTGGGACTCTCCGGCCAATCAGCAAAAGACCATCGAGATCTTGAAGGCCATGGCATCCGAGTACGCCCGCTTCGAAAACGTCGTTGGGCTCGAGCTCATCAACGAGCCCAAGAACTCGGGCAGCCTGTCATCATTCTACGATCAAGCCATCACCCAAGTGCGCTCGGTCTCGCCCGAAGTAGCTGCTCTGCCGCTCTACATCGGTGATGCCTGGGACACCAACTACTACACCGGCTTTGTCGGCCAGCGCGCCAGCGCAAGCAACTTCCTCGTCACCGACCATCACCTCTACCGATGCTTTACCCCGCAGGATCTAGCGACGCGAGTCGAAGATTTCGCGCGCAAGCTCAACCCGGGCACCTCGCCCTTGCCAACCAACTCGGACGGTGCTGGCGAGACAGCAGTCTGGTTGAAGGACATGTCGAACCGTTGCGGTGGATCTCTGGTCGTTGGCGAGTGGAGTGCCGCCCTCAACCCGGCTTCGCTGCAGTACCTCGCCACCGAAGAGCAGCAGCGAGCTGCCAAGGCGGAGTACGCTTTCAACGAGTGGAAGAGCTTCGACAAGTTCTGCGCAGGCTACTTCTTCTGGACGCTCAAGAAGGAGGGTGCTCCCGACACCGGCTGGGGCTTCTACTCGGCTGTCGAGCGCGGAGTCCTCCCGCAGCATCTGGATCCGCACCGCGGACAACGCAAGTCAGTGCAGGAGCTTGAAGCTGCGCGCCAGGCTGCCCAGGATGCAGCGCTCGCAAGCCACGCCAACTACTGGGATCAGCAGAGCGGCGGCCCCTACGAGCACTGGCGCTTTTCCGAGGGCTACAGCCTTGCGTGGACGGACTCGGTCGAGTTCCTCAAAGCAAACGAATCCAACGAGATCGGCTTCACCGGTCAATGGCAGAAGACCAGGACCGCTGCTCACGCTCAGGCCAAGGGTCAGGGCAGCACAATGATCTGGGAGTTCGAGCACGGCTACAACCAGGGCCTCGCCGGCTTCAAGTCGGCGCTTTACCGCTGAAAGATGGCTGTTCTGATCTCTAGCATAGACATTCAATTCGGAATCGTATTCTTCTCTGGAAACGTCCAAGCAGTCCAGCTTGAGAGTATCGAGGGCCAGCGGTGCGCGATTGCAGCTCGAAGAGTGAGCATCCGAGCTTAAAATTCCGAGCCCGGTTAGACGCGAATAGCCGAAGTTGATGAGCGGCCACTTTGGGTCAGACACATCTTCGAGACTTTGCGGCGGATTGCGACTTGCTATTCGACCTTGATCTACATCTTGTTTCCGCCATGTCATCGTCGACCGTAACGCCAAAGACACTCACCTACGTGAGCGGGAGCTCCGACTTCGAGCAGCAGCTCGATCTGTACCTGCCGTCAGAGCAGACAGCGTCGAGTCTGGTGGTGTTCATCCACGGCGGTGCATGGCGCACAGGATCGCGCAAAGACCACGCGGATCTTGCCAAGTATCTGTGCGCAAAGGGAAAGGCGGTTGCAATTGTCGACTACAGGCTCTCGGTCAAGGACGATCAGGGTCTGCCAAAACACATCCACCCCGTGCACGTGCAGGACGTCAATGCGGCCCTAGCGTTCCTGCATGTTCGAGACGATGTGCCAAGCAAAGACTGGGTCGTCGTTGGTCATTCCATCGGCGCATGGCTCACACTTGCTGCCATCATTAGTGGCTCTTCAAGCTCGCCGGATGCTCAGTATCCGGCTCCGATGCCAACTCCAAGCAGCGCAGCGAGAGATTCCATCAAAACTTGTGTCCTGGTCGTAAGTGCATGCCCTTTCATTTGCTGATTGATCGAAATGAATTCTGATCTTCATTGTTCGCATGCAGGACGGAATCTTTTCGGTCTCGGGACTTCTCCAAGAATACCCGGACTACGACGGATTCGTCGCACAAGCATTCTTGCCCCACCCCGGCCCGGCCGAGTACGACGTTGTTTCATGTGAGAACTGGCCGCTGGCGTTCGACGGCAAGCAGCTGCATGTATGGCACTCGTGCGACGACGAACTGCTATCCTTCAAGCAGAGCCTCGACATCATTCTTCATCTCGACAGCAAGCTTTCGACCGCCGCGTCTGCTTCCATTCCGGTTGTCATCCCGCAGGACGGGAACGCAAGCACAACCGAGGTGCAAGGCGAAAAGAAGCTGCTCGCTTCGTTGTACGCCAACACATCCATCAAAAACGCCGACCAGCTGCACGCAGATCTCACCACTCTGAAGGTAAGTGTCCTCAGGCCATGCCCGATGCGACGACTTCCAAGACTGACTGTTCTGCTGGCGACTTGACAATTCAGGGCGCGCACGATGATCTTCTGCATACAGAGACCTTCTGGAACCTCATTCTGGCGCTATGAAAGGTGGAATGGCATATCATTCAAGAAGGGCATAGAGAGCTGAGCACAGCGCGATGAACAGATGAAACGTGAGAAGCTCGGGCGACGAGGCAAGGTGCGCTTAGAACTGCAGCATGGGGTCGTCTTTGAAGATGAAGTCCCAGAAGTCGCGCTTGGCGAATCCTTTGAGGGCTGGCGCAGGGCGCTCCTCTTCGGAATCGCGCTTGCTGATCGGTCCGCCAGAACCGCCAGGAGCTGCACTGGCGTCGTTTAATTGCGATGAGTACCTGTTAGGGGGAGGGGACTTCTTCGGATCGTCAAGCACAGAGCCGGAGAAGCGGCCAACCTGGTTCTCGGTGACGGCGACCAAGCCGCCCTTGCCCTTGGCATCGAACTTGCCGAGCGTGACGCGGTCGATGGAAAAGATGACGCCCTTGTAGTCGACGCCCGAGTTGTTCTTATGGGCGTAGCGGCTCTTGTCCTTCTTGTGCACATTGGTGGCCTTGCCCTGGCCCTGGCACTGCACCGCTGGGGTGGCGTGCTCGTCGAAGTCGTCGACCTCGATCTCGATGTTTTCATACAGCACCGTGTGCTTCTGCGTGCCTTTCGGGCACTCGGCACAGTAGTACTCGGCACGCCAGAACGACATGTTGGTGGAGAGCTGCAGGTGCGTAATGTCCACCGGCTTGCCGTGCTTGTCGTAGATGATCTGATTCCACACACCCGGCTTCTCGTCGTTACGAACAAGCTCAAAGTACAGCTTGGAGCCGGGATCCTGAGCTGCCTTGTGGGCATCGGTGGGGACAACCTTGGTGACCTCCTTCTCGCGCTTGACCGTGTCAACACACATGGATCCTTGAGGCGACGAGACCGACGCCGCGCCGATTGAGGTGGTTAAGCTGGTCTGGTCCTTTCCATCGGAGGCAGCATCGCCAAAAGCGCGCTTGCCCAGCTTTCCATCGGCCGCACTGGAAGCCTTGCTCTCGCTTAGGTCAGGGAGGGCCGACCGCGGCACAATGTAGGGACGGTTGACGCAAGTCTCGCCGTGGCGGGCAAGCGACTTTGCGCAAGCACCCTTGTCTGGGTTCGCGTCCGAGTACAGTCCCGAGGTCGCCTTGACCACAGTGCCACGCACGGATTCGGACGAAGCCTCGGTGGTGGATCCGCTTTCGTCGCTGTCGATCTGAACGGTCATCTCGTAGCGAATGCGCTTGATGTTTGCCGTGTCGTGGCCGAGCGAGCAGTGGGCGCGGTCGCCGAGCTGAGCCGCCACGTCGCCGGGAACAGCGAACTTGGAGTCTTCGAGCAGTGTCTCGGACTGTGTAGGAGTGTGAAGGTCATCGCCAACCAGCTTGAGCACAGCCTGTTTAGACGCCTGGACGTTGCTGAGGTTGACTGGAGTGGCGTGCTTGCCAGAAGGAGCCTTGCTCTGCGAGAAGACGTCGCCATCACGAGCAAGGAGGTGCTGCTCGATGGGGTCCAGAGCGGCTGCAACGGTGAGCGAAAGCGTCACCATGGCCAGCAGGCCCGTCGAGACGGAAGATTTGCCGAAGAGCATCGTCGCGAGAAGGATTGGGAGAAAGAAATCGAACGGGGCTATAGGGCAGAGGGTCGATTCCCCCTGAAAGAGAAAGGATGTCGATTGATGCTGACGATGCTATTGGGGGGACACCCAAAGTGGCCTGGCTCTTATACAGTACACGAGTCCCTTGCTCTCTCCAGGGGTCTTGTGGGTTGCTCAGGCGGGCGCTCCTCGCGGGACTCGTCCCACCACTCGCTAAAAGACGAGCTCGCAGTAACCACACCACGGAAAAGTCAGAGGTGGGATTCTGTTTGCTACCGACCCTAACTTTCTATGATACTCCGTGAAAGTGAGGACCCGCCATCCAGCCCAGGTCTAGTGGCACGCGGCAAGTCTATGATACAACTCTGCACAGGCAGAGGGCGGGAGAGAGACCCCGATCTCATATGCGGATTGCGCGGATGCGCCACGCGGAGCACACAAGAGGCGTGGGGCCAGGTGGCGCATGCTTCATTATCGTGTCAAGATGGTGGGCTTTGCCAACGCGTGTCGACGGCCGAAGCGGAGCCATGAAGTCGTGTGAAGAGGCGTCGAAGAGGCGTACAGCGCACAGACCTTCAAAATTTCTCCATCTCGCTGCGTCCCTTCTTCTTTCCGAGGCATTTTTGGTGCCTCTAATTTTCTTTGTCAATCACCATCACCGACTTCTTGCGACCGGACCTCTTCACGCCACCCTTCATCCGCAGTGACGCCCCAGATAGCCAAGTTCCTTGGCTCACTTCAATATACGATCCGGACCGCTTTCTGCCTCACACTCGCTGCTCTAGCGTGTGCCTATCTCTGGACCCTGCCGCTTCAGCTACTCTCAGGTGACAACATGTCGGTGCTCAAGACGCTCATCATCAACCCACGCTCGGGCGTCAAGCCCACAGCCACGCTGTTCTTCATGCACGGACTGGGCGACTCGAGCGCAGGCTGGTCCGATGTGGCACAGATGCTCTCGCAGCGCCCCTCGCTCTCGCACGTGCGCTTCGTGCTGCCCAATGCGCCCATCCAGCCCGTCACGCTCAACATGGGCATGCCCATGCCTTCTTGGTTCGATAGTAGGTCGTCATATTCTTGTGTGTGGCCCAGCTACGCCCCTACTTTCCCCTGCACGGCTCTCCTTTGAGTATTTGCTGACCTTCGCCTTCGTTTGCTTCCCTAACAGTTTTGGCGCTTGACGACCTCTCTGGAGCGGAAGACGAGGCGGGCTTGCTCAAGTCGACAGACGAGATCAAGAAGCTCATCAAGGCCGAGAACGACGGCACTGCCCAGGGACTTGACGGTCACCAAATCCCCAGCGAACGCATCGTCGTGGGCGGCTTCAGCCAGGGCGGCGCCATTGCACTGCTCACCGGCCTCACCAACCAGAACGCCGTCGCGGGCGTCGCGGCTCTGTCGACCTGGCTGCCCCTGCGTGCGAAGATCGCTGCGCTCCGAGCACCCACCTCGAAAAACCTCAAGGTGTTCCAGGCGCACGGTGACGCCGACCAGGTCGTCAAGTACGAGTACGGCCAGCGCACCGTGTCGTTCCTTAGGAACGATCTCGGCCTGGCGGAACAGGACGTCGAGTTCCGCACCTACCCGCGCATGCCGCACTCGGCGTGTCCTGAAGAGATCCGCGATCTGGCCGCTTTCCTCGAGAAGGCCATTCCGGCTCAGTAGCTTGCATACGCTGCACACGCCATGTTGAGAGGATCGATCAATGTACAGTAAAATCTGATAATAGAACACAATACAGCCGAAAGACATTCGGAAGGGTCGGGCGAAAGGGACTATAGCCGAGAGCTAGTCTTGGTAGAGGCTGGCTCACGACTGGAGAGTCAGGCGCCGTCGATGGTGATGACGATCTTTCCGATGTTTTTGTTGGCCTCCATCTCGTCGTGGGCGTCCTTGATGTCGTTCCAGGAGTAGACCTTGTGGATGATGAGCTTGCTGTGGTGCTTGCCGGAGCTGTCGGGGCGAGCGCCAGCGATGAGGCGTTCGAGGCCGTTCTCCTTGACAAAGCCTTGGACGAGCTTGCTCTGGTATTCGAGGCTGCGAGAGCGGAGGGCGGAGCCTTCGACTCTGAGGCGCTTGAAGAGGAGCTGGGCCAGCACGATCTCCTTGACCTTGGCGCCGCCCATGAAGGCGAGCAGGACCATGCGGCCGTCGCGCTTGAGGCTGTTGAGGTTGTTGGTAAAGTAAGGCGCGCCGACAAAGTCGACGATCACGTCGACCGAGCCCGCAGGGCCCTGGGCTCCCGTGTGCTTTGCGAGCTCCTCGGCCCAGTCTCCCGCCTTGTAGTTGAAGCCCTTGTCGGCACCAATGTCCTCGCAGATTTGGATTTTCTCCTGCGAGCCGGCAGTGACGTAGATCTTGTTGGCTCCAAAGGCACGTGCAAGCTGGATGGCGGCAAGACCGACACCTGACGCGCCGGCGTGGATGAGGACGTCCTCGCCCTGCTTCAACTCGCAGATGGTGCGCAGTGCCTGGAAGGCGGTGAGGTAGTTTTCCGGGATGGCGGCTGCCTTGACCCAGTCGAGCTCGCTGGGCTTTTCGAGGATCATGCGAGCAGGCACCTTGATGTACTCTGCATAAGCGCCGCCGACGGCGAGACCAAATACCTCCTGGCCGACCTTCCATTGCACATCCTTGAGGTTCTTGGTGGCGACGACGTGTCCGGAGAATTCGACACCCATGATCTGTGGAGCGTGCGGAGGGAGCGGGTAATTGCCCTCACGCTGCATGATGTCCATTCGGTTGAGTCCAAAGGCTTTGATCTTGACGAGCACCTCATCATCGCCGAGCTCAGGCACGGGCGCTTCGCCCAAGTACAGGTTCGAGGAGGGACCCTTGCCGTCCTTGACCAGGATGGCCTTCATCTGCGATGGTACATCGGATGACATGGCTCTGGTCTGACCTGTTGATGCGCTCGCCTTGAATGACTTGATGGAAGAGACGGCGCTAGGACGATGAATGCTTGCGAAGCGTTGCTGCGAGGAAGCAACTGCAGTTTGAGAGAAGGGACGCAAAGGAGCGAGGGTGAGGGACGCGATGGGCTTTGAGAGACGGAAGGAGTTGAGCGAGTTTAAAAGTTTGGGATAAAGACGAGCGGCAGCAGACATGCTGCGAGGTACAGTGAGCGGTAGCGGTAGCGATGGATCGAATATCAACCCGGCAATGCTTCTGATCTCCGAGCTAGATAGCCGCGTTCAACAGGGTGAGAGCACTGGCCCAATTTTGCGTTGCGGTAAGGGCGAACGAATGCAAGTGAGGTTTGCAAACCGATCACGAACGGAAGGCGGAGGAAACGAAACGAGATGCCGGATACCGGGTCACTCAGCCTCGTCCGGCGGCTCCCCGATGCGCACGGACTTTAGGCCTCCACACGCAGGATCAGGCTGAATTTTTATGTTGCAAGTGTGTGAGGCTAGGGTCGAACAGCTCTGCGTTTTTCGAGCTTTAACATCCTAGAGATTTGAGCGCTGCTGCGAGCTCGTCATGATCGCGTTTTGCGGGATTGATGAAGCCTACTGCTGGATGCGGTCAGTATGCGGTAAGGATGCGGTTACTTGACCGGCAGGAGTTGAGGATCGACGTGACCCACCCACCTCGAATCTACTTACAGCTGCTCGTTAGGCAAAAAGGCATTCAGATGTCGTAGCGCACAAGGAGACAAGCATAGTAAATTGGGTCGGCAGCGCGAGAAAGGTGATTGTCGTACGATGTTTGAGCTACGCTTGTGGTCGCCACGACGAAAGAGGAGACCATGAACGACAGCTGATCGTGGAGGACCGTGAATGGCGGAGCCGCCCGGATGCGCAAACGGGCTGGTGGGGCCGAGCGAGTTGCGGCGCCTTGACCTGATACGAGCGAGCAACAGCCGCCTTCCAAGACCCGCGGGTGCCGCTCGACTCCGCTGGGATTTGCGACGATGCGGAGTGCATTGATTGAGACTGTAGGCTAGGGTTTGCAACGCATCGAGTCGCGAGTTGAGCGGGATGAGCGGGGTCAAGATTTATTTGAAAGCACGACGCTCCGCCGCGGGCAGAGATCTACATTGCTCAATTTGTCCGCTCGCTCGTTCTTAGTGGCAGCCGCAGCAGCGACAGCCAAGCTTCAGACAGCAGTGCGAGCTGCTCGAGGTCCGACGTGTGTTGTTGGCAGCTCAAGCCAGATTTGGACGTCTTATGCGTCACGATACCTCGGTGACTTAGTGAGCAAGAACCCTGGCAAAGGCAGCTGTTTGTGTCACACGCCGTGGGCAACGAATGCATCCTCTCAATGGAGCCATCGAGCATGCACCGATGTTCGCAATGAACCATGCTGCCTCGACAATGGCAAGGGTCACCAAGAAGTGCGGGTTACGGCAGACTCGGCTTTCTTAGGCGGCTGGATGATCAGCCGCGCAAATCAGGCACGCGCACGCCAAGGAAATGCAGGCACGTCCTGTCAAACGCTTCGCGAGGAAGCGGATGGAAAAGCTGGTCCGCAAGCGAGAGCTGCACGTTGCGCGTGCCTCCAACGTCCGCGCGCCCACGGTGTCAAACCGCAGCTCGCTTATGCTGCCATTTCGGTTGACCGACGGTCGCCGCACGGCCAACCCGTGCGAGCAAGCGAATTGCGAATGGTGCCACTTCGTTGACCGTTGTATTGCAAGCAACTGCGACACTCAGGATGAGAGGGCTAGCCGCATGCTTCGGATGCAAGCCCGGAAGCGTTGGCGGCACCCTCGTTGCCGCCTTACTAGATGGCTCGGCTGGAGATGGAGGCGTGATCCCGAACCAACAGCGTCGGCGTGCTGGAGTCAAGACCCGAGTCTGGACCGTCTTGGCGATTCAAAGTTGGGCAAGATGAAGTGCATGCGATGTGCCCTCGGTTGCAGGCAGGGATAGGCGCAAGAAGCTCGCTCAGCTGATATGAGCGCGTGATGTAGAAGCCAGCCCCACCCGCTATGGGGCGACCGCAAGCGTCGAGCTCTAATCCTCGGATATCGGGCGATTTGCGCGAAGGCAGACGAGCCCACGAGCAGGCTCCAGCTTTGTAGACGAGGGATGTTTGACACTTGACACTCCGACACACAGCTGAGGGCGCGTCCAGACCAACTCGCAGCCATGGACCAAGCGAGCACGCGCCTGTTGCTGCCAATTTCCGCATCGAGGTTGAGCGACGGAAAAAAGGCAGGAGGGCGTGCAGCGCACTGACACGCGAGCTGCTGAGAGAGCGCGAAATTTCGACTGGGAAGCTGGTTGGGCTGCGCTTTGCTGTGGCTGGAATTTGGCATTCTGAGTCCAAACTCAGAAGCGAGAGGACGGGCGTGGGTTTTCCACTCGATTCTCCGTTCCGTGATTTCGTGCGGGGCCGCTGCGTTGATTTTTGCAGCTGAAAATTCGGCGGCTGCACACGGCAGCAAAGCGCTCGCAGTCGGGCTTCCACTTGAAACATGGCGGCTCACCTGTTGCCTAGCGCCATCTGTCGCCGATCCTTTGTCAAGCGCCTATTGCCGCCTCGAACTCGAGCTCGCTCGTCCCTATGGTCCAGACCAGGGTTTCAGACGTGCAGCGCGTCACCACCACCACCGCTACCGGCCCGCGGCTCGCGAGCTGAGCCTATTGCAGAGCCACATCTCGAGTGAGCAGTCTGTCCGCTCCCAACGCATGCAGGCACCCTCGTCCGGCGCTTGGCCCGCAACAAGCTTGGCCTCGGTAGCCGCCCTCGAACCACCTCCTCCGCGTCGGCTGGACGTGTCTCACCACCAATGACTTGGCCTTCTCTCCAGATTGCCGATTCTATTGTGTAGCTTGGACTGTATGCATCGCGCCGCCGCCGTCGTCGCCGCCGCCCCTCGGCTGTCGTCTTTGAGTTCGGAGCCCGATTCTCCTTCCCTGGCTAGTCTTGGCTCCACAATGGCTTACCTCCGCCAGAGACATGTGTTTCACTAATCGACAGGCCGCCGTCGCTCGCCTGCTTCCCCTGTAGATGCAGTCCGCAGCCTTTCATCCGTTTGACATCCGCCCCGCCGCACCAAGCGCATGCAGCTTTGCGTGCCTCCTCAGCCCTTGGGCCGGAGCGCAGAGCCCATTCGTGCATACTCCAGCTGCCGGCCCCCGGCCCGCGCCTATGCTGACCGCCTTCGTCTCTGGATCCGGTTGATCGACAGTGAATGCTGCCTCCTGTGCTCCTCCGGAGCCCTTCCTCTTCATCTGAGTCAAGGTCCGTTGATTGTGTCAGACATCGGATGTCCTCTACGCTCCGACATTGTTCTCGACCTGTCCTTCCGCCTGCGCCTGACCCGTCAGCCTGGGTGTCCACCAAATCCTCGCTGGTTCTATATAATCCTCTCACCCTTGACATTGGCATCGACGTGCCTCTACCCCATATAACCCTCATCCATACCACCGACCCTCGTCGCTCCGTCTATACTCGTGTAGCCGCTGATCTCGCCAGTCTAGAGTCGCTCTGCTTCTCCAGTATGTCGAGTTCGTCGCTGCTCTTCTCCACCCTGACGCCAGCCTCGCCGTCCACGTCCAGCTCCACCTCGTCCTCGCGCAGCCGACCCGAATATCGCAGGTCGTCCACCTTCTCGGGCGCCTCGATCTACTCGCGCGACAGCTGGTGCTCCAACGCCGAATCCGAGATCTCCGTCTCCTCCACCACACAGGGCCACATCTCGCACGAACAAAAGGCTTTCGAGCAGGTCGTCCTCGCCAGCATCGCCACCAACGCCATCTTCGGATCCACCTCGCCCCGCAAAAATCGCTCGGCAGGCATGCGTACCTCGATCGACTCGGCACGTTCCTGGACCTCATCTGGCCCCTCGGTCCGTTCGCCTCTTACTCCGGAAGCCCCGCTCTCTGCGCTCCGCGAGAACGAGGTGGCCAAGACGCCCATGCTCGCCACCATCGCACTGCCACCAGTCGAAGAGATGCCCAAGCGCAGGCGCCCTCAGCTCTCGAGGATCGTCTCGGACGAGGTGCAGTACATTGGTCGATCGCTCGACGTGCCCGTGTCCGAGGACGGTCACGCGGAACGCTCGGTGTGCATCCGACGCTCCGCGTCCACTGCCTCTTCGGCATCGCGCAACTCGAATCGCTACTCGCGCTTCAGCCAGGCAGGCGGCAAGGACGACCTCAAGCTCGCCATGGACGAGCTCGAGCAAGAGCTTGCACGCACCATGGCAACACTCTCGGCGACCAACTCGCCCGCTTCTACCGTCTCGGTCAGGTCGAGGTCCAAGGCGCAGAGGAGGCCTCACACTGCAGACAAGGTCATGGCCGTTGGATCCGCCAAGACTTATCCCACCGGCCTCGCTCAGGTGGCCGTGGGCTCGAGTGCATCGATGCCCTCGCGATCGCGATTCCAGCGCGAGTCGTGGATGTCATCGAGCAGCAACGCTCACGAGAGCGAGGCAATCTTCTTTACCAACCCCATCCGCTTCTCTGCGTCCGACCTCACACTGCTCGCCGAAGGAGCGGAAGCTTCGAAGCGCTCAAGCGTCATGAGCATCCAGGACGAGTGCGAGCGCCCGATCTCGACGGCTTCGAGCTACTCGAGCCTCGCATCGCGAAGTGCACTCGAAGACGCTGGTGTGCCCGCGCTCGTGTTTGATGGACGTCTTTCGGGCTCGTCCACCGGCTCGTCCGTGGTTTCGTTCCAGGACGCCTCGAGCAGGCCGGGCAGCCTGGTAGTTGTGCCGCCCGTGCGCACGTCGAGCAAGCGTCGTCCAGGCACGGCACGCGCAGAGACCGCTGCCGGGGGCATCCCCAAGACCGGGCTGTACCAGCTCGGCAAGGCGTCGCGCTCGACGCCCTCGCTGGTGTCCAGGCCGCCGCACGAGCCGCTTCCACCGCTCCCGAGTCTGCCTGCTGGACTCAGCCAGCTGCTGGCGAGTGCACCTGCACCGCCGCCGAGACCCACCAAGTCGCTCGCTCGAACCCCCACTTCGAGCCACCGCAACAGTCCAGTGCCCTGGACTGACAAGGCTCTCCCACGCATTCCTTGCTAATCTCGTCCCCGATACCACTCTTTTCTCTGCATTGACATTGTTTTTCGCATCCACGGTCTTTTGGGCCTGTCGTAGTCCTGCTTATCTCTAATCGTCCTCTGTAGATGACTCTTAATACCAGTCAGTAGCCTGAATAGGCCAATTTGTACAACTTTTTCGGGTTCACGCGTGATTACAAAACGTTGGGATGAGTGTTTACGTTTGAGGATGGCGATGGAGGTTAGGCGAGTCAAGGCCGTGGGAGAGACGCCCTGAGCGGGTGGCGAGGATGATCTTGTTCCTGCGTGGATCCACCGTCCGCAACCGACGGAATGCAGACGAACAATAGACTTCCAACTCCGCACTCTGGAAATCTCACCCGCGATGGCCGGCGTCCTCACCTCGCTTCGCACACATCCGAGCGTTGCAGTTGTGCATCAATGGATTGAGTCTACTTGGGTGGATGCGACGAGTCGAGCTGGTGGATAAGCACTTTACCTGGTCGCTCCAGACCCGGCCGCAGACCGTTGTAATACATGAAGATGGACTGTCAGACGAAAGTGTGAAATGTTAGCTCAATCTGGCGCTGCGAGCTTGTCGAACGCGGAGCTGGACTCACCATCAAAGAGCGAGGCCGTGTAGTTCCTGTGAAGACATGAACAAGAAAGGGCGATACGAGCGTCAGCATCGAGTTGCCATCTCTCAGATCCGACAGATCTACAAGCAAGCGGTTGTAACAACGCGGCCGTCAGGGCGGAAGTGTCGTCGGCGCCTGCGAGGGTAACAAAAAAAAAAACAAAAAGAAAAAAGGTACGGATCCACAAATTGAATGGTCGGGGCGCCAATTTTCCGACGTTTCAGATTTGCAGGCAGCCAAAAACCGAGCTGGGGGGCTGCGCTCTGCTGCCGGAAAAATATGCCAAAAAATCCAATCTAGGCGCCAAGCCGCGTGCCTGGCCCGTTTAGCCCTGTCGGCCCAGCCTCTGCAGTGTGTGGTGGCGGCGCCTCTGGTCTCGGCAACCGCCGCTCCTGCAACGGAGTAAAGAAGCCAGTACAGCACCACGCTTGGCTCGCTCGCAAGCAGGGTCGCCCTGCAGAGAAGCGCTGAGAGAGCATGGTTTCGCTTCTTACCCACGTCCTAAACCCGCCTCGCCGTCGCAAGCGAGGCGCAGTTGCATCGCCGCTTGCCGCCCAACATTGTCTCCATCTGCTTCCCTTCCCCATGCGGCCCCCGAGCCTCGCCCGCGCTTGCACTGTCCAACGTGGCCCGATTTGCACAGAGAGCCGCTCGCCAATCTAGGCGTCGGCGTCCAACTTTATCCTGCTCTAGCCGTGCACCCGCTGCGTGCATACGTGCGGCGTTCCAGACGTGGCGTCTTGGTCTCGGAGCGTACTTACGTTTGTGCGCCAGTCGCTGGCTGATATCTTCCAGCGCCTCGTGCACCTGCTGCACGTCTTGGTCTGCATCGATCATGTCGAGATACCGAAGGTCCGTGATGAAGTCCCTCGCCCTGCCGTTCGTGCTTGTGTCGGTGGCCGCTTGGGTGCTGCTGACCTCGCGGTGTCGCGCGCCCACAATGTCTCGCGCTTCTTGGCCCCCGGCAGCACGGTCATTCTTGCTCTCTTCGGCCAACTCTTGGCAGCTGCACGGTCCAGATTCGGTCTGGTTGCCAGATTCGGCTTGTCGCAAGCCACTGCGTTCGAATCCCGACGTGGCTGCCTCATGAACGGCGTTGGCGTCGGCGTTGACGTTGACATTGACGTCTCGATCTTGTCCGTTTGCAGTGGTCAAAGTGTCTTGCGCGCTATTCAACGCATTACCTTTCCCACGCTGTCCCAGCCCATTTTGATGGTCCGCCGCTGCGCCGACCATGCTATCCGAAACTCGAGACGCCGGCGCCTCGTACTTTGTTGGGGATACCGTCACTTCCGTCGATGGCGCAGAGCCTCCAACATCGACGGCACGCGTTCGGTGCGAGCGTGGGGCATCGTCGCGCAGCGAGCCCTGGCGATCCACTTTGTAGCCTGGCTTGTTGTGCGACTCTCGAGCACGCTGACGCGACAGGCCCATCTGCATATAAGTCGCCTTGCTGAACACCTCGATCGTATGTCTTGGCCCCACCGTCGACCGGAACATCTTTGGCAGCAAGAAGGGATAGTCGGAGAAGTCCGTGTGCTTGCTCCCCGTCAGCGTCAACAGCCATCCCCTCGACGACGTCTTGCGCGCATCCAGGCAGATCCGCTTGAGCTTGTCGAAATGCTCCTCCCATACAGTAAAGGACTCGGAATTCAGGACGTAGACGGGCTTGCCGATTCGTCCTTTGACCTCGTCTTCTTCCTTGGCTGGATCGCGTACTGGCTCGACCCAGGGATCTAAGACAATCGCCATGGGAAACGGGTTCGGCTTGCGCATCAACTCCAACACCGTCGCACCACCAAACGAGTGGCCGCAAAGCGTCGGGAACTCGAGATCCAACTTGCCCCTCCAATCCTCCAGCGGACGCTCCGCCTTCAAGATACTATTGCCCGGCAGCCGCGCGTTCGTCGCCGATGCCGAGTGGCCCGCAAGCTTCGTACCCAAATTTCGCGTAGATCGCTGGACGATCTCGTATCCGCGGCCTTCGTTGATCTCGTTGAGGACGTAGAGCGTCTCTTCGATCTCGGCATGCCGCATCTCGATCTGGTCCCTTCGCAGATCCACCTCGCGCTCCGACGGCTCGGTAGCAAACGACTGTAACCCTATTGTCTCGAATGTAAAGTATGGAACCGACGCTTTCATGCGGCCTGATGAGGGATGTCCGATGATCTTTGGTAGGGAGGCGCTTTTTCCGGCTTGGTTGGGAGCCTCTTCGCCTCGCACGATGCTGCTCACGCCCGAGCCGTCGCGGTGCTCGATGGCAGCTACGATGATGCCTTGGCTGGCCAACTCGCCGCAGAACTGCGAGTAGCTCAGTCGATTACCCGCCAGACCGTGCGAGAAGACGACGACAGGGAACTGCGGGGGTCTCTTGCCAAAGTTGCCCGCCTTGGCGCGGTCCGTGCCTTGGCGGTCGGGATGCGCCTGTCTGTGCAGCTCTTCCGGATCAGCGAGCGGTGGACCGACGCGCGCAGGCAGACGTGCATTGATGAGCGTCATCACCGCCGGGCTCGCAGGGATGGCAAAGAGGCCGTACTGGCCTACGTACTGCAGCAGCGCACGCACACCAGCGTGCACGGGGCGGCCGAGCCAGGCGGCCCGAGGGTATCGCTTCTCCTCGCTCGCGGTCATGGGGAGCGTCGGGTAGTAGATCGTGAACAGCACTGTCTCGAGATGAAGCGTGCATGTTTTTGACCCGCTAGACCACGGCGACCAGGGTAGCTTGGAGGCGGACTCGTCCTTCTCTTGGCACGAGTCTTCGTCTTGGGCATGGCCGCTTGCTTGCGCTGCAGACGCATTCGCGCTTTGACTTTCGGTGCTCGTCGCAGTCTGTGCCTCCGGTCGCGAACGAGAGCTTGTTGTAGCTTTTCCCGTCCCACCTGGCTTCTGCTTTGGCTCTGCCGAATCCGCAAGTTTCTCATCGCGGCCTTGCTTGTCCCGTCGGCTCTGTTTGGCCTCTTGATTTTGCTGTTTTGCCCTACGCCGCGCCTTACGAGCGGGTTTGTTGAGCTCGCCCGGCTCCACCACATTGTCGCAGAAGCTCCGTGGCTTTCTAACAGGGATCTCGAGATCGAGCACGCCGACCTTGAAAGGCCCGGTGTACGGAGGTAGACCCATGGCGTCGCGAAAGTCGTTGCGATGGCTTGACAATCAGCTGTTGGTAGCCATGCGGAAAAGGTTTTGGTGTTGTACTGGAGTTGGTGGTGTCGATGTATGTGGTCGCAAAGTAACATGCAACTCGACGAATCGAGAGAGAAACCGACAGTACCCCTGAGACCTCCGGGATCTTGACGATTCTGAGCAGTTCACTCAAGAGCGTCAAGCTGCAAGACACCCGTTCCGAAACCTGGCCGGCAGCCGTGGCCATTCGAAGAAGATGTTAGGGTTTGGCTGCACAATGCGGTACTCCGTGCCATCGGAAACCGAAGATCGTGGTCATGGTGTATACGCGGCCTTGGCCGCCTGACAGCTTCGCGGTGCAAAGTGATGTCATCGTGCGGTCCACGTGAGCTTGATTTAGGGTCTAACTTAACACAACCCGAAAAACTCCACTCTATGAATGCGATCTTCTCTCACTACCTAGCTTCGGGCTCAACGCTGCTCGCCGACCCACGAGCAGGAACATTTTGGGTGAATTGATTGCACTAGGTGATTTGATGATCAGGTATCTACATGGCGCTCTTGTCTTCACGACAAGATTACAAAGTTCAAGGCTGGTTCCGTTACTCGAGGTTGGAGGCCACCTTCTCAGTGGCACGAGCGTTGCCAAAGATCCAGTTCCACAGTCCGGTCGACTCGGGCTTCTGGGTGCCCTCGACCTTACGGGCGCCTTGGTGCAGCTTGTCACCGGCATAGTCGAGGCCGTCAGCAGTCTTGGACTTGAGCGACTCGTAGCCGCTGTCCGCCTTGTCCTTGAGGTTGTAGAAGCTCGAGTTGGCCTCGTCCTTGAGGTTCTTGTAGCCCTGCTGCGACTGGTCGCGCAGGTTTTGGTAACTGCTTTCGGCCTGGTTGCGTGCGTCGCGCGCCTTGGCGTCCAGGTCCGACTTCCACTCCTGACCAGTCTGCTTGATGTCGCTCTTGAGCCCCTTGTAGTCACCCTTGAGCTGCTTGACATCGTCCGAAAGACGGCCCTGGACCTCACCGGCACGCACCTCGGCGTTGTACTGCGCCGCAAGGATCTTTTGCTGGGCGTTGTGCTCGAGCTGGTCGCGGTAGCTGTGAACATTGCTGCGAGCCTCGTCGGCAGCATCTTCGGCCTTTCCCTTAAGGCCAAACCAGCCCTTCTGAGCCTCGTTCTTTGCGTGGTCATACTTGTCCTCGGCAGCCGATTTGGTAGAGAACCAGCTGGACTTGGCCTGTGCAGCCGCCTCGTCTGCCTTCTGCTCGGCAGCAGACTTGGTCGAGAACCAACCCTGCTTGGCCTGCTCACCAGCCTCTGCCGCCTTGTCCTTGGCGGCGAACCAGCCAGACTTGGCGTGTGCAGCAGCCTCGTCGGCTTTCTGCTCGGCGGCCGACTTGGTGGAGAACCATCCGCTCTTGGCGTGTGCAGCGGCCTCGTCAGCCTTCTGCTCGGCGGCCGATTTGGTGGAGAACCATCCGCTCTTGGCTTGAGCCGCGGCCTCATCGGCCTTCTGTTCGGCAGCAGACTTGGTGGAGAAGAATCCCTGCTTGGCGTGCTCACCGACCTCCTCGGCCTTGTCCTTGGTAGCGAACCAGCCCTGCTTGACCTGCTCTTTGGCTTCGGCCGCCTTGTCCTTGGCCGCGTTCCAGCTTTGCTTTGCGGAATCAGCAGCCTCGTCCGCCTTTTGTTCGGCAGTCGACTTGGTCGAGAACCAGCCCTGCTTGGCGTGCTCTCCAGCCTCAGCTGCCTTGTCCTTGGCGGTGAACCAGCCCTGCTTGGCCGACTCGGCGGCCTCGTCCGCCTTCTGTTCGGCAGCCGATTTGGTGAAGAACCAACCACTCTTGGCCTGGTTGGCGGCTTCATCGGCCTTGTCCTTGGCTGTGAACCAGCCTTGCTTAGCGGATGCGGCGGCCTCGTCAGCCTTCTGCTCAGCAGCCGACTTGGTGGAGAACCAGCCGCTCTTGGCCTCGTTGGCGGCCTCGTCAGCCTTGTCCTTGGCGGTGAACCATCCGGACTTGGCTTTGGCTGCGGCCTCATCGGCCTTGTCTTCTGCTGCGGACTTGGTAGAGCGCCAGCTGGACTTGGCGTCCTGCTTCAGGGCCTCAGCCTTGTTGGCAGCCGAGTCGGCAGCGTCCTCGGCGCTGTTCTTTGCCGAGCGCCAGGTGCTCTTCACGTCGCTCTTGGCATCGTGGAGCTTCTGCTCGGCGTGGTCGACCTTGTTGCGAACGTTGTTGCGGAGATTCTCGAGTTCCTTGGAGACGGTGCCGTACGGGACGCTGCCGGGGAGCTGGTTGGGATCGTTGTGCTTGAGATCGGTGCCGGGACGCGCGATGATGCCGGACACGCCTCGGGCAGCGTCGGAGCCGAGAGGAGGGCGCTCGTGGAGATCGGTGGTGGCTCCGGCGTGGGGCTTGAGGTCGGGCAGGGTGTTGCTGCCAGGAGGACCGGCTACAAAGGTGCCGTTGGTGTCCTTGGCGTACTGCTGCAGCAGGGGATCAAAAACGTAGTATCCAATGCCGACACCGACGGCAGAAGCGCCGAGAAGGGGCAGCACACGCTGTCGGAAAGCCATTGTGAAGGTGACACGCTGAGCCTGCGCGTAAGGAGCAGCTGCGAAGGTGCTTAGGATAGTTTGTTGAAAGAAGGAGGGGTATCGATGGTCCTCGCACGAACCGGATGGAGATGGTGGTGATGGAAGAAGGGGAAGGTGAAGGTGAAGGGGAGCTCTCGGCGGGAGACCGATTGTTGGGCGGATAGAGGGTGAGGAGGTGACTACTATTTTTGAGCTCAGGAAGAGAAGCGAGGCCAGCTGAGGACTTGTCAAGAAGCAAGCGAGCTACATACGGGTCACCAAGAGCGGTCGGGCTCATGCGGGCGGACTCATCCAGGCCTCTTTCAAGGGCACTGACTGCGAGCCAGTAGAGGACGGATGGGTGCTCGGCCGCGCGCCCCGCCGCTCATTCCAACGACGTTCCGGACTGACGTAGGTGCGGAGCCCAGAATCCGCCCAACCTGCTGGCTCCAACTGAAAGCACTGGCACATTAGACCCTTCTATTCGGCACCGTGGCCAGCTGTGCTTGAACCCGCACCCGCTTCCAAAAACGGCAACGAGGGAGCTGGGCCGAAAGTGACAAACATCCGTGCGTTCCTCCACACAAGACGTCGCTCGCCAAGGCAATTGCCTATGACGCCAATCTGCATCGGCTTTTCGCAAGACGCGAAGAAGAAAAAAAGCGTTTCGTACGGCTGGTCTCGATCTCGGATTTCGGCCAGGCCAGCCTTCGACCTTGGACCCTGAAAGCTAGGTTGGAGTGGTGCGCTGCTTCTGGCACCCTCAAGTCGTCCAACGATGAGGATCAACCGCAACGCCGTACTGGTGGGCCGTAGGTCCGTGCTGGTGCCGTATCGCAAGCAGCATGTACCGCGTTATCACGAGTGGATGAAGGACCCGCTCATCCAGGAACAGACCGCCTCGGAGCCGCTCTCCCTCGAGCAAGAGTACGAGATGCAGCAGTCATGGGCCGTCGACGAGGACAAGCTCACGTTCATCATTCTCGCACGCCCCGATACCGGCTCAAACGAGAACGAGAATGAAGATAATGACACTATTGATCCCCTGTCCAAGTGCACCATGGTTGGCGACGTCAACATCTTCTTCAACGCGCGGCATGAATCCGATGATGAAGACGAAGAACAAGCACACAAAGACGTTTCTTCCCAACCAGCAGACATTTACGATGCCGAGTGTGAGATCATGATCGCAGGTAAGTCTGCAGTCCAGCCTCCCTTTGTGCTTCGGAACTGAAATGATGTTGACACTGGTGCTATCCTGTATGCCCAGAGCACGGCTATCGTCGCAAGGGTATCGCGCGCGAAGCACTCAAGATGATGTTCGAATATGTCACCGCTGCACCAACGCCGTCCGCCGAATCTGAGAAGATGCCTCAAGCCGACAAGTCGAGCTCGCACTGCAGCCTGCCTATCCCGCCAGAGTGGCTCACATGCAAGATCTCTCTGACCAACCAAGCCTCCATCCAGCTGTTCGAGTCGCTCGGTTTCACCCGCCAATCCGTTAGCGAGGTGTGGCAAGAAGTCGAGATGCGCCTCACCGACACCTCTCGCGCTCTTCCCCGTCAGGACGCCAGTGTCTCACCCGCTTCAAACATGTCCATCCGGAAAATGCTACTCTGGCCAGAAGAGTAGTACCATCGTTAGAGCCATGGCCTTCGTTCACTACGAATCTATTGTACACTAGCCCATGGCGTCCGGTCGATGATCGCACTGAGCTCGTCCGCTGTGAGATCCAGACCGTGCTGGGCGCGGAGATGGCGTCGAAGATCGTACAAGCGCTTGAAGCGGTGCTCGCAAGCATCGCTCAATGTTGCCGCGGCTGTTGACGGAGATCCCGCGCCAGTTGTTCGCAGCGCAGGGTCCAGCACCTGCTCGTCGAGCTCGTGGCAGATGCTTGTCCACGGACACGCAAAGATGCGATCGCGGGTCGTGCGTCGCCTCTTCGCTGGCGTCTTCGCGTTTCCGTCCTCCGATGATGGACGCTTTCCCGACCCAACCTGCTGGTTAGCCGGTCTGACTGATGAGTAGCCACGTCCCGTCAGCAAGTCCAGCAGTCGAGGCTTGATTGATGCCGACAAGCCAGTGGTGGAAGCATTGCTGTTCACCGGCTCGCTGTCGCGCTCTTGGCTGTCTTCAAGCTGCGCCTCGCTTTCTCCAGCACTGTCCGAGATTTTGGAAGATACTTCTGAAGAGCTGGCTTGGTCTTCTGCCTCGTCGTGTGAGGCGTTGCCGCTCGTCGAGAAGCGCAGTCTGCTGCGCGTATCCGTCATCTGTTCAGGCGACGACCGCGTACCGGTGCACACTCGACGGTGGCGCGAGACCAGATGCTTGTGCGCAAACCGTCGGCCGCAGTCGGGACATTCGAAAGGTCGTTCGCCCAGATGCGCCGTCCTTACGTGGATGGACAGCGTGTTTTTGCGCGTGAAGATCTTGCCGCACCCGTTCCAGGTACACGCAAATGAGGATGCAGACGGATCGCGTGCACTGGTGAGCGATGTCGCAACACTCCCTGGACGGACCGACCCAGTGCCTCCAGATGCAGAAGTGATGATGCTGAGGGCGGGAGAGCTGAGGTCTCGGAATACGCCTCCTCGACGTGGCCGCGTGGAACCGAGATGCGCCGCCCTGTTGACCAGGTCCTCGTCGCTGGCCACAGGAGATGCATGTTGTGATATGTTCGGAGCTATCGAATGAATCGACAAAGGCTGATCTCTCGTGTGGTGCGGCTCCTGCTCTTCCTCCTCCTCCTCGGACGACGACGATCCACTGTCATCGGAAAGCTCCGCACGCAAGTGATTGAGTTCCGCCTCGTGGCTGCCTTCCATGACTTTGGCTTCAAGCTCGAGCCGAAGCTTGCGATTCTCATGCCTGCGATAGTGGGCACGGAGGTTGTCCTGGCGCTGGAACACCTTGCCGCAGCCGGGCCACGGACATACGGGAGGATGTGCTTCTTTCATGTGCGCCTGCAGAGCAGACCACGTGGGGAACGTGTAGACGAGCGATGCGTGGTCCCCGTTCTCCTGGCTCTGCGGACGCGCATGCTGCATGGTGCAGGTATACCTGCCGTCCTGATGGGTCCGAGCGTGTGTCTTGCGTTTCGAATTCGAGGCGAAGCGCTTGCCGCAATCCGGATACGGGCAGACGAATGGCAGGGCGGACGGCGACTGCTCCACGTTTGATGAGGCTCCCTCGTGGCGGTCCATCGCTTCTGTCTGCGAATGGCCCGCATGCTGGTCGCGTATATGCTGACGGAGTTGCTTGCGTTTGTGGAACGTCTGCTCGCAGCCGGGCTCGGTGCATGGGTAGTCGTGCGCGCTGGCGCCCGTCGCGGTCGATAAGTGATCAGCATGGCAGGCTTGGACGTGATTCTTGAGCTGGCTCGTCGTCCAGAATCGGAGCTCGCAGCCTTCTTCTTGGCAAGCAAACGCTTTCTCGGAAGGATCCTGATGGCGGCGCTGGTGAGCTTTGAGGTGCTCGTTCCTCATGTAGCTGGCTCCGCATCCATCGTGGTCGCAGACGAAAGGCCTCTCGCCCGTGTGGCTGCGGACGTGCTGGGCAAGCTTGAATGCCTTGGTGTAGCTTTTGCCACATCCTTCGTAAGGACAGCGGTGGACGCTACTGTCTGGTACGTTGCTGGGTCCGGGCTGAGGCTTTTCTAGCAATGGCTGGTCAGCCAGCCGCGAAGCGGCGGATTGCGAGCCGCATCCGCCGATCTGCAAGGTCATGGGCTGCTGAAAGATACCTTGGAAGACATTGAGATGGCGGACCTGAAGTCCGAATGAGGTGTCCAGCAAGCCGAGTGGGTTGACGATGGTGTGCGGAAAGGTGAAGGGTTGAGGCCCCTCAGACTCAAGGTGCACTGCGGGTCGCACTTTTTTTTCGAGGAGCGTTGAGGCCTTAAATTTCGAAGCCTCCACCTGTGCTTCATGGGAAGAAGCCAGGCTGGACCCTGCTTCTGCAGATGCTCGACGCGCCAGAGCGGGACCCTGGACAGCTGGCTCTTCGACGCTGAGCCTGCTTTGTCACCACAACCCTGGGCGCTGATCACCCGACTCTCTCCACACAAAGCCATACGTAGCCTGCAGAAGGCCCGTTCAGACGTCCCTGATGATCATGGCGATGAGACACCATTACCCTGCGGCGTCGCACTGATCATGTCGTCAGCGGGATCGAACACGGCGCAGCGGCTGTCGTTTGCTTCGGAGCCATTGGATTCTGCGTCCATCACGCTGGACCGTCGCCAAGAGAAGCTCACGCAGCTACGCAGCCTACGTCAGCGCTGCAAGGAGGCTGCTGGAACTCTGACTATCGATCACGAAGTTCAACTCGTCCGCGAGCTCATCCAAACGAAAGCAGTGGACGAGGACTTTTCGGTAGCTGTGCGAGAGCGCTGGCAGACGTGGTCGCGCAATGCGGATCCCTTCCGAACCGAGCTAGCCTCGACGGCTGCCTCCGAGCTCAGCAAAGCAGCCGAAGTCGAAGCTTCCTCTGGATCAGACTCCGACTCGCAGTCGGACGACTCGGCATCGGAAGGGCCGGACGAGCCGTCCGGGTCCGGAATGACCAGCAAGGGAAAGAGAAAGGGCGTATTCCGCCCAAAGGGGCCCAAGAAGCGCATCGGCTCCTCCGAGCGCGGCATGGACGAAGATTGGGACGCCGTCCGAAGAGAACGAGAGGCCCGGCTCACGGAGCTTGATGCATCGCTGCCGAACGCCTTCCGCTTCACCGAACGCCAGCTCAAGGTGTATGCACATCGGTTAAAGCAAAAGTACCTCAACTCGCTCGACCGTCCCTTTGAAGCTGCCCAACTCCACAAGCTACTTCACCATTCCCGGAAAGTGGCCCAACCTGGTGCGGTGCAGCCGTCGCAAGATGCTTCGGTGCCCGGACCATCGATCCAAAACGCACCGTCGCGTCCGAGCGTCTATCACATCTCGTTCTTCATCAGCAGTCTCGATCCGAGCACAGACGATGTGGCAGCACAGCAAAAGAATGCAGATGCGGCGGCCGTGTCGGACGTAGATGCTAGGGACAACTATGTCAAACGCATCTGCGGCGACGGACTCGGGGGCAGCAAGCGTTCCCAAACCATCGAGCTTCTCTCGACGCAGACGCTGTCGGACCTCTTAGGCACCCTTGTCTGCTGGTCTGATGAGCAGCCGGAGCGGCACGGCTGGCAACAGCGCCTCCAAAAGACCTCATATTGCCCCGATGCGACAGCAGCCGGCCAGGAAGCAGTCGCGTCCCTGCAGCAGGACCTCAGCGGAGATGAAGAAAGCCAGGAAACTTGCTTCGCGCGGTATACGGGCCGTCGGCGGCACACCGACGTGGCACTCATCATCGAGGACAAACTGTACAGCAAAGGCCTCAGAGCAGGCGATGCTCTCTACGAAGCCGACTACGCGACGCTGCTCAACGAGTGGAAGTCACGCTGCGGTCTTTCCGACGCCCAAGCGGGTTGGAGCAGCAGCGGTGGCGACCTCAGTCTGCGGCTGGATCAGCTGGGCTCCATTCGGATCGGCCGACCGTACTGGCTGCTGCACCAGGGCGATTGTGTCCATGCCTTTGTAATCGAGCAGATCCGTGCCTTGCGGCCCCTCGAAGAGAAGGGGACCTTCTCATCCGATCTCGAGAACGTGCCGAGCGGGTCTGCCGTTACACCGTTTCCACGGATCACTTGGCTCTCGACCCCAGCCATGCTGCGATTCGCCGCAGACGACAAGGACAACTATGGCCTGGGCCATCGCATCCTCCTGTGGGAAGGATTGATGCCGATGCAAAGCTCCGGGGCGGGGCCGGAGGTTGGAGCACTGGCTGCGGGCGACCTGACGCAGCGCAGTGCACTTCAAGTGGCGCTAGGCCGAACCAGAAGAAAGGACGAGGGCATGTTGCGGAAAAAGCAAGGCAAGTGCCTGGCGTGCTTGCTGCGCAAGGCCCAGATCGGCATATTGGGTGGAGACCGTGTCCGCCTTCCGGTCGGCTCAGACGACGACGAGCGCGGCAAGCAAACGGAGATGAGCGGGCTCGATGACCACTTGGTCACTCTTTGCGTGTCGTGTGCGGTGATTCTTGGTCTCCCGACACGCGAACCCGAGGCTGGCGCGAGCGAGGCTCCGGTTCAGCTCGACTGGCAGCGCATCCATGCGCAAAAGCCTCGCAAGGCCGGCTGGACCGTATTCCCCATGTACTGATCGTTTACCCGCCTGCGTCTAACTCAATCCCTCGCACAGACTTGCTCATTCAGGGTTCCGGCGATTCGGAGAGTTGAGAGCGGTGTGGGCATGGCAGAAACAGGGACGCTAGTGGAACAGGAAGAATGCATCACGGTCTAAATGCAGAGTCTGGAAGCCGACCGGATGGCAAGTGGACCCGGTCGAATGGTTGCGAGGTGGTTTATATTATCGTACAGGGTCGTGGGTCGAGCGGCCAACAGTGCAAGCCAGCCAGTCCATTGATGGGCGGCTGACAATGTCATGATGTGCTCGCGTGGTGATTTTGGTGCAAGGAATCCGATCGAAGCGAGGCCTCGAGCTGGTTTAGCCGTGGATCTTGGTGACGATACCAGTGCCGACGGTCTTGCCACCCTCACGAAGGGTGAATCGCGAACCCTCCTCGAGAGCAATGTCGTGGACAAGCTCAGCGTCGAGCTCGACGTTGTCACCGGGCATGACCATCTTCTCGTCGGCGTCCGGAGTACCGGCGGGGTGGGTGAGCGAGACGGTGACGTCGGCAGTGCGGATGAAGAGCTGGGGACGGTAGTTGTTCATGAAGGGCGTGTAACGGCCACCCTCCTCCTTCTTGAGGATGTAGACCTGGGCGGTGAACTTCTTGATAGGCTTGATGGAGTTGGGGATGACCATGACCTGGCCACGCTTGACCTGCTCACGCTTGACACCACGGAGGAGCGCACCCATGTTGTCACCGGCCATGCCCTGGTCGAGCTGCTTGTGGAACATCTCGATACCGGTGAGCGTGGTCTTGAAGGTGTTGCCGAGACCGAGGATCTCGACTTCGGCACCCTTCTGGATGGTGCCTCGCTCCACACGGCCAGTCACGACGGTACCACGGCCGGGGATGGAGAAGACGTCCTCGACGGGCATGAGGAAAGGCTTCTCGAGGTCACGGGGCGGCAGGTCGAGCCACTTGTCGGTCTCCTCCATGAGCTTGAGGATGGCCTGCTGGCCGACCTCGGGGTCGCGGCTCTCGAGAGCGGCGAGCGCGGAACCGGAGACGATGGGCGTGTTCTCGCCGTCGAAGCCGTAGGTGGAGAGGAGGTCGCGCATCTCCATCTCGACGAGCTCGAGCATCTCGGGGTCGTCGATCTGGTCGACCTTGTTGATGAAGACGACGAGCTTCTTGATGCCGACCTGCTTGGCGAGCAGAAGGTGCTCACGGGTCTGGGGCATCTGACCGTCGGGAGCGGAGACGACGATGATGGCGCCGTCCATCTGTGCGGCACCGGTGATCATGTTTCGGATGTAATCGGCGTGGCCGGGGCAGTCGACGTGGGCGTAGTGGCGGTTGCCGGTCTCGTACTCGACGTGGGCGGTGGAGATGGTGATACCACGGGCACGCTCCTCGGGAGCCTTGTCGATGGAGGCGTAGTCGATGAACTTGCCGGTACCCTGAGCCTCGTGGAGCGTCTTGGTGATGGCGGCGGTGAGCGTGGTCTTGCCGTGGTCGACGTGGCCGATGGTGCCGATGTTCATGTGGGGCTTGGTGCGCTCGAACTTGCCGGACTCAGCGGCGTAGGTGCGCACCTGCGAGGCGATGGCGACGCGGGGGAGCTGAGCGGCGCAGACGCGGGCACGGCCGGCAAGGGTGGCGGGCGACTTGGCCGAGGGGCGGGTGACGAGGGTGCGGGCAGCAGCGGGAGCAGCAGCCACGGACCTCTGGGAGGCCAGCGACCTGGCGAGGGAACGGGGCGCCTGGGTGCGGAGAAGGCTCATCTTGAAGACAGGATTGTCGGGTCAAGTGAAGTAGTGGGGGATGCGATGAGGAGGTGATGACGGTGGAGGGAGGAGGATCGCACGAGCGAGCTTGACTTTTTCTGCATCAGCAGCAGCAGCAGCAGCAGCAGCACACCGTCCCGGCCTTGATTTTGGAAGAAAGTGGTTGGTGGCCGTGCCCGGCTGCCGACCTCAGCCGCGCGCAGAGTCGGAAAGCCTGCGGAAGACTGCGACCAACTGCACCTCACAACCCTCGACCCGCGATCCGAGCCTCTCACTGCTGCCATCCTGTCTGCTCCGATTCGAGCATTTGCAAATCACCGAGGCTGCCCAGTGCCTCTCTCTCAATCGGCAGTCCGGTCCTCCCTTTCTCCCTCATCCAGGACGTCTTGAATCGATTCCACAATGCTACATTCATCGTCGATCGCCTCCTTTGACTGCTGAGTTGTGTTACGCAAGACAGCTTCGCCGCCATCGGACACGTTCAAATTTTTGGCTGGGCTTCCGAGAGCTGGAAGAATTCCAACCCAATTTTTTTTGCGGCCTCTTCTTCCGATGAGCTGCTGATCGGGAACAGATCGCCGCGATTCCTGCCCCTCTTTTGGCTCGATCTGGACCCGCTGAAGCTGGAGGCTGCGCCAACGCGCGCTCCTCCTAGCAAATCGCAACGACGCAGCCGCCACGGGTCTCGGGAAGTTCGCAGCAGCTGCGACTGAGCAGTCGGGCAGGCGTGTGCGTCTCCGACCCACTCGCTCTCTACAGGCATACCTCCATCGCTCCCCCCATCCCTCAACGGCTTTCTCATAGTCCTTCGACGCATCGTTGTGCAGACCATCGGCTCGCTGGTATCGCCGACCCTGCTTCACGCGTATCCTCGCTTCGCCTCCATCCTCCTCTCTCTGTAACTTCTGCTTGGCGAGAAACGGCCGCCCTCGCTCGAGCCTCGAGCTCTGCAAACGACACGCTACAGCAGGCATTCATCGTAAGGTTCGGCTGCCAAGATGGAGGACGATCTCGACATCAAGCGCGAGGACCAGACTACGCGACCTCGGGACGGAGGTTCCGGGAGCGACAAGCCCAGGGTGCACCACGGCGGCAAGAGGCTTCCCGTCGACCCCTTCGCAGAGGTCGACGATGAGGACGAAGAAGACGAAGACGATGATGACGACGAGGACGATGACGACGAAGATGACGAAGATGACGATGAGGAGGATGCGCGCGGCAGTCGAAGGCGCGCCAAAAAGCAAAGGCGCAACCGCTTCCTCGATGTCGAAGCTGAAGTCGACGACGATGAGGAAGATCTCGACGAAGAGGAGGAGGAGCTCGCGCGAGAGGATGGTTTTATCGAGGAGGATATCCCCGACGACACCGAAGACATTCAAAGACGCGCCGCCGCCGACAACCAGAGGCTCGACCGCTTCCGAAGACAGGAGGAGGACACCAACGCAGAGGCGATCGCAGAAGAGTTGCGTCAGCGATACGGCCGCTCCGCTCGCTATGCTGCCCAGTCAGACTATGCCGAGGTGCCTCAGCGCCTCCTCATGCCCTCCGTCGAGGACCCCAGCTTGTGGGGTGTCCCGTGCAAGCCCGGTAGGGAGAGAGACATTGTCATGACGCTCGTTCGCAAGGCCATGGCCGAAAACTTCACATCCAACCCCATGCGCATCATCTCCGCCTTCTGCCGCGACACCATCCCAGGCAAGGTCTACATCGAGGCCCGCAGGGCAGACGACATCGTCAAGGCCTGCAACGGCCTCGCAGGTGTCTATGCTCGACAGACCACCTCGCTCCACCTCATTCCCATCTCCGAGATGGCCGACCTGCTCAAGCTTCAAAAGGTGCAGAACGAGATCCAGGTCGGTGGCTGGGTGCGCATCAAGCGCGGCAAGTACGCCGGAGACCTGGCACAGGTGCTCGACGTCTCCGAGAACGGCGAGGAAGTCGGACTCAAGATGATCCCGCGAATCGACCTCAGCCCCAAGGACAGCGGCATCTACACCGACAGCCTCGGTCGCAAGCGCAAGAAGGGCCCCGGCGCCTCCGCTGCCACTGTTGCCTTCCGACCGCCGCAGCGCTTCTTCAACCCCGAAGAGGTGCAAAAGGCATACCCCAAGGACACGCCCACCAAGCGTGGCACCGTCTGGGTCTTCCAGAACGACAGCTACCGCGATGGCTACCTCGAGAAGGACGTCAGAGTCACCGGCATCATCACCGAGAACGTCAACCCGACCCTCGACGAGATCACCAAGTTCGCCGGCGAAAGCTCAGCCGAGGACGGCATGTCCAAGCTCGGCGCCGTCGATCTCAGTCTGATCGCCGACGCGAGCAAGAAGGCGACCGAGGCGCTCCTGCAGCCCAAGGACCAGGTCGAGATCTTCGAGGGTGAGCAGGCCGGTATGTACGGTACAGTCAAGGCGATCAACAACGAGGTCATCACGATCCAGCTCGAGCACGAGGACTTGATGGACCAGATTGTCGAGGTGCCCGCTCGCAGTGTCCGCAAGCGCTTCAAGCCCGGTGACCACATCAAGGTCATGTCCGGCAAGCATGCCGACGAGACCGGTCTCGTGGTAAAGGTGGAGGACAACGTGACGACGTTCCTGTCGGATCTGTCGATGCAGGAGGTCTCGGTGTTCAGCAAGGACATTCGCCAGGCCGCCGAGGTGGGCTCCGGTGTCAACGTGATCAGCGGCTACGAGCTGCACAACCTCGTCCAGCTCGATGCGCAGACGGTTGGTATCATCTTCAACATCGAGCGCGAGAGCTTCAAGGTGCTCGACCAGACCGGCCAGGTGGTCATCGTCAAGCCGCACCAGATCAGCAGCAAGAAGGACACCAGCCGAGCCTTTGCGCTCGATCACGACGGAAACGAGATTCGGGCCGGCGACATGGTGAAGGAGGTTTCGGGACCCTTCTCGCGCCTGCGCAACGGTCAGGTGCTGCACATCTACCAGTCCATGATCGTCTTCCTGCACAACCGCGAGTACACGGAGAATGGCGGCGTGTTCATCGCACGCGCACGCACGCTGGAGCCGTTGGCGCCCAAGAGTGTTTCGACCAAGGCCAAGAAGGAGGGTGACGACCTGTCGAGGATGAACCCGGCACTGTCCAACCTCGGTGGTGGAGCCAACGACGTGCGCGTCGAGGGTGTGAGGCGATTTGGTGGGCGCGACATGCACAAGGGCAAGAACGTGGCGATCATCAAGGGCCCCTACAAGACCTACCGCGGACGCATCACCGAGACGACGGGCAACATGGCGCGCATCGAGCTCACGTCGGTCTCGAAGCCCATCACGGTCCGACTCGACTGGCTCGTAGAGAAGGATCCCATCACGGGTGCAAGCAGCAAGCTGACAGGCGGTGGCGGTGGCTCGCAAGGAGCCAGCCGCGGCGGCTACGGCGGGTACAGTGGAGGCAGTTCGGGCATGGGTAGCATGTCGAGCAACCCGTACTCGTCGAGCTCGGGCTCAATGGGTGCACCGGCTGGTGGGGCTGGCTACAACCCGTACAGCGCGCCGCCTCCCGTGTCGGCCGGTGGCGGCTACGGAGGGTCGTCGAGCGGCGCGGGTGGTTGGGACAGCGGCTACTCGCAGCCGGCTGCTGCGACTGCCTCTGGTGGATATGGTGGCGCTGCTTCAGCCAAGACGCCGGCATACAACCCCTACGCGGCTGATGGTGGCAAGACGCCTGCCTACAACCCGTACGCTGCGGATGGCGGCAAGACGCCCGCGTATAACCCGATGGGCGACGGCGGCAAGACACCAGCGTACAATCCTCTGGGTGACGGTGGCCGTACGCCCGCTTACAACCCGTATGCCGACGGCGGCCGCACGCCTGCCTACTATCCGTGATTCGTTGACTTTGTTTCAGTTGTACGCACAATCTTCACACCAAAAACAGTCATGTTCAGGGCTTCGGTTTCCCATGCAGAATCGCGATTGTAAAGCCAAAGTTCTCTTCAGATTTCAGTGGCGAGGCATGTCGATGGTAGCGGTACAAATACAGGTGGAGGTTGATGGCGTCTATGCAAGAGTGCGGATGGCAAGGTGAGAGTTGTAGAAGTCGGCGAGTGCCGGTTCGGACTGGATCGACTTGAGTGTGTGCGAGAGATGTGCTGCTGTTCGGTGCAGGTGAGCGGTGGTATCGGGGTGTGGATTGGGCGTGTGCGGGATCGAGCAGAGGATTGAATGCAGGTGTTGCTTTGCGACCTTGAGTGGAGCCTCAAACTCGCTGTACTGCGCACGTAGATCCATATACTCTCTGGCCATCTCGACTGCTGATGGATATGCATCGAGGTGTCCAAGTGATGGCCTGAAGAGTGCAGGGTTTTCTAGCAGAGTTTCGCCGACCATCACACCGCTTGCGCCAGTGAGAGCAAGGTTCGTCTCGATGTCCGTCCAGCAACGCACATTGCCGTTGCTGACCACTGCCGTCTGTCCATCCGGCTGTTCCGAGCATCTCATAAGGCCTTCATCTTGGAGGGCTTGACGCACTTGTATTACCTGGTCGAGGTCTGCAAGGCCTTTGCGACGGCGGACGGAGGAGGCAAAACGAGGGTGTAGCGTGATCAAGCTGCTGCCTGCGCGCGCGAGAGTTACGGCCAGCTCAGGCGTCTGCTCCTTTGGCACCGTCAGCCTGATCTTGGTGGTGATGGGCACGTCGACCGCCTGAACGAGCGCGGCAACGATCTGGCTGAGCAGCGGCCAATTCTGCTTGGGCAGCAGGTAGGCGCCGTATTTGCCCTGCTCGGCGTGCCGTTGCGGGCAGCCGAGATTGAGGTCGATTGCATCTGCAAACGGCGCCACCTTCCGGGCGGCATCTACTAGCTCGATCACATCATTGCCAGCCAGCTGTACAATCTGAGGCGCTGAGCTTCCATGCAGAGAGCTCTTTTGATCCTGAATGATGTTGTCGGGGCTAGCGCGGCCGAGCTCCAGAGCCTTGGCGAGCGATTCCAGCGTGTCCTGATGGTCGTTGATCTCCACTGCCATGTACATCTGTGTCCAGGTCGAAGTGGCTCCGTTGCGTACCGTCTGTTGGCGAAAGGGGAGATCCGATTGACCGACCATGGGAGCAGCGCAGTAGAGCAGGCTCTCGAGCGGCAGTCCGCTTCGCACCACCATCACGAAGGATCTTGTCGTCGTCCGTCCCAAGCGCGACCCTATCAGATGGTTCCAACCATGACAGTGCTTCCTCCGCCCTTGAAAGGAGTCTTCCGCAGCGTACCGCGGGAGTGAAGGATAGGACGTGAGGGAGAAGGAAGCGCTCACACTGTAGAAGGCCGCCTCCACCATTACAAAAAAGTGGGGTCACGTGCGGCGTGCATTTTGGCGGAGCTGTCGCGACGGGTTTCCCGACAGCGCTGTTTTTGGAGAGCAACACTGCGCGCTGGAGGAACGAAATTTCGAGGCAGCCCAGCGCGGTCGGAGCGACACCGACACAGACGCGCCTCGGACGGTGCAGCGGCGCGTCTGAAGCTGTCCGGAGCACTGGAGCACTGGAGCAGAGGCGCGCAGAGACCAACACCGGTGGCAGTCAATCGTCCTCGCTCGTCGTCACCGTGTGGCTCGCGCTCCCGACGTCCATCACACCCTAATCACTCCGTCGAGAGTGCAAATTGGTTCCCGCCTCCTCCATCGCAATCTGTTCTTCGAAGCGCCCAGCTAAGGCCTGCTTCCACTGCCAACATGCCATCGCCTCTCAAGCCGCGGCGTTCGCCGCGCTCTCGCATGTCGCTCGCCGGCACGGGTTCAGGCGGTGTTCCGCTCGGCGGCTCGTCCATGAGCACAAAGACCTCTCTTGCTGAGGTCGCTGCAAAGGAGAACAACCGATCCGCCAGGCTCTCTACCACCAACAAAGACGATACCATGCGTGCCGCCAAGGAGCGCGCCACCTCCAAAAAGCGCGCCGCATCCGTTGGCGGCGCCGAACTCGACACGCTGCTCAAAGAATCTAGCAGCAAAGCCAACGGCTCTCTCTCCGCCGTCGCTGCCGCCACCACCAGCAGGCGAAATGCTCCTGCTCCAAGGAAGAGCGCCATCCGATCAGTGCCCCAGGTCTTCCTGAGCCCAACCGGTCTCGTCCCCAGCCCAGAGTCCAGGCGTGGTCTCGCCATGCCATCCCTCACAGAGCAGATCGCCCAGATCGGCAAGTCGGACGCACCTACCTCCTCCTCCAGATCCAGTCGCTCGTCCATGCCTCACGTCGCAGGCCCCGAACCTTCATCGTTCGCAGCGAACGGCACAGGCCGAGCCCGCGACTCGATGCAAGCCAGCAGCTTCGCCTCACTTGCTGGCAACGCCACCAGCATCGTATCCTCATCTTCGGCCGCCCCTCCGCCCTCGCGCAACGCCATGACCCAGGTCGTCCGTCCCAAGCGCAGAGTCACGTTCAGCTCGCGCCAGGAGAAGACCGAATTCGCTCGCGACGAGCCCACCCTCCGCCTCGGTAGCCTCAGAAGAGAGCAGGTTTCTCCACCTTCCACGCCCGCAAGCTCGTCCTCCGCCAGCGTGGGCTTTGCCTCGTATGCTCAGTCCCAAGACGGCTCCAGCTCGGATAGCGACAGCGACAGCGAGTCCGAGTCCGAGTCCGAATCCGAATCCGACATGGACCTCGATGCCTCCAACGAGCTTGCCGCCAGATCGCTCGCAGCCTCCATTGCAGCCTCTTTGCCGCACGACGACTCGACCCTCGACGTCTCCGCCGATACTGCAGACGAGAGCATGGCTTCCGCTTCCGACGCATCCGCCAACATGGACTTCACCGGCACCCACGGCTCGGTCCAGAAACGTTCCATCGCCGACACCTCGGACGATCAGGTGGACATGAGCTTGCAGAGCGAGGGTCAAGACTCGGTGCAGATGGACATCACTCAAGCCATGCACTCGGCACCCGCATTGAAGCGCAGGCGAAGCAGCACAGCTGCCGACGAATCCTCCTCAACCGACGGCTCGGCCATGGACCTCGATCAGACCGTCACCATGGAGTTCACTGGCGTCCATACTGACCCCCAGAACGGCGACGACTCCGATAATTCGGACGACAGCGACGTCAGCCAGCGCATGGACATGACCAAGGCCATCACCACAAAGATCGAGGCAAAGAGGACCGGCGACGCAACCACTACAATCATCACCGACTTCCCAGAGCTCAGCAGTAGCGAATCCGAGGGCGATGACACCATCCAGCAGGACGCCACCATGCCCATGGAGATGACGCGCGCCGTTACCGGCTTCATCCGCGAGAAGGAGCCGGCGTCCAGCGACATGGATCTCGTCGACTCAAGCTCCAGCAGGCCCTTTGCCTCTTCCGACGACGCCTCTATGGCCATGGACATGACGATGCCCATCGGCCACGTCGTCGATCCTGCTGCTTCACCCTCCAAGCCCGTCGTTACTCCGGCAAAGTCGCTCGGTAATGGCGCGCCCAGCCCGTTCCAGCCAACTCCTGGCAAGTCGCCCAGTCGTTTCCGTCAGTCTCTCCGCGGTGGCTTGGCTGGACTCGAGACGAGCACACATTCGCCTGCGCAGCGCGTGGGTGGCACCCTCCCGCCTCAGGGCCACGTCAACGGTGCAGCACTGCAGGCCGACTCGAGCTCATTCCGCCGTTCCATCATTGGCGGAGTTGCATCGTCGTCGTACCAGCACTCGCCCGCGAGGCGGGTTCAGGCGCAGGAGGGCAGTCTCACACGTGCAGCCAGCTCATCGCCTGCCGCCAAGTCCAAGCCTTCGGTGGCCAGCGTCCTCGCCGGTCAGCGCAAGTCGCTGAGCAGCATCGGTCTCGACCGACCCAACGGACACCCCTTTGCCTCGGCATCGTCGTCCTCGCCGTCCAAGATGGCGAGCCCGAAACGCCGCGCTGGTCGCTCCTCCATCGTCGCCGCCGTGCTGCCGGACCTGTCCAGTGCCGCCACCAACGACGATTCGTTCCACTCGGCTGTGGAATCCGGCTTGAGATCGGCCAACGGAGCTAGCAGCGAAGCGCACGACACTTCCGTCGCTCAGTCTGCCGTCTCGGGAGTCGACAGCTTCGATGACTACAGCAACGACGAGCGCAACCAGGTTCCCGTCCAGATGCCGCTCAACGACTTTCTTCGCTTCGTCGGCGTCCACTTTAACGATGACATGAGCGCGTCGCGCCGCAAGCCCGTGCCGCCTACCAAAGAAGAGGCAGGCAGCGACGACAAGCCTGACGCCGCAACGCATGTGCCCGTCTCGATGATGCGGCTCGTCAAGGCGGCGTGCGGTGCTGTGCCGCAGCTCGAGGCTCTGCGCGAAGCATGTCGCGAGATCAAGGAGCAGGTCGACGACGGCCGCGAAAAGATGGTCGAGATGGAGCAGGCCTTCTACGACTCGCCACCGGACTTTGTGCGCGAGATCATGGGCCTGCAGAACGAGGAGGAGCGACGCGACATGGAGGCGCAGTTCAAGCTGCAGAAGCAAGCCGCCCGTGCGCTCGTCAGCGCCGACTACTACGGCTGGCGTCTCGACAAGGAATTCGACCAGGAGATGATCCAGACGCTCCAAGCGTACCACGGCCGGCTGCAGTGCGACCTGCACATCGTCGAGACCAAGCGGCAGCAGCTGCAGCAGGAGATCCTGCCCGTGCTTCGCGCCAAGCACGCCAAGCTCAAGGCGGATCTCGCGCTCGCCAAGCAGCGCCAGGCCGAGATCGAGACGTGCGATGCCGAAGAGCTCAAGGGACTCTACTCGAGCATCGAGGAACAGCACGAGGTGCTCGAGTCGATGCGCGCCAAGCTCATGGACGTCGAGGAGCAGCACGAACGTCTGCTCGTGCGTCTCGAGGAGAACCGCGAGAAGATGGCTGCAGCGCAGGAGATGGTCGACAAGGCGCACGCCACCGTCGACCAGATCCAGGGCTACACGCGCGGCGAGGCTGGGCGGCTGCTGCGCGAGATCCGCAATCTGGAGAAGCTGCATCTGGTGCGCATCCTCGACAACGGCTTTGATCCGAGCCTGGACGAGGTGGAGGAGGCCGAGGGCGTGCAGGCGCGCGGCGAGCGGGACGTGGTGCTGATCCTCGACGGCTGGCTGCAGGTGTCGATGACGCTGCTCGCCAGCAGCGCACGCAACCAGCTGCCCAACAACGCCAAGGTGTCGCGCATCCGGCTCAAGCAGAAGGGCATGCGCACCGGCAGCGACGACAACAACCTCGTGCGCAAGCTCGCCGTGCAGATCCTCCAGGCCGACTTTGACGTCGACTTTGCCGACGTGCCTGCTCACGATGCGCTCGTCGTCCTGCGCCGCATCTCTCAGACGCTCATCCGCCAGCGCATCCTGCTGGCCGAGATCGAGCATCTGCGCTGCCGCTTCCCCGTTCAGCTCATCGAGGACCACGGCAAGCATCCGACGTCGATCCTCGATGCCTCGCCCGACGCTTCGTCGTCGTCCGACGGTAAGGAGCGCGGAGACAACGAGGTTGCGCTGCAGGCGTCTGTGCTGCTGCCGAACCGCAGGAGCAAGATCATCATCACCGCCATGTCGGATCTCAAGGGCGTGGGCGAGAGCCGATCGATCTTGCTGGCCGACAGCGTGCGGGTGGAGCGCACATACGGCAGCGTTGATGCCGAGGCCATGTCGCTCCAGATTTTGGACTGCATCGAGACGGACCCGACCATCGGCTCGCTTAGCAAGGCCTTCATCGAGACCATCGAGACGTTCGACAGCTGAGCCACTCTTCCGATATGTACACGTCTTTATACTTTTGTCATGTTTCAGAGCTTTTGTACTTGTGTCCGATAGCGTTTTCCAGTTCCTGTCTTGTCTCGGTCTGGTCTGGCAAGCGTGTGCGTGCTGTGGTCGTGAGCCAGCACCGCTCTGTTGGGGGCTGTCAATGATTGACACGACGGTCGTATGCTTCTGCGCTGCAGGCTGATTGGGCAACCGAGGCTGATACCGGGTGTCTGAGTGCAAGATGCTTTTGGCTGGTGGCTATTGTACACAAGTCTCCCCTCGGTACCCTGACGAGGGCGGGGTAAGACTAGAGGGCTGTTTTGTTACATGTGGGTGTCGATGTCGGGCAACTGTGTTGGTTGCGAGGATGTCGGCTGGCGTGTGGGAATACACCGAAGAGAACCAACGTCGTTCCGTCGTCTGATCCGGCGATCAGCGAAGAAATGCACGAGCACTGGGATTAAAGCAACAGGCTGACGCGTCGAATCAATGTGCTTGCAATCGACGCCTGACGTCGGCGCGAGCTTTCGTTGTGCTGCGGGTTGATGTTTGCGATGTAGTGGCTGGAGTTCTGTCTAGATCTGCTTGGACAATCGTGCCAGGTGGTAGTTGATAGTCGGCTTGGAAACACCGCCGCGAGGTTTCTGGTTGAGTGTTGAGGGCGAGAAGAAGTGGCAAAGGTGTTCAGCAAAGCGTGCACCTTCTTCATGAATCTCGGACCAAAGATGATCAACTTACCCTGCTAGCCATGCATTCTTGGAGGGAGCGAGCGGAGTCCTTGCAAGCGCCGATGTTATTGATATCGTTGGAAGACGCCCAGCACGCAAGCATGGTGGCAAACTCGGCGGCGCAAGGAGCGGCGGCTGCATCCTTCTTCGGCCTCACCTTGAGCTTGTTGAGCTTCATCGTTGGCAAGAACCGGGTTCGGTGAGTGATGGTGAGAAGAAAGCAGTCGGGTGGAGTTGGGGCTGCTCAAAATTCCCAAAGCTGGGACCCGGTGACTTTTTTATCGGCCGGGAGTGGTAAGCCTTGTAGGAGGCGCGGACCCGAATATTGCATTTGGCGGCAGAGGCGTGAGCTGGAAGGTAGCCTTGGTCAGGGTGGCCGCCGCTTTGGGCGAAGCGAGGGTCGAGGCAAGGCAAGGCAGAGGCAGGGCAGCGCAACCCCACCTTTTGAGGCAGCGAATGGGAGCGCGCGTGCAGGCTGCAACCCAACTTCTTCTAACACCGCCCGAGCCAGGTGTCCCTCTCCACACGACTCTGCCGCCATCCTCATCACCGTCATCACATCCGGCACCGCTCGCACGTGTATATCCTGATCAATATGGTACGTACGGCTCCCCATGCTGCTTGTCGCAGCTGTACTGTCTCAGAGGTCGGCACTGGAAGCAATCGCTAACATCGACCGCAAATCTCGACTACAACCTTTCCTATCGCTCCTCATGGTAACTTGCCATTGATCTCGGACCACTCGCTCGCGGAACGCACGCACACGACGCGCACACAAACATGCATCGACATTCGCTCCCACACTGCGACCGATACGTACCTTCCTAATTGGCACCTGCTCCCATCTGGATTTCTTTCGGCGCACGGCCGCCACAATTCGAACCGGAATACGATGGTACTCGCCCTACAGTCTGACGCAAAGGCAACTGGCGCCCAGCCCAACCTCGCCGCTCTGGCGAGCAGGAACTCGCAAGCCGTCCGGTAAGTGTCTGCGCCATGGCCGACCTGGTTGCGCACATGGTTATCTCGAGGAGCTGCGCTGACCGTTCCATTCCCATCTTATCCTCCGACTGCCTACACCGACGCTTTGACTCGACCTCCTGCATTTCGCCCCCTCTTCGATGCAACCAAACAGCCGACGCGCCGCGCAGCAGGCTGCCAACAAGCCCAACTCGCCACGAGCGGCAGGAGCGGGTGGCTCGTCGTCGACCATGATGCGCCTGTACACGGACGACAGCAAGGGTCTCAGCGTCGACCCCGTCGTGGTTCTGGTTCTGTCGATTGCCTTCGTCTTCTCGGTCGTGCTCCTCCACATCATCGGCAAGTTCATGAGGTGGTTCTCCAAGTAAGCGACGCGACGCCTCCAGCCCCGGCTCGCGGCGGCCGACTCAGTGCACATGCAGTGGCGGCAGTCGAGTCTCGTGTTCATCTCGACCACCTCAACGATGCTCAGTTGGCACTCTGATGCTGTTGCCGCCAGCGTGTGCTGCTGCGGGATGGCCTGCTTCGACCCGCTCTGTAAATATACGGCTTGATCGGGCCCAAGTCACCATGTCTTTTCGTGCTTCTCCGGTGTGAGACCGTGTCATGTGTGCGTGTCTGTGTGTCTATGTGTCTGTGCTTCGGCCTAGTACGTCGGTGGAGGGTTGCTGCTTGCACCACTGGCTTGAGGGCTGCGGGTGGATCGACAGATATCGTCGCATCGGCACCCGATGGCATGAGGGCACTGATCTTTTACTGACAAGCTTTTGATTGCCAACATTTTTCGCGCACAATTTTGAGCAAGCACACGAAAACGAACCAAAATCCTCCGCTTTATACACCGCACCAGCCAGAAGGCTTTCGACCGTCGATCCTCCAGTGAGGAGCAAGCATCCTGCGCTAGCTACGGACACCGCTGCCACCTTTGCCTGATATTCCGAACGAACGAGAAGCTAACTGGGGCGGGGCTGCAGGTTGCTTCATCGGGCGGGGTACGAGCCCGATCCTACGGCCAGGAACAGGTGAAAGTACGGGAACACAGCAGAGCGGAAATGCCACGAGCCCGAGCCGAGCGGCACGAGCAGGAACCACGTCGAACGCCACGACCTCCCGAAAGATGGAATGCGCAAGCAGCCGAGAAGATCTGCCAGGCAGCAGGCAGCGCGAACTGCCATAGCCCCTTGCATACAGAAGCCAGACGACGTATTTCGCAATTCCGCCGCCTCCTCTCTGAATCACGTCAAGATGTCATTCTTCAATCGGAAGAGCCGATGCTGAGATAGCGTGGGAACAGCGACCGTCAGCTTGCTCGGATCGCTGACACGACGACTCAGCGGGCGAGTCTTATGCCGTTCCGTGTGATCTTACGAGAGGAACAATCATCGTGGCGCAAGCGAAGAATAGGTCCGAGCGTGACTGTCAGCCAAGTGGCAACCTCGACGGGTGGGTTCCGTCAACGAATGCGAATCGCAACCACGGCATTTAGTCCTTCGATTTGCAGGAAGCTACTGCATGTGCCTCGCTACTGTACTCGAAGCGGTTCAGGGAGCTCGGGATGGACGCTCGGAAGTGCTGCATGCCCAGCTCGAATGCGACGGCTGTGAATGCTGGCGACGGACGCAGATGCGCGTCTGTCTCCGAGCCACCGACGCGCAGCGCACATGTGGCATTTCCGCAGGTGCCAATTTTGAAAGTTGACTGGTGAGGTGCAAGCGGCTTCGACGCGGGTCGAGACCAACACTCGCAGGCGAAATGCCCGAGCGGAGCTACAGCTGTCAACGACCGCTGCACAAGCACACCGAAATGCCGCCCTAGTCCCTCGCCTCGTGCCTTTGGCTTGCCTGACCGAGCTGCATACAGCGGTCCCCCCGGCTCGGTCTTGCGATGCGTTAAGGCTCAGTGATCTGCAAAGCGCATCCTGGTTTCACGGGTGGGGTGCTTGGCAGCTCTGGCAGTCGACGTATTCGACGCGACGTCGATCCATCTCAGACACTCAGCCGCACGCTCGAGCAACCAAGGTCCACCTGAGCATTGGACCATCGAGTCCGCGTTAGATGCGCTCACATGCCAACTTAGCCTCCTCTGATGCGTCTATTGACGAGCCTCGCTACCCGAGGTCAAGGTGGCACTAGCAACGCAGGCCCCGAGCACGACATTGTACTTCAAAGACAAAAGACTGTTTCGGACGCTACTGTAACTTAGCGAGAATATGCAAACGATGGGCGATGCGCATACAGAAGAGGAAGGTGCGACGGCGAGAGGCTCGATATGCGTTCCTGTCGTGCCGAAGCGGCTGCATCGTCGGTATTCGCCGCTGCGTCGGCGTCCGAGTCGGTCTTGCACGCGCTCCCTCCAGCTACTGTGCCCTGCACCCAAGGAATGGTCGTCGCTCCTCGGCCCCCTCGCCATTCTTGCTTGCGCCAAGCTAGCCTCGGCCGGCGCTGCAGCGCGTTCCCCGCTCCTACGCCTGGGACGAGCCTTGACGTGTGAACAGCTGCACTGCTCAGACTGCTGTCGAGCGTCTGATCAGCGCTTGCCCCTCGCCCACTCCTCTTCGGCTTGCCCACCTCAAAGATCTCCCGCACCCTGCAGGATCAAATGTCGAGCCGTTTGGGCAAGGGTCTCGCCCTCTTGATGCGTGCCTCCTGCTCGTTGCCAGCCGGCTCCCGTGGCGGTTGCGCATCGCAGCTACGAGCACGCCAGATGCCAAGTCTGCTTCCAAGACACTTGGAAGCGAGCCTCGGCCAAAGCCAACCTGCATGCGCCTAATCTGTCACACGCGCATGCCTGGCTCCCTCCGCCAGTCTCCGCGTCGCTACACCGCCTTGTTCCTGTCGCCGAGCTGAGTGAGGAGAGAACGAGAGCCGATCTCGTCGAAACTTTGCACAGTCTCCTTGCGTCCGAACCCGAAGGGCTTCCATGACGAGCTCTCTGCGGAAGTCATATAAGTAATCGCTGACTCACGCTGCTCGCCTTTCCCATCTTTCCTCTTTCCATCCTTGACCCCTCTCCCCTCTCTTCCTTGCGTTTCCGGCTGTCACTCTTTCCAGCCTCTCCCCATCTCCTTTTACCCCTCTCCCCACCACCACAGTATCCACAATGAAGTTCACCACCACGCTTTCCGCTCTGCTCACGCTCGCCGCTGCTTCGCAGTCGGCCGTCGCTACTGGCGAGTTCCAGAACCTTCAGCTTCGCCAGGGCGGCGATGCCAACGCGCTCCTGCAGGGACTGCGCGACAACAACCTCACCTCGCTCGCCAACGTGCTCTCGCAGCACCCGGCGGTGACCGAGCGCATCCTCGCCGACAACTCGGAGAAGACGCTGCTGGCGCCCAACGACGATGCGATCGCCATGCTGCCGTCGTGGGTGACGAGCAACTCTTCGCGCCTCGAGGCGACGCTCCTCCAGCACGTGCTGCGCGGCAACTTTGAGACGGACAAGCTCAACGCTTACCCGCTGCACACCATCGGCCACTCGCTGCTCAACAACTCGGACTTCTCTAAGCTGCCGGGTGGCGCGGGCCAGGCGGTCGCGCTCGCCAAGTCGGGCAACCGCACCTTTGTCGCCGAGGCCGTCAACAACGACACCTTTGTCCAGCAGAGCGTCAAGGTCGACACCGTCACGGTGCTGCCCATCAGCCAGGCCATCACCGTGCCCGGCTCCGTGACCGACACGCTGCGCTTCCTCGGCTACACGGGCATCTCGACGCTGCTCGCCAACGTCCAGAACGGCGCGCTCGCCAACACCATCGACAGCCTCCCCGGTGTCACCATGTTTGTCCCCACCAACGATGCCATCACCAAGTTCACCGCCACCAACCCCAACCCCACCGACATCCCCACAGTCCTTGGCCAGCACGTGGTTGCTGCGCGCGTGGTCTACTCGCCGCTGCTCATTGACCAGGGCTCGCTCATCTCTGCCTCGGGCCAGGACATTGTCTTCGACAACAACGCCGGTACGGTCAAGGTGGGCAACTTTACCGCCAAGATCCTGCAGACCGACATTATCGCGCAGCAGGGTGTCATCCACCAGATTGACAATGTGCTCGCCTCGACGGCGCTCGACACGGGACGTGCCGCGCAGGCGCAGAAGTCGGCCGAGGCCTCGGTGGACGCGGAGAAGGCTCAGTCCATCTCGGGCCCCGTGTCGGGCAAGAACGCCATCACCACCCAGGGCACCGACGTGCCCGCTGCTCAGCAGGGCTCCGGCGCCAACAACCGCTCGGCCAACGACAACACGGACAACGCAGGCTCCGGCCAGACCGAGTCTGCCATCGGCAACGGCACCAACGGCAACAACGGCGGCGCCTCCCAGGCTGGCAACTCCAACGGCTCCAACGGCAACGGCAATGGAAGCGGAAACCAGAACGGCAACGGCGTTGACCACCGCAACCCCAACGCCGCCAGCGCTTCCACGGCCAACACGGCGCTCGCCGCCTCGGCTGTTCTCGCCGCGTCCATCCTTGCGCTCGTTCTCTAGACTTTCTCCCTCTCTCCCCCTTGCCTCACTTTGCCTCCTCCATCCCATGGGTTGGCGTTACTGTATCCATACCCCCTTCGTCTCCTACTTGCTGGCCCCGCGCGGGCTCAGAGTTGAAATGTTCTCACGTGGTTTTCTTGTGTCCCTCCATCCTCCTTGTGTGGCAGTCGTGAATGTGACAATGTCGCGACTGCGCTTTACGACATCATCAAGTGACGAGATACGATGACCATGGGACTATCAGTCCGTCTTGCGCTTTGCACGAAGCGCATACGGCTGTGAAAGTGAGGCGGTCGCAGGCAGGAGACGGTCGACCGTGCAGAGTGCGGCAGTGAGTGCTCTGTCCAGCACGCGCTCGAGCGGTCTTGCCAGTGGAACCGACAGCGTCTTTACTTGGAACGGCGCCAGGACCAGGCTCATGAGTGGCCGCGATTGGGTCGGTGGCGTCCTTGCGCAGCTCTCATGCGGAGAATGCGAGTCCAACAGAGTCGCCGAGCCAATATGGTCGAGCTCAGTATCCATGCGCGAAGCCAGCGCATGCCACTCCCCACCGTCCACCCCGCTCGTCCGTGTCGAACCTCGGACCGCGGGCAGCAGTCGCAGCGCATCTGTTGGACGCAGTCGAAGGAAAGAGGCCGCCAAGCTTGGCAGCGCCCAAACCGCTGCAACGAGCCCATGGCATTCGACGTGGATGGCCAGCTCCCAATTGACCGCCACACGACGATTCCAGTTGTCCTGCAAAAGAGCACTCCTTTCGAAACAGCAAAAGATAAGGGTAGGCGGCGCATCATCAGACAAGTGTTGCATGTCAGTTTCGTCGATTGCTGCAAGAAGCGGTGACGCAGGCGGGGGGTCGCGTCGGCAACAATCTGCCTGCGAGGAAGGGGAGATTCACCTACCCCACCATGGATCGCTTTCGCCCGCGCAATCGTACTATATGACATGCAGACCACGACACGAACAAAGAAAATGGTCAGCGTCGCTGGGTTCATACACGAAATGCTGCAGAATCCTGTCATTTGACTTACCTTCCTCGAGCTTCCTTCGTGTCTCTTCCCACTTTCCGAGCTTTCCGCCCTTGCCGCGGTTCTTGCCCGAAGACCTTGCCGTCACTTCCTCGGCGTAGCTGTCGAGAATCGTCTGGTAGAGACCTTCGGAAGCCGGGTGCGTCGAGGCAAAGGCGCGCTCGAGCACATACAGGTCCACCGCCTTGTCTTCTGCAAACGCAGACACGGACGAAAGACCGAAATCAATCAAGACCACCTCGTCCTTGTCCAGGTCGACCTGGGCGGCACTCTCGGCAGAACCCGATGCGGCTGCGGGGCGGAGCATCATGTTGGAAGTGGTGAGGTCACCGTGGATGATGTCAGCCTCGTGCATGACAGCAAGCTGTCGACCAATGAGCCTCATCAGCTTGAGCTGCTCTGCCTCTGAGAGGACCTCGTCGTCATCCTCAGGGGCTGCGTCGGCGTCGTCGGCCTCGACAATTTCTTCGTCTTCGCCCTCTGCGCCGCCTCCGAGCCATTCGCGCACGCTCTTGCCCGCGATGAGCTCGAGACCGAGGATGCCTTCCTTCTCGTCGACGCATCGCACGGCGGGTACAGCCACGCCGGCCTTGGCACAACGTAGCAGCGCCCTTGCCTCCATGATGGTGCGCGAGGCCGTGATGCTGTTCGACAGCGTAGGGTGTCGGTAGGTCTTCGGAAAGCGCCATTTGAGCAAGACTGGCTGAGGAGCATTAGCCTGTGGCGGCGTCGACGAGGAGGAGCGGAGCTGCGGCCACGTCGGGATGTTTTTGCCGGTAATGCTGGAAATGTACACCTTGGCCTCGGCGCCTTGCTTGATCAAGTGGGATACCTTGGAATCGGACAGGAGTGCGACCAGAGGCGGGGCGTTAGGAATGGGTTTGGACACCGTCTTGACCTGACTTGAGCCCGCGACCTTTGCATCTGCGGTGCGCATCACATCACGCGAGCCGCGCCTCGAGGTAGGCTGAGAGCTGCCATCGATGGAGCTGCGAGTATCACTGGCGCTCTTGATTTTGTCTTCCTTGAGCTTGTCGGTGGAAAGAAGTTCGACGGGGTTGCTGGTTGTAGGTGTCGCCGCCGATCGAGTGGTGGTGGCTTGCAGCAGGGATGGAAGCTTGGGCCGTGCTCCTTCCATGCTCGATCGGGAAGTGCCCGAAGATGTGCGCGAGCGATGCGATTTGGCAGCAGCAGCAGCGTCTTTGGCCTGCGCCGAGGCGAGACGGTCTGCCGCAGTCTGGGTATGCTTGTGAGGCGAGCCACCTACTGAGATTGTGGAGGATGCAGGGGAAGTGGACAAGATCGCCTCGGTGCTGGCCTCAACGGACGGCGCCGTGGTGTCGACCATTGACGTCGGCCGTGACCTCGGGGTTGGGAACGCCACCCTTGGCGTCCGGGACGACGAGGGACCGTCTCCTCGCTGTGTAGGCTTCGACATGATTACGCCAGCCTCGAATCGGCTGCCAGTCAATTAGAGCTTCGATGGTGGCTTTCGCGGACTTATTTGCTCTGGACTGTCAAAGGAGAGTATTAGCAGGAAGGGATGGCGAGGGGTCAGAGACGCTGTTATCGGTGAGATAGGGAGTTGGTCACGAAGAAGGGCAGCGATCGCTCCGAGGCCAGTCTTCACATCAGGCTGACGCTCTTGCTCATCCAAGCTGCCCTGCGATCCCTGGCTAAAAAAAATCCAGCGAACTCCACATCCAAGTCTAACAAATTTCAACTTTCAAAAATGATCGCCGCAGGGTCCGGCATACTTGGCTTGACACCGACCCGATAAGGCTCACCGCCTTGTCCTCCGGTCAACACACGCACGCCTCAAGACACTCGCACTGTATGCACGCCACTACGTCGAGAGATATGGGCCTCTGACAGCGACGTCGATGATGCAGTGATTCATTCTACGATCGATCCTTTAGAGCTTGAGACGGGCAGAGTTGTCAACCTGTCGTGCGATCACAGAGAAGAAAAGACGAATGTGGAAAGGCAGAAGGAGGCAACGCAAGGTCAGCGACATGTCGGAGCTCGAGCAAGGCGGCCAATGAGCCTTCTCTGGGAGCGCTTCAGCCTCATAAGAGCGCAGGCTGAAAGGCCCACTTACCTTGGTGTGCGTGCCGCTAATGGTCTTCTTGATGCGCTTCCACTTGCCGGCGTGGACGGGACCTTCGCCGTCGTCTTCCTGGCCATCCGCCCTCTCTACGAGCCAAAAGTCGGCTGCAATCAAGGCGATGGTTTTGCCGACCGAGGCGGTGTAGACCTCCATCTCAATGACCGAGTTGACCGGACAGGCATTGAGGTAGAAGACGTTGATGTTTTGCGAGACGCCCAGGAACGACCATGGCGAGCCAGCCACGCCCGAAGTATGGTAGTATATCGCCATAGAGGTCACGCAGTCGACGAGTGTGGCTCCGCATCCACCGTGCATGTTGCCCAGGTTGTTGTTCAGCCTCTCGGGCACGCGCATGCGCAGCACAAGGCGGGCATGGATATCGTTTCGCACTGGCGTTGGTGCGGTGGCCTTTCCAGCCGTCTTCATCGTAAGCCTGACCGTTTCCTGCGAATCATCGACATCCGCCGCCTCGCTCACAAGCTCGCCGTTCTCCTCGAGACCGGTACGCTCGATCGAGATGATTGTCACCGTCGAATCAACCGCCGAGCTCGAGTAGCCGGGGCTCTCGACGAGGTGCCTCGTCATGTCCACCGCATCCTGCGTCGCCTCTTGCAGGTTCTTCGGCAATGGTGCTGGCATGTTGTATGAGTAGCGCGCTACGTTGTTGGTGGTGGGAGGGATCCAAGGTGTTGCGAGTTGCACAAAGCTCGGCTATCCAGCACGACTGTATTTCTCGCGTCCTAGCTGCACCGGTCCCAAAGCCGATGTCAACCGGAATGCCCGAATCCGGTTCCCCACACGACAACGCGCTCAGCTTCGCAGCCTCTCCGCATCTCTCAGCGGCGGCTTGCCGTGTGAAAAATGCACGAGCGAGCTTTCCTCGCCGGGGCGCATCCGCTGAAAACAAAAAGGTCGTCTTTATCATTGTTAGAGCTCGTGCATCTAGGAGCATGCTCTCTGACTGTGATGCTGAGGGCGCCCTATGCCACGCTCCATCGGCCGCCGGCTGCTTGGCCACTGGCTACGTAGCCGGCGACGGAGACGATGACGTCCAGGATCTGGCGCGTTTGCTCCATGTACGTTTCGTCCTCCGCCGCGTCTTTGCGTGTCCACAGCCTTTCGACCCGGTCGAGTCGCAGAGCGATTTCCTCCTGAGAGGTCTGGTCGCCCACATGATGGTGGAGCCGCAGCAAGAAATAGAGGATGCGCGTCTGCAGTCCGAGGCATTCGGCAGCGTCGGCGTCCTGTTCCGCCCTCGCAAGCCACAAGAGCACCTTCTCTAGATCTTCGCTGCTCGACTTGTCCGAGCACGAGAGCAGGATGCGTGCGTACGTCCATTGCGCGCGCGCTCGCAGCTCGGCATCCTCGTTGGCCAAACAAGCAGGCAAATCGGTCTCGATCAGCGACCGTGTTCCGTCTGCCATCTGGAGATGGAGTCCAAGCGTCTCGGCCAGTTGGACTCGGGCTCCAAGCACCAGGCGCTGACAGTCCATCTCTTTGGCGATCGAGAGGCATGCCAACGTGGGCATCAAGGCCAGTGACGGCTGTTCGCTCTCGGCCCTTGAGGTCGCCTTGCGCAGCAACGCTTCGCCTGCCTCTTCTGCCGTCAGTTGGCTGAACGCTTTGAAGCGTCGACCGAAAGCCTCGTCCATCTCGCTCGAGCTTCCTGTATCGAGATAGCGCAGAGCAAGCTCCACCAGATTGCTCGGCGACCCGACAGCATCTTCAATGTCGCAGCCAGCTTGCGCGCGCTCAGGCAAGGGCAAGGCATCCGCCAAGACTCGCAGAGCCGCTTCGTCCTCCCGCCTCTCTGCCCTTAAGCGCAGGATCTCGCCGATGGTCGTATGCCAAGTCGTATAGTGGCTGAACGAAATGCCCCGGTAGGTTGCCGGCGAGATGAGCAGCGCCAGTGCCTGTTCATAGCGACCTGCGCGCGAGAGGCGTTTCGCCCTGCCGCAGATGGAATCGATGCGTGTCTCTTGCTGCAGCTGCGATGTAGCTCGACCGTCCAAGGCAGGTTCCGCTCGCCCATGATACACCTTTGCGAGCGCCGGAGCCCCGAGGAAATTCCAGAGGCGTGCGACCTCGGCATCTTGCGCGACGGCATCCCGGCCCAGGCGTCGCTTCGCATCATCCATCAGCTCCAAAGAAGCTTCGGAAGCTGCCAAGGTATCCCGAGATGGTTGTGCCGGTGAAAAAGCCTCTTCGAGGTCGTGCAGCACCTCGAGTGCCGATCTTCCTTTTCCAATCTCGCACCGTGCCTTCCAGACCGCATCCGAGGATGGCTGACGGTGGTTAGGGCGTGGCGGTATGTGGGCGGTGCCAGGAACGGCCGCAAGCACACTTGTGCCAACGCCTTGAATGCGGAGCATGAGGCTCTCACATGCTCCGATGCAGTCGTGGTCGTTGGCAGAGCGGGCTAGGCTGATGGCCTCTTCAAGCGCTGCTCGAGCTGCCGAGAAGCTGCCGGTCCTGACGTGGAAGGTAGCTAGGTGCAACAAGGTGTGTTGATGCAGCTCACGGTCGGCGCCCGGAGCGTAAAAGTCGAAGAACTTCTCCATGTTGTCCTTGGCCGTCATATAGTCGCCGCGAAGCAGCCCGAGCTGGTAGTCGCGGAAGGCACAAAGCCTGGCATCAGCGAGCTGATACGAGTCCAAGTCAAGGCGATCAGAGCTCGGCATCGTGAGGGTGCTGCTCTCTCTCCATGCCCGTGCCGACGACATGAGTTCGTCTCGCGCTTGCAGGTCGAGACTGTCAAAGATCAGCTTTGTCCGGCGAAAGAAGAGGCCAAAGAAGGATCGGCGCTCGAAGAAGATATCGGTGGCATTGAGCATGCCTGTTGACTCGTAGTTTGGTAGGATTCGGTTGAGCTTCTCGTTGAAGAGCTTGGTGAGACCGTCGGGTACGTTGAGCAGATGAAGCATGCCATCGAGGTAGTCGACCACGATGCGACAGTCATCCTCGTCTGGTTGCATCGCTGTCCGAAGCTCTTCCACAAATGCAGCGTACGAAGGCGCTGGAGGTCGTGTCTGGTACAGCTTGTCCATGAGGAAGAGCAGCAGCTTCTTGCGTGCAACATGCGCATCGTCGTTCAGCTGGACCCTGCAGTGGAAGTTGAAGAGGACGAGAATGGCGATGGTCTCGCCATTCATCTCATCCGGTGGTGCGGAGGGGACGTCCATATTGGCGCTGTGTTCGCCTGACCGAGGCTAGCGGCGACCGTGAGCGTCAGTCGAAGGGACAGGTGGTGGTGTTGCTCCAATTGGAAGAACAACACCCGGCTGCTCGAATAAGCGGAAGACTCACCGGAGTCGGAACGCGTCCTTGCTCGCCAGTTCGCGTTGCGGGGCCTGCAGGCTGGGCTGGGCCGAACAGGAGAAAAATCCAACTGCACACCGCGGCGCGGCCGACGCCTCCACCTTTGCAGGCTTATGAAGGCAGCCCCAGCCCCAGGTTCGATTTCGGAACTCGGGCTGAGTGCGGAACAGCTGCAAGAGCGCTGTCGCCGTCCCCTTCCGAAATAACTTTTCGGTCTTTCGAGCCTGCACTCTTCCATACCGTTCTGCCACCCATCGATACCTTCTCGATTCACCCTCTCACATTGAACACATCATTATGGCTTTCTCTGAGGACACCAAGGTGCGTAGATCAGTCGGCTGACGAACCTGGAGTCGAAGATCAGCACTTGGCGGTCGGGCATAGCATCTGCGCTTCCACTCGGCCAAGTGTTTCTCCACAGACTCTTCAACTTGCACCTTGCTTGCTCGGCAGGACTCTTTACTGACCCGCTGCATTGATATCTCGACCTGCAGGAGCGCATCGTCAAGGCCGTCGACGTCTCCAAGACCTTGCTCCACTATGGCTGGTAAGTCGATGCTGCTCGAGTGCCCGCCAGGCCGCTTTGAATCAGGGACTGATCTTCTCTTCGCTGCATCCGAACTGTCTCGATTGTCTGCACAGGGTTCCCTTCGTTCTGTACATCGGATTCACCCGAAGCACGCCTCAGCCAAGCCTGATCAAGTGAGTTGCCCCTCAAAGTGCCCCAGATCGCTCAGAACACTGAGACCATCTCGGCGAATCGCTTCGCTGTGTCGGGCCGCTGCCGGGTATCGGATGCGTTCCGAATGCTGACACGCTTCAACTTGTTCTGCCCCTTCGCTCTGCAGGCTCATCAGCCCTCTCGCATGAAAAGGGTCGACCTCTCCAATCGGCTCTTCCGAAAAGCTGACCGCCTGCAAAGAAACCCTGCCTGTCGCTCCTGGAGCGGCACTGCAGCTCTGTACGATAACTGTCCATCCATAATCACATTCGGTCGGGCATCGCCACCGCTTCCCTCATGTGCCTGAAGAGTCTGCAGCCAGGGCCTCATCACATGCCCCGTCCTGATCTGCAGCCGAGCCCGCGCTGAGCATTTATACTCACGCTTCTGCCTCGTAGCTCCTTCATCTCCTCCCACATGCGCTGCCTCCTCGTCAGCCTCTATCTCCTTCCCCCGGTCGGCTTCCTTGTGCCAGAAGCATTGTCGACAGTCGCTCACTTTCCTCACCAGCCTCATCCTGGCCTGGAGGTTCAAAGACAGGTGTCCGCCTGTCCACCTTCAAGGCGCCTTCTCACCGACTTACTGCCTCCCTTCACAATCCCACATCGTCATGAGTCGTTTGAGCAGCCACGCAGCGCGACCCGGCCCGAAGCGCAGGCTGGGGGCTAGTCTTTCAGCGAATCCCGCACCGCATACATTTACGAGCCCTACTGGCCAGGCAGCCCCTCCAACACGCCCGTTTCCGAACAACAATCCTACTTCGAATGCATTTCATTCAAATGCTGGACATAGTCCGCAACGCTGGCCTACAATCTTGCCTCAAGCTCAACAAGAAAGTCAGAACGAGTGGATCGTATCGGACCCCGCGGCCAACCACCGAGCCATGGCGATGGAGTCCAACGGCGCCAGAGGCGATCTCAGACAATTCGAGTACGCCGCTTCACCGTCACGGCCTACTTCTAATGGTCGCAATCCAGGGCCCACATCCCAGATGTGGACAGCTCGAGACGCTCCGGTTGTTGTGAGCTCGAGCCAAGGCGGATCTCCTCACCCAGAGCAGGGCTTTTCACGCTCGCGACCCAACACTCATACCGGAGAAGCAAGCCATCGCCACCCTCGCTCCATATCTCCATTCGTGGCGCCTCCCAGGACAGCACCAGGCTCGATGCCTAGGCCTCATTCTTCTACCTCGCTTCCTACAAAGACGACGACCACCCACGATCCATTAGAGACGCATATGCGCGCTTGGCTCACTCGCGTCGAGCAATCCCAGTCCGAGGTCCTTGCTACCGTGCAACGACTCTCACAAGCTCAAGAGATCTTGGCATCGGAGCAAAGGGAGCTGGCAAAGAGCTGCTCGCTTCTGAAAGAGTCTCATGAGGAGGCGGCTCGTAGTGCCACCCACCAACTCGGTGAGTCGATCTTCCCGAGCTCACGAAGCTGTGAAGCTCTTTTGCTGACTTCAACTATGCACCCATTCTCGCCCTGTTACGACCTCTCACCACAACGCACTGACCTTGCTGCTCTCTAGCTGAGCTTCATCGTCAATATGAGGAACGCACTACAGAGCTGCTGCAGGAGGCTTTGCGGGATCATTCCGCAGACTATGCGAAGCGGCAGGTCAAGACGATTCATGACGTGTCCACACGCATCGAGGAAGACATGTCTCGGACCCACGCCGTCACCCAGGCCCAATTGAACAACGTAAGCCCACCCGTGTCCAGATCCGTGTCATCAGCGGCGTTTTTATATGTTACCGTTTGAGCACAGCTAAACCTCATGTGCCGTATCCCACTTCCATGTGCAGATTCGTTCCTCGCTAGAAGGGGTTCAATCCTTCTTTTCCGAAGAGATGGAAAGACTCAGGGCTGAGCAGAGGGAGATCGCCCGCCAGGAGCGACGAGATTTTTACGCCGAGTTTGCGGACATGCGTCATCTCCTCGTCAATCTGCAAGAGAGGGAAAGTGTGGCTGTTGTCGCCGCAGCTCGCAGTACTTCTGGAGTCGTATCACCAGCGACAAGATCGGACTCACCCGAAGAGTTCGAAGAGTTCGAGACGGTCCGGCTGATTGCAAACAAGAAGAACAAGGCAAAAGGCACGGAATCCCAGCCGACCCGAGAGCGTGTCGTTACTCGGTCCAGGAGCGGCTCGACGCTAAGCCTTGGGCCTTGCGGTCAGGTCTTCGTTCCAGAGGCGCAACAACATCGTCAAGAGACTCCGCAGACCGTGGCAGCGATTACTTCTTCTCCAATGCAGGAGCCTACACATGCTCTCGAGGATGAGGTGACGCATGTTGACGAGCATCCATCTCGCCGAGAATCACCCCGCCCTTCTCGAATGGGCGACGAGGATCCTCAAAGCAAAGCGCAGAAGCGGAAGAAGCGACCCGGCCAGAGATATGGCGGAGCTTCCAAGCGGCAGCGGCGTTCTGCTCAGGTCGATGAGACGGAGCAAGGAGCCCCTTCGTCGCCCGCAGCTTCATCCTCGCACGATGCACTCGTGTCCGCTGACATCATTCAGGAGCAAGAACAAGAGCAAATTGAGCTTCCGTCTTCATCTCCTCCGCAGCCGTCTACCCGATCTCGAAAGAAGCGCTCGTCGAAATCAAGCTCAAACTCAAAATCGAGGTCTCGCAAGGAACAGAAGCAGGAGCCACGCGGACGCGCACGCACACGCTCGCGTGGCTCGACTCGCCGACCTGGCGTCTCGCCGCATACCTCACATCCCGTAGCAGCCGGGGAGAACGAGGAGATGCCCCAAGAGGAGGTGGTGATGCGGCCGTATCGCTATCAGACTCGATCGCGGTCCCTATCGTGCGCCAGAGCCGGTATTTCACTGCTTTCTGAAGCACTGGAATGAAACTCAGTGTTGATCCAAGCCTGTGTTCCATGAGAGCCGTCTGCCTCTGTGCTGAAGCCCAAAGACTCATTCTCACAAAGCTCTTACTCCTTCATCTCCCGTGCAAGCGTCTATTTATGCTACATCTGGTCATGTGACTTAGACTGGTCGAATGCCCGAGTGGTTATGGGGCTGGCTTCAAGAACGATGAATTCTTGGCCACGTTATGGCAACACCTCCAGTTTTTCCTGGGTTCGAATCCCAGTTCGACCAAAATTTCCTTTTTGCTCTGTAAGTCTTGATGTTGTTGTTGTGTGTGGGCATTCGCCATGGAGAGTAACAGCGGCATACAGCGAGAGGTTGGTGTGCATACTCGCAAGAATGTGTCGATTGGAGTGTGTCTGCCCGGAGGACCGACGAGGCTGACCGATTTCATTGCAGGTGGGGATCAAAAGGGGGCGCGTGCAGAGCGCGTGCAGACACGGCGATGCAAAACGAGTTTAAAAAAAAAGAGGGTGGGAAGAGAGAGGGTCTGTGGGCAGCATTGGCCCAAGCAGCTGGGACGCGGCCAAGGCAGGGCAGCGCGTGGCGAAGGCGTGACAGCCCCGTTGGCAGGGCGAATATGCTTTTTCCGCAGATCAGCTGGGAAGGGCGGGCGGAAGAGAAAGCAGGGCAACACCAGGGCAGCTCAGGGCAGCGCGGCATATGGATGCGAATGAGAGCAAAAGGTGCAGGTGAGACAGGGTGGCAGCTGGACGACAGCCTGCCCGCACCGTATGGGCAACCGCGCATGCAGAGTGCGGCTGGAAGCCGGGCGGAGTGTGAGCTGAAGGCAGGGGGGAGGGATGGTACCAGAGAGCGCGCGCGTCTGAGAGTGGGCGGCGTGTGCTTTTTGGCTCTGCTGCTGGCTGTCCCAGCGGGGGATAGGTTGGGCTCAATTGGCAACTGCAAAATGCACGGCCAAAATGGCCAACGGCTGGGGACCGACTGGCCCGGCTCGGTCGGTCGGCGTGGAAACAGCGCGCGTTGGCAAGCGGAGGTGGCTCGGCCGCCTCGCTCACTCGACGCTGCCTCCCAAGCATCACCCACTCGACTCCTTCGACCGCCGGACCCTTCCCTCTCCACCCCGTCTTCAAGCCCGCGTCGACGCGCCGACTACCACAATCGCCATCGTCACCACTCGGCAACGCATCAGATCGAAGCTTCGACTCTGACCTCCATAAGCGCTATCGCGAACCGACTTTACCGCTTTGCTCAAGTGCACCAAAGCAACGGACGGACCTCACTTGCTATCCATCGTCGGCAAGCTCTTCCATCTCTGATCTCTGCAACAGACACCTCTTGCTGCTCCGTCTGCATCTCGACGTCGCTTTCATCTCCAGAGCCCCGCTACTTGCTCCCTTCGGCCCGAATCGTCAGCCAATGATCCTAGCAGATCGCGCAACCAGGCAGCTCTGATCGGTGCCGACCGTGCGCAATCAAGCTCGAGCGTGCATGCAGTCCTGGCAAATCCAAATAGCATAACCCGCCCGACCGCCTCTCCATCATGGTCTCCGATCAGGCGTCTCGGGTCTCCTCGTCCCAGCGCGAGCCACAGCGAGGGCCCGAGGCAATCGCCAACTTCTTTGGCGGACGCTATTCCACCGATCAGGGATCCGTGCGCGCTAAGAATACAGAGTCATCGCTCTCCAGCTACGCCGGGAGCATGCGCAGGTCCTCCTCTGGCACCGAGTTCTACTCTCAGGCTCACAGCGCCAATGGCGCCGACGGCGCTGACGACTCATCTGCCGCTGGCGCCGCCAACGCTCCAGCTTCACCCAAACCGCCTCGAGTCTACTCGTCGTTTTCAGCCGCCGCTGCCGCCGCTTCTCGCTCCTCAGTCAACAAAAAGAGCTCGCAGTCCAGCATACCAAGCAACCCCGCTGCATCACCATCCATCCGTCAATCTCCCGCCATGGCCTCACCGCGCATATCCACATCCGCTTTCGGCGGCGACGTCACCTCATCCTCGGGCGTAAATGCCGATTCCGAGTATGCTTCGCCTTCAAAAGCTGCCAAGCCTTCCGGCTTCGATGTGGCCTCGGTCAACCAGTACACCCCTGGCTCGCTCGCCAGCACCTTCCCCTGGCTCTCCAGCAACCCGCAATCCTCGTCCACTCACCTCGTCAGCCGAGATCGCGTATTGGCCCCCGCTCAGAGCAGCGCGCAGCTCCAATCCCACATGGACTCCCCTCCCAACGTCTCCCAGTACAGCAAGGGCAAAGGCTTCGGCTGGAATCCCAACGATCAACACAGAGCGCCGCCCAAATCCGCCTCCAGGATGCGCACTACCACCAATACACCCAGCTCCGAGATGCGAGATACCAAGGACTCCATCGGTCGCGGCCTCGGCTTCAAGTCGACCTCCGAGCTCGACCTGCCAGAGCGCATGCGCAGTCAACGCAAAGCAGCTCTGGCGCCTCCGCGACTCTCGCAGGATCCCATCGCTATCAGCATAGAGGACGAACTGCGACCCCAGCCTGGCATCGCCAAAACCGACTCCGCCTTTGCCCGTCTCGGTCGTGCTTTCCGACGCAAGAGCAAAACCGGCAGCGACCTTAGGGTCGACCTCGGCTCCGACGCCCCGCCCCTCCCAAAGACTCCCAGGCGCATGCCCAGCCAGATGCTCACCACCAGTCAATCGGATCGCCTCGCCCCAAACGCCTCCTCCACTACGAGCAGTCTCACCGCGGACGCCGTCATGCAGAGGCACAAGCGCAGCGTCGACATCAACGGCGCCCGTGCAGAGCTCCAGGCTCCGCCCAAGGATGCGCCACAAGACAGTCAAAGCGCTTCGAAAGGATCGGATCACCCGTCGCCCTCCTCTCAAACCAAATCACGCGATGCCACCCGAAACTCGGCAGATCTGCTTTCCAGCCAGGTAGGTGGGAACCGCCGCAACGCATCCTTTGATTCTCGACCAGTGGAAGGCGCAACTGGTCGAGCGGCCGTGCAGGAAGATCGGCCAGAGGAAGGTCCCAGGACGGATCAGCCGCGGTCGCTCGCCGACGCAAGCGCTGCTCCAGCCGACAACCGATTGAATGAAGCAGAGGCGACGCTCACCGGCACCAACCATCGCACGCATTCGGACATCGCAGCGGGGGGGTCAAAGCCGCCCGAGGATTGGCAACACAACCGCCCGGCAGTCGGCGAGTCGAACGGAGCCGAGGCTCCGCAAGCCCTTGACCGCTCCGATGACGTTCAGCCTGGCGGCCGAGGCGCGTCCGCAGCCGATGCACGACCTCTCTCGATGGATTCCACAAGTTCGAGCGCACGCCGCAATTCTCTCGTCTTTCTCGCATCCGCAATCTCCATGGGCGCCATCGCCGCCGAGCCGCAAGAGGCTGCCAGCGCGGCCGACGCAGAGACTAGCAACACCGAGAACGACAAGTCCGAAAAGGCGTCCGATCGCGGCCCCTTGACAGACACTGCCGCGAGCCAGACTGCGTCAAACGTGCCAGCGCAATCGGACACCTTCGTGCGCAGCGGCAACAGCGCGTCCGTCCCCGCCTCGTCCGAGCACCACACGAGCGCGTCCATGGCGAGGGTGCGAAGCGGAAGCTCCGACCGTCGGCGTCTCGAGCCCAAGTCGGCCGTCCGCAATGACGCGGTTCCTAGTATCTTGTCCGACTTTTTGAGCATGGACGCTGCCCTGTCGACCGGGGACGGCAGCAAGCGAAAGACCAAAGAGCCCACTGGCTCATCTCGCCAAGCAAAGTCGACCAGAGAGTCGAGTTCGGCCTTGGAGCGCACTGCTAGCGCCAACTCGGACGGCAAAAAGTCGTCGTACAGCACGTCGCCCAAGTCTTCGCGCGCCACCAAGGGCGTCTTCATGTCGCCACCTGCCGGGCCCAGCATGGGTGGCTTCGTCTCGCCTTTCTACGTCGCGCCGCTCACTTCGGTCGATGCCGGTCTCGCCAACCGCGCAACGCGTCCGACGGGTCGTCGCGCAAGCGCAAGCTCGCGTTCAACCCATAGCGATGACTCCAGGAGCGTTCACAGCACGACGCGCCGCGGCTCGGCTTCCCAGGCTCCCCCCGCAGCGTCTCAGCGAGAGGCTCAGGATGCACCTCAGTCCAGCCGCGCCACCGAGGAGGCCGTGATCAAGTCTCAGGAGCTTGCTTCTGCAGAAAAGGCCAGAAAGGTCAAATCAGTCGGCAATCTGAAAGCTTCGGCCACGGAACAGAGCCAGGAGGCAATGCCACGCTCCAGCACTTCAAAGCTCCCATCGGCCTCCGCAGAGTCCAACACTCCCGCAAGCCGATCGCATGGCGTCTCGGCTGAGGGATCCAGTGCTGCTACGCAGGCCACCGAGGAGAGCTCGAACGACAGCAGCCTGTCTCGTTCGCAAAGCATTTCGCAGCGCTTGCTACGCCGTCCAAAGACGAGCGGGGCAGAGGCTGGTCTCGGAAGCGGGCGCACAATCTTGGGCACGCAGGATACTGGGCCTCAGTCCGGTTCGCGAAGAGGCTCGGGGCCAGGTCGCGCATCTCTGGACGAGTCCGGTCGCTCAGGCAAGCCGTTCTCTTCCTCGCCTACCGAGACCGACTTTGAGATGCTTGCATCGTCGGATCTTTCGGCTACGGCGAGCAAAGACACATCGGCGTCGAGGACCTCGCGCGAAAACGGACTGGCACCTCGCGCTTCGAACGCCTGGCTCAAAGAGAGCCCCGCATCGGGACGCAGACCGAGCGAAAGCAGCAGCGGCGCCATCACGCCTTCCTCCTCCCGGATCGAGTCGAATGGCGGGGCCGCTGCGCTTTTCGGAAACCCAACCACGAGGCCACGCACATCGTCTCTGCTTCCGTCCTTCGGCTTCAGCAGAAGCCGCACCGGGTCTTCTGCTGGTCTTGAGGGCACAGGTAAGAGTCCAGGCACCTTTGGCGGTTCGAGTCGTTCCGCTTCTGGTGGCCTGTGGCGGGACCAGGCCGATGCTGGAACACGGGGTGGCGCTGCCGATAGCAGCTCGCAACTGCAGGACGTCAACGGGACAACGCGATCGCCACGGGCATCTTCGAGCTCGCGGCCTTCGTTCAGCAGACAGCTGTCGTCCACGACAGCCGGCCTCACAGAGACCGAGTCGGTTCAGTCGTCTGTCAAAACGGAGAAGAAGTTCTCGCTCTCCGCCTACTTGCCCTACGACGACGAAGATGCTCCCGAATATGCCGAGCGAATCGCATCGACGGCGCCCAAGACTCAGCTGGCTGCCATCCTGGCCTCTAGCCCCGACGCGTTCTACATCGACGCGCTCCACCACTTCATGACGCGCTTCTGGTTCAACGGCCTTCCGCTCGACATTGCGTTGCGAAAGCTGCTCATGGATCTGCATCTGCCCAAGGAGACTCAACAGATCGACCGCGTGATGGAGGCGTTTGCGAAGCGCTACAACGAGTGCAACTCGGGCCTGTTTGCTTCCGACGACCAGCCCTACATCTTGTCCTTTTCGCTCATGATGCTTCACACCGATGCTTTCAACAAGAACGCCAAGAACAAGATGACCAAGGTCGACTACCTCAGAAACACGGGGTCCAGCGGAGTGCCTACAGAGATCCTCGAGTATCTGTACGACAATCTCACCTTCACCCAGTTCATCTACGTCGAGGACGAAGAGGGAGCGCGTCGTCGCCCGTCGGAGGCCTCGGGCATCTCGACGGCTGGACCTGCCTTGTCGTCCTCGCTCGCGGCGCAAGGAACAGCAGCCAATGCGCGTACCAAGATCGACCCATACTATCTGATCACGCAGGGTCGGCTGGGCGAGCTGCGACCGGATCTGGAGCACCTGATCCCCGAGGATACGCCCTTCTCGTACACCGGCACGTTGCCCGTCTTTGATGTCGACCGTCTCAACTCGGCCTTCCTGCACGCCCCCAGCATCGAGATTGTCACGACGAAACCGCCCTCGGATCCAGCGGCGGCCGCGAACGCCGGCGCAGCAGTAGGCGAGGAGGAGGTGGTGTCGCTGAAAGTGACCAAAGTGGGCATCGTCAACCGCAAGGACGACGTCTCGGACGGCGGCAAGAAGGCAGCATCGCGCAAGTGGAAGACGAGTGGTCTGCTGTTGACGGGCTCGCAGCTGCTGCTCTTCAAGGACGTGGTGTGGATCAACGCTTTGCAGTCGCAGATTCTCGATCAGGTCGGCCACTCGCTGCTGTGCAACGGCATCCCTACCGACGACCCCACGGCTGTGGACGAGGTCGAGGGCGGTGTGGTGATCTCGCCGAGGATCACGTACTTCCGGCCGGACGGAGTGATCTCGCTGGCGGATGCGGTTGCGGTCAAAGACCACTCGTACGGAAAGTACGACTTTGTCTTCCGACTCTTGGCCGCCAAGGGCCGGCAGTACCTGGTGCAGGCGCAGAGCGAGGACGACATGAATGATTGGATCCACAAGATCAACTTTTGCGCCAGCTTCCGCACGTGCAACATCAAGATCCGTGGGCTCGATCTGGCCCCGCGCGCCGGATCTGGCACGGGGCTGGGCGATGCAGATACGTTGGATGTTGGCGACCTGTCGAACGGCCGCTCGGGTCGTGGCGCTGCGTCGAGATTGTCTTTGTCGGACTCGGACCGGGCATCGAGAGGCATGGAACGGGATGGCAGCGGAAGGTCGACGCCTGTTCCGGACGAGGCTGGAGACACTTCGAGGGAGGCGTCGTTCCGGCTGAGTGTGGACCCGATGACTCGCACGAGCGAATCGGACGGGCCACCTCGTCCTGCGTCGTCGGCGTCCCAGCGAATGAGTCCGGCGTCGAGCGCGCTGCAAAAGCGTGCCAAGGCTCGGCGTGAACTCATGCTGACCAAGATCGCTGAGACGGAGGTGCAGCTGGAGCGGGCGTCGACGCGGCTGGAGGACGAGATCCGTCTGGCACGCCACTTTGCCATCCTGACGCCGTTCCTCAAGTCGACGCGCGAGCGCATCGAGATGTCGGCGCAGCCGCTGGCGCATCGCATCCGAAGCCTACGATTGGAAGTGTCGAAGGCCGAGTCGCGATGCAAGATGCTACGTCTCGACCTGGCGGCGGGCGAGAGGGTGGCGAGAGCGCTGCTGCCGGCAGTGTATCTGTCGGCGTCGGCGATGCGCTCAGCGAACCGGCTGCCGTCGTCGCAGGTTCGCACGCCGCAGCTGCTTGAGCTGGGCCGCCTCTCGGAATCTCAGGCGCAGTTTGAAGATCTCTTTGCTCCGACAGCTTCGAACGGCAATACGGCGGCCAGCCCGGACCCGGCAGCAGCACTTGCGGTGGCCAACAAGGTGACCAAGCCGGCGTCGCATCAGAGGAACCAGATGAACCTCAACGCGGTGACGGAACAGCCAGCCGACGAGTCTCCGGTAATGGCGACGCGACGCGAGCTGCCAGCCGAGGATGCTGCAGACGAGGACGAGCGCGGCGCGGATGTGGCGGCGTCTGGCGGGCGGAAGCAACGGCCGACTTCGCCTACGCAGTCGGTGGCGTCGCACTCGTCGGCCGAGAACCAGCAGCGCCGAGAGCGAGACCGATCGAGAAGGCGCACTCACGGTGCGGACGTGCCGACGACGGACGAGGTGCCGGAGGAGTGGGACCTGAGCCAGGTGGCGCGACCAGGCACCAACCGCATCAGCCTCGTCGACCTGCCTTCGCCCGACGAGCTGCAGGAAGCCACGGGCGGACGCTTCCGATTCGGCGTGCGCGCGGCCGAGTGAGCGTGCAGGAGCACCTCCCGGCCGGCCGGACTACGTCAATGTCATTGTATACTTTATTTCTGTCTTCACGCGGTGCTGATGCCAAACGGTGTGGTGCGGGGTAAGAACAGGAGCGTATGGGTGTGTTGGCCGAGGATGGCGCGGGGTGACACGGCCACGTGGGTGAGAGGGCAGAGATTTCTCTCGGGCGAGTCACGAGCGGTCGTCGCGGAGACCCGCACGAAAATGGCGCTGTTCGGAGCGCCGATCCGCGCGAGTCGGAAGTCGGCGGCGCCGGGCACGAGCCGGCAAAGACGGGGCATGCTTCGCGGCCTGAATCTTGGTCTAGCATGCTTTTTGCGTCAATTTGAGGCTCATCATATGGAGCGGAAGTCTGTCATACATGCTTACGATGCTTCAGCATTGCGAAGAGAGAGGTGCCCGATGGAGCTGATCGAAGGTCCATGCTAAAATGCAGAGATGCAGTTGCTCGAGCCAAGTCGAAAGCAGCAGTCGAGTTGGATGGGGGATTTGAGTGTGAAAGCGCGCCTTTGAAAAAAGGGCGACGCACATTGGAATTGTGGAGAAAAGCACAAGCCAGCCCGAAAAAGGGTCGGTCGCAAGGCGGGGCAGGCACGCTTCCGGGTAGCAACACGGCCTGGTTAGCCGGAGAGGTTGGATGCGGATGGGGAACACTTTTCTCGTCAGGCTAAGCAGCTTTTCACGCCAGCGCTGGTCGGTCGGTCAGATCTGGGCTTTCAAACTGCGCGCCCGAAGTCCAAGTGCGGGGCCCAACACCGCTTAGCGACGGCGAGCAGTGTCGAGCACCATTGCCCGCTCTCACAGGTGCTTGGCCTTGTGGGGTTCGGCTGCCGTTGCTCGCCTGCGATGTCGACCCCAACTGCCGCGTGGAATGCTCGCTGGCTTTTCCTTGGATCGTCGCCAAGGGTGTCAGCCTTGGTCGAACCTTTCTGCTGTGATGGCATTATTAACACGACCAGGATCCAGCCTGCTAACGGACCCATGCTGTGCAGAGCTTAGAGCTGAATGCAGAGCTCGAATTGCAGTGAGGAGGAGCACTGCGAAAGGCAATCGTCGAGCGACGAGGCATTGATTTTGCGTCAGGAAAAGCTGAGCTACTGTAGCGTGGAATTTTGCAAGGATGGATGGGTCTGCTGGTGCCGGTTGTGGTCGACTCGAGGCCGGATTGCAAAGCGTCCATCCAACTCCACTTGGCCAGAGCGCCTCTGCAGAAGCGCCCGCGCGTGCTCCGTGATCCCACTCGGACGCACCGGCCGTATGCATGCATCGCTGCGCCTCTGCTGCGTCCGGCTAACCGGAGCCTCAGCCTCGCTCGCTGCTTGCCGTCGTCCGTTGGGTCCGTACGCAGGGCTCGCGAGGATCGAGCCAGCCGCATCCCCGCCGTCGAGTGCCATTCCATTCAAATACCTCCTCCTCTCCCCGCATCCTTCCTGACTCCAGCTTCCCTTTCACCTCCGCTGTCCTTCCGATCCGCAGCATCCTTCCTCTCCTTCATCTCACACCCGCCTTTCTTCCTCTTCACCAAGCCCCGTCATACGCACCGTCTGCACTCTGCCTCCTGATCGTGCATCACGGACTCGCGCTGTTTCCCCATCAACCCAACACACCCAGCCTCGTTACCCGTGCAGCAACGCACAGCAAATAGCTCCAAAATGTCAGACTTCCCCTCCACCGAGAACGGGAAGATCTCGTTCAAGAACCGCGTCGTCGTCGTCACCGGTGCCGGTAACGGTCTTGGTCGAGCGTAAGTAAATGCGCCGCAGGCGGAAGAAAAGAGTGCTGTGTATTGACCCTCGTTCGCGCTGCTTCCTCACAGATACGCACTCTTCTTCGCTTCGCGCGGTGCCAAGGTCCTCATCAACGATCTCGGCCCCTCTGCCAAGGACAAGAACAAGAAGGCTGCCGATGTCGTCGTCGAGGAGATCCAGCAGGCCGGTGGCGAGGCCATCGCCAACTACGACTCGAACACCGACGGCGAGAAGGTCATCCAGCAGGCCATCGACAAGTGGGGCCGCATCGACATCCTCATCAACAACGCCGGTATCCTGCGTGACAAGTCGTACGTATTGGTCTCTTCTTCACGTCGTTGGCCGCGAGCCAGCTCGCAAACCCAGTCCCACTTTACTGACAACCGATCTTGCATTCCGCACCCACAGTTTCAAGGCGATGAGCGACAAGGAGTGGGACCAGATCACGGCCGTCCACATCACCGGCTCGTATGCCTGCGCCAAGGCCGCATGGCCCCATATGCGCAAGCAGAAGTTCGGCCGCATCATCAACACCTCCTCGGCTGCCGGTATCTACGGCAACTTTGGCCAGGCCAACTACGCCGCCGCCAAGCACGCCATGATCGGTTTCGGCAAGACGCTCGCCATCGAGGGCGCAAAGTACAACATCCTCTCCAACGTCCTCGCCCCCGTCGCCGCCAGTCAGCTCACCGCCACGGTCATGCCCCCCGAGATGCTCGAGAACCTCACGCCCGACTACGTCGTCCCCATTGTCGCCTACCTCGTCTCCGCCGAGAACAAGGAGGTTTCGGGCCACGTCTTCGAGTGCGGTGCCGGCTTCTTCGCCCAGGTCCGCCGTGAGCGCAGCCGCGGCGTCGTCTTCAAGACCGACGACTCGTTCACCCCCGCCGCCGTGCGTGCCAAGATTGACGAGATCCTCGACTTTGACGAGAAGCCCGAGTACCCCTTCCGCATCACCGACGCCAACCACATGGAGTTCCTCGAGCGTGCCAAGGAGGCCAAGTCCAACGACCAGGGCGAAGGCCCCGTCCGTTTCGACGGCAAGACCGTGCTCGTCACCGGTGCCGGTGCCGGTCTCGGCCGTGCCTACGCTCACATGTTCGGCAAGCTCGGCGCCAACGTGGTGGTCAACGACTTCCTCGAGAAGAACGCCGCCGCTGTCGTCGACGAGATCAAGAAGGCGGGCGGCAAGGCCGCTCCCGCCGTCGGCTCGGTCGAGGACGGCGAGAAGATCGTCAAGGCGGCCGTCGACGCCTTTGGCTCGATCCACGTCATCATCAACAATGCCGGTATCCTGCGCGACAAGTCGTTCGCCGCCATGTCGGACCAGGAGTGGCACGCCGTGCTCAACACGCACCTCCGCGGCACCTACAGCGTCTGCCACGCCGCCTGGCCCATCTTCCAGCAGCAGAAGTACGGCCGTATCGTCAACACCACCTCGGCCGTCGGCATCTACGGCAACTTTGGCCAGGCCAACTACTCGACTGCCAAGGCCGGCATCATCGGCTTCACCAACACGCTCGGCATCGAGGGCAAGAAGTACAACATTCTCGCCAACACGATTGCCCCCAACGCCGGTACCGCCATGACCGCCACCATCTGGCCCCAGGAGATGGTCGACGCTTTCAAGCCCGACTACGTTGCTCCCATGGTCGGCTACCTCGCCAGCGAGGCCAACGAGGACCTCACCTCGAGCCTCTTTGAGGTCTCGGGTGGCTGGGTTGCTGCCGTCCGCTGGCAGCGCGCCGGCGGCCACTCGTTCAGCCACGGCAAGCCGCCCTCGCCCGAAAAGATTGTCAAGAAGTGGTCCAAGATCACCGACTACGAGACCAACCCCTCGTGGCCCACGAGCCCGAGCGACTCGCTCGGCGACATTGTCTCGAACTTCGGCCAGGAGGAGGAGGACGAGGATGATGACGACGAGGGCGGAGCCGGTGGTGACTACAGCGACCCCGAGGACCCCGAGATTGTGCAGAAGGCCAAGAAGGAGCCCATTGAGGACTCGGAGTTCTCGTACGGCGAGCGCGACGTCATCCTGTACAACCTCGGCGTTGGTGCCACGGAGAAGGACCTCGACCTTGTGTTTGAGCAGGACGACGACTTCCGAGCGGTGCCCACGTTTGGTGTGATCCCGCAGTTCATGGCGAGCGGCGGTATCCCTCTGGACTGGCTGCCCAACTTTAGCCCCATGATGCTGCTGCACGGCGAGCAGTATCTGGCGATCAAGAAGCCCATCCCCACGAGCGCGACGCTGGTGAACAAGCCCAAGCTGATGGAGGTGCTGGACAAGGGCAAGGCTGCGGCGGTGACGTCGGTGGTGCACACGTTCGACAAGGGCAGCGGCGACCTGGTGTTTGAGAGCCAGAGCACCGTCTTCATCCGAGGCTCGGGTGGCTTTGGCGGCAAGAAGTCGGGCAAGGACCGCGGCGCAGCGTCGGCGGCGAACAAGCCTCCGTCGCGCAAGGCGGACAAGGTGGTGACGGAGAAGACGACGGATGCGCAGGCTGCGCTGTACCGTCTGTCGGGCGACTACAACCCGCTGCACATTGACCCCAGCTTTGCGCAGGTGGGTGGCTTTGACAAGCCCATCCTGCACGGCCTGTGCTCGTTCGGTATCTCGGGCAAGCACATCTTCCGCGAGTACGGCGCGTACAAGGACATCAAGGTGCGCTTCACCGGCCACGTCTTCCCCGGCGAGACGCTCGAGACGAGCATGTGGAAGGAGGGCAACAAGGTCATCTTCACCACGCGCGTCGTCGAGCGCGACACCCAGGCTCTCGGTGCTGCCGCCGTCACGCTGGCCGACGAGTAAGCTGGCCAGCATCTTGGCTTGATCCGTCCGATGCCTTTCCCTTTTCTCTGATCTGGAATTCTATAGTGTATGATCGACTCATGGCGGATGCTGTCTGACTGAGTGTGTGGGATTCAAAGCTCGACTGTGGGCGTTGTAGCTTGAGGACCCTTGCGGACATCGCCCAGCTTGGTAGTCTGCTGGGTATGCGCACGGATCTACACGAATTCGAAGGCAATCGGTGATGGCAGTAAGCCCAGGTGCTCCTCCTCTGAGGGCAGCTCAGCGATCACACGAGCGGCACATGTGGCTGATGAATGCCGTTGGCAGCACGCGGTGGGTGGGGGTCGATTTGCAGGAGGTCGGAGCGTCGGGTGCATGGCGTATTTCGTGGCGCAGCGTGGAAGCAGCATCGGGCCCGCGTCTCTGCTGTCCAATTCCAACACCGCCCGGGCCCACTGGGTGTGACTCTTTCGCAGACAAAAGCACCGACAGCACGGGAACGCGTCTGCGCTGGCATCGTTCTTCCACCCATCTCGAAGCTCTCTTTCGCTCTTGGACATGCGCATCTGACGCTCCTCCTAGACCTCGCATCTCTGTCACAAAGGGTCCGAGCGAAGACGTGGCACACGGCCCCACCGCCCACCCTTCGCCTTCATCAGCACGCGTCCCGCCCCCCAGCCGGTGTCGCTCCCCACCACCAATCGGGCTGCTTCTTCTCCCCATGCGCCTTTCGTCTCGCTCACGTTCGTTCCTCACCACCACCACTGCTGTCAAGTCCCTTCGTTCCACTCCCTTGGCATTGGCATCCATCGATACGCGTGCAAGCACAACTACGCAACCTCGCAAAGTCGTCGCTTCAACCACCGCGCGTCCGCAGCCGCCTGCCGTCTACGCGCGCTTCAAGAGCACCCATCATCCAGCGCATCCGACTGCGGTCCCCACATCTCCTGTGCTTCCCAAGCCGTCTCATATCGCCTCGACACTCGCTACCGAAGAAGCGCGGCCTCCCACAGCTCATCCGCAGCCTCCTCCGCACCAGGGTCCACCCCGACTCGTGCGCTACGAGGCAGACAGCCACGCGCATCCCCAGCACCCGCTCGCGCTCTATCCGTCGTCGTACTCGCACGCTTCGTATCCAGACCCAGCGTCGTACCGCGCTCACCTTTCCAGCCGACGCGCACCCGCCAGTCTCTTTGGGCTCTTCCCCAGCACCAGCATCACCGCAGCTAGCGTCAAAGCAAGCTCCGATCCGCACGCTTATCCAGGCGCAGGCCCCACGATCCAGACCAGCGTCACTACACCCACCCAAGCAAGTTCGAGGCCAGCAGCCATCGACTCCACCGCTCCATCTGACGCCATGACCGCCTCCGCCTCCTCCATCGTCGACGCAACCAAGTCGGGCGAGGCCGAGCTGCACCAGCGCAAAAAGGGCGCCGCTGCACCCGCCTCTGCCACCCCCGCCGCCGTGGCAACCACGAAGCATTCGCACAGCCACGGCCACCACGGCCACCATCACGGCCACGACCACGGCTCGCCAGAAGAGGCAGACAAGCTGCTCGCCGCGCTCAAGGGCAAGGGAGACCGCGGCTCCAACATTACGCTCGCCGGTCTGGTGTCCAACGTGGGGCTGTGCGGCGCCAAGGGCGTGGCGGGCGTGTATCTCAACTCGGCCGCGCTGCTGGCGGATGCGGCGCACTCGCTGTCCGACATGTTTGCCGACCTGGTCACGCTCTTCTGCTGGAAGATGTCGCAGAAGCCGCCGTCGGCGTCGCACCCGCTCGGATACGGCAAGTACGAGACCATGGGTTCGCTCGGCGTGAGCCTGGTGCTCGTTGCCGGTGCGGTGGGCATTGGATTCCACTCGTACGGTCTGTTGCTCGAGGCGATTCAGCCCACGCTGCAGCATGCGCCCGCGGCGATTCAGGCGCTCAGCCACTTTACGGGCAGCATTGCGTCGGCGGGTGGACTGCTGCACGACCACCACGACCACGGTGCGGTGGCGCACGGCGAGGGCGGCGTGCTCGATCCGAACGCCATGTGGTTTGCGCTGCTCTCCATCGCCGTCAAGGAGTGGCTCTACCACGCCACGCTCAAGATCGCGCGCGAGGAGAACTCGTCGGTGCTGGAAGCGAATGCGCTGCACCACCGTTCCGACTCGCTCTCGTCCGCCGTGACGTTCCTCGCTATCGGTGGGTCGTGGCTCGGCTTCCCCGTGCTCGACCCGCTGGGAGGTCTGCTTGTAGCCGGTCTGATTGGCAAGCAGGGTGCGGATCTGCTGATCGGTGCACTCGGCGAATTGTCCGACCGCGGCGTCGAACCCGAGATCCTCCAGACGCTCGACCAGGCCATCGTCGAGGTGCAAAAGCAGAACCCGCTGCTGCTCGGTTGGAAGGATCTGAGAGCCGTAAAGTCGGGAGTCAGCACGTTTGCAGACGTGACCCTCCAGCTGCCCAACGACGCTACCCTGCACACCGCATCCCACATCGAGGCCCAGGTGAGAGCCAAAATCACCGCCGCCGTCAAGGGCGTAAAGGAAGTGCGCGTGCGTCTTGTCACTGTAGACGCCACCAACTAGACCTGGTTAGCAAATTTAAAATCTCGCACCTCTCTTGCTCTCACCGGCTTGTGCGGCAGATTGACGCATCCTGAGCGCGTGCAGTGAGGCAGCTGGGGCAATCAGAGCGACTGAAATTGCACATGCTCCAACGGCGAGTGCTCAACATTAGACGTGAGTGCGGGTATTGTGGGGACTTAGGTTGCAGCTGTGGTGGGCAAGTTGGCTGGTGGCTGCTGCGTGGCGTGCTGCCTATTTGCAGCCGGATCCTGGCTTGCATTCTGGGCGCCGGCGGTGTTGGACGCGAGCGAAGAACTCGACAGCGTCTGTGCTGCTGCTCCGATGGACGACAGCTGTGCATGCCCGCCTGGCGCATCGGTGGGCACTGTCTGCTTAGCCGGTACACCTGGCTTATCCTGCGCCGGCGTGCCAGCCGCACTTGCACTGCTCGGCGACGTCGCATAGAACGGGAACGACGATGCGGGTGCGCCCGTCGTCGGCGAGAGCGGAGGATTGCCGTTGGGCGTCGGCCCGTTCCTCTGCCTGTTGATGAGCGTCTTGAGCGCCGAGATCCACTTGATCTCCTCGTCCTCCCCGGGCGCACACAGGATGAACGTGCGCTTGGGTGTGATGATCTGGAAGCAGTTCTCCTTGCGCTTCCTCGAGCCACCCACCATCCCCGCCGACATGTTGGAAGCCACGCCCGCCGCTACCGCCACCATGCTCCCGCGGCGCTCGGGCTTCTCGGGCGGCGCTCCCGCCGACGAAGCCGCGCCGGGCGAGAAGGCCGAACCGCCGTCGCGCTCCGACGCCGCCGCAGCGTGCTCGGGCGCAAACGGATTCGCCGTTCCCCCGAGCGCGGGCGACGTCGGCAGTGCCGATGCCTTCTTGGGCTCGTATTCGATCGCATCGAGCATCGACGAGATCGCAATCTGCCGATGCGCCTTGGCATCCATGTGGCTGCGTGAGTAGAGCAGCCGCGCGGGCGTCAGCACGAACCAGCGCTTACGCCACACCTTGCGCCGCCCGCTCTGCTTCATCAGATAGCCCTGCGTGATCACCTTGTTTGGGTCGCGGATCAGGTCGTTGGCCGTCGTCGGCAGCGGCGAGATGCTCAGACCCGACGCTTGGCCAGGCGACGCCAGATGCTGCGCATGTGCCGCCTGCGTGGCTAGCGACGACGTCTGTGCGTTGTTCTGCGACGATCCGAGGGCGGGAAGTGGCATGGCCTGGTCGGCCACCTCTTCCTCGTCCCACTCGTCCTCTTCGTCCGAACTGCTCAGCACCTGCTGCCCGCCGCCGCCGCTGCCGGGAGGGAAGATGGGACTCGAGGGCTGATCGGCGGGACCGCTCGAGAACGATGCGAGGCGTCGCGTTGCGCTGGTGGAGCGTTGGCGGGGCAGACTGCCGAAGCCCGCCGAGGGGCGTCGTTCGTGGCCGCCGCCTGCATCGCTCATCTCGCTGCCGGAGGTATGGCCACCGCCTCCGCTGGGAGACTGACCCGCCGCCAGGAAGAGGTGCGAGGGGTCGGGGCGCGTCGAAGGGCTGCCCGACATCGAAGGCCCCGTGGAGCTGGCGTAGCTGAGGCCGTATCTCTCTGCGCCCGTCTCGCTGTCGCTGGTGGTGGTGAGCGGGCTAAATGCAGCCGAGCCCGGGATGGGACGCGGCTGGGCGGGTGCAACGTAGCTGGCTCTGCTGGGGATGCCGATCTTGATGGGTTGTGCGGACGAGGCCGGATGGGCGCGCTCCTGGGACGCGGATCGCCTTTGCTGCGGAGGCAGGGTTGCCGAGGGTGCTGGCGTTTCGGTGTTGGCGAGCTCGAGGGCGGCCATCTCCTGGGTCATGGTGCTGCTTTGTGCGTACTGGGTCATGACCTCGTTGAGCCTCTCGATCCACGATTCCATGTCGGCTCTCGACGAGGCGCGCACGTAAAAGGTGCGCTTGGGCGTGACGATGCCAAAGGTGTTGACGCTCTTCTTGAGCTCGACCGAAGCGACGGTCTTGATGTCGCCGACGTCGATAAAGCGCAGCAACTGGTATTCCTTGTCGTTCTTGTAGTATGCGAGCTTGGAGGAGCGCAGGACAAACCACCTCTTTTTCCACGTCTTGCGCTTCTCGCCCTTCTTCTCGAGATAGCCAGACTTGACGGTGAGCTCGTTGATCATGTTGTGGTGCGCCTCGCTGCCACCAATTTGCTCCACGTCGTCGTCATCCTCGTCAGCATCCGCATCGCCTTCGAGATCGTCGGCGCTGTGGTGGTCATCCTGGAGCCGAGAAGGGGCATGCAGCCGTGTGGATGAAGCCGCGTCGACCGAGTCTCCGTAGGTCGAGGGAGAAGAGGCTGCCGCAGCAGCGTTGGAGACCGATGGCATAATGACGACCTTTTGCGCAGCACCGGTCGATACGTGTCAGTCACGCTGGTGTTCGAATGATTCGTGCAGTCCAACCACCGTGAAAGGTGCGGAAGCGGGCGGACAGCAGGGTGGTGTGGTGTACGATGGGTCAAGAAGCGAGCGCCGGTTCGAGGGAAGGATGATACCGACTCAGGATGAGCGGTCGCTGCGCATTGACGGTCGACAGTGAGGGATGAAGGTCAGAGCGGCGTGCGGGGTGGTTGGGTGAGTGAGCGAGGCATAGATTGCAGGGGCGGCTGGCCGGTCGGTGTGTCGCTTCCTCCACCCGATCTAGGCGAGGCGAGCCGAAATTCATCAGATGGCTCCTGCGCGGATCGCCCACCGCTCCAAGACAAAGGCCAGTGTGACGAAGCAGTCGGCGTCGCAGCTCTACTGTATCTCTCCACGCGCACATGCGTGAGCGATCCCATTGGATGGAGACGGCATATTTTCTCGCAGAAACTCACTTCAGCTTAACATCTTTGACATAAAAAATGAGCTAGATTCGGACGAGAAACTCGCCCAGCTTGGGAACGCGGATCCGCGAGAGCTGTCGCAGCCCTCACCGTCACCTGCGTCCTCGCATCACCATCGGCTGTCACTTTCCACATCGCCTCCTCTCCACCACCTACCCCACACGGTATCACGCACATACATCATGTTCCGCCAGGCGCTATCCACATCCGCACGTCCTGCTGCACGAGGCGCCGCCCTGCAGCGCGGCACTGCCGCCCAGGCTCGCTTCGCTTCGGGAGGCTCGTCTTACAACCAGCCCACCGGTTACCTCTTCGGAGAGAAGGTAAGATCGTCAAACGTGCGGTACCTCCTGTAGCGATACCTCCTGTAGAATGGCCCGCATCCCAGGACCGCTAGGGCGAGACATCATGACTGACCTTTCTGCACCCGCACATTCATCTTTCGGCAATCCTTTCCCATCGCGGCTTCGACGTTTGTCAGGTCCCCAAGGGCCAGAAGAGGCAGAAGGAGAACTGGGAGAACATGTGGTACTTTGGCATGTTCGGCGGCATGGCTTTCGCCGCTGTAGCTCTTATGTACAAGCCCGACACCAGGTAAGTCCGCCTCCCCCCGCTCCAATTCAGAGCCTTGCCTCAGTCCTGCTTACACTTGGTATCGTCTCCGCGCATCGTGCTCGCACCGCACAGCATTCAAACTTGGGCCATGGCCGAGGCGAAAAAGCGTCTGGAAGCCTCGGGAGACGAATGGCAGTACAAGCCCTCGCCAAACTCGGGCCACCCGAACGGCGTATAGATCGTCCCACCTTGCACCGTGTTCCTTCGACAATGCAACGATTCCATCTCAGCCCGGCCAGACAACTCGTTCGCATCTGCTTCCTCTCATAGAGCCAGGAAACTTCGGCTCAAGCGACACAGGACTCAGTTGCGGCGACACGGTCTCAGAGGTCGTGCTTTTGCCGACACGTCCAGGTACTCGACATCGGCCATCCCATTCGCGACATCTATGGTTTACATGAGCGAGACGAAGGGGGGCACAGGCAGGCGGGGTATGCATCGGCTTTAGCTACAAACGAACTCAAAGCTTGGCGATGTAATCGAGGCCCATGTTGAAGGCAGCGCACTGGTCGTTTCTCTGACCCAGCGTCTCGAGCCTCTGCTGGACAGGGCCGAAGCTGAGGCCGTTGAGATTCGAGGTCGACATTGCGGTCCACGTGGTGCCCGCCGCGGTGGTCCTCGCCAGCGACGAAGCATACGCCTGGCCTCGAGCGCGCAGGTAGTCGGCCGCCGGAGCCGGGTTGCCTGTGCGGACGAAAGCGGAGAACTGGTCGATGATCGACGCCATCCACGGCAGATCGTTGGCGTCGCGGTAAGGTAGGCGGAAGGCTGTGCCCGTGGTGTGGAAGAGCGTCATGAGATCGCCCGAGTGACACATGTAGTAGCTCGAAGGGTCTAGGCTACCCTTGGGCTGACACGCTGCCTGCGGGTCGTAGTTGGGGATTTGGTACGAGCGCTGGTCGTAAAAGTAGGCCCAGACGCGCGGGAAGACGCCATTGGCGACAGAGGCGTACGCCATGCCCTGGATACCGCAGCGGTACCTGATGTCCGTGTTGACGCTCACCGTCAGATTCTGCACGCTGTATCCTCGGTTCACGGGGAACGCTGCCGTGTCGCGCAACGCAATGTCGCTGTAGTTGGATGCGATGCCTGCCGTCTTCATCGCATTGGCAAAGCTGGTCTCGGACGCGGGCGGCACGATGCCGAGCGAGGCCAGCTCGTCGCGCATGGTGCCCCAGATCACCGGCACACGGTTCACATGGCCCTGCGCGCGACCGGGTGACCTCATGTCAAGGCGTGGCGAGCGGATGTACGTTCCATCCTGCGTGATCATCGCGAACTGGTTCTTGAGCATGTCACCCACACTCTTACCGCGCAGGCACGAGAGGACATTCGAGGCAGTGTCGCATCCGAGCGCCTTGACTACCGCACCGGCCTGGCCTTGACGAGCCTGCTCGACGGTTGGATAGACAAAGGCTGCATCGTGTCCCTTTCCACTGAGCACAATGGCGCGCTGGAAGAGGCCTGCAGCTTGAGGCGAGGCGAGCAGGTTCTGCACATGCTGTGCACCCGCCGATTGGCCCGCAATGGTCACGCGGCTCGGATCACCGCCAAAGTCCTTGATATACTTTTGCACCCACTTGAGCGCGGTCACGAGATCGCCCAAACCATAGTTGCCACGGATCTGATCGTCGTACGCCAGGTAGCCTAACGAACCCAGACGATAGTTGGGCGTGACTACCACAACGTCGCTGCGACTCGCCATGTTGCCGCCGTCAAAGGTAAAGTCGAGCCCGCTGCCCGAGGCGTAGCCTCCGCCGTGGATAAAGAGCAGCACGGGCTTGAGCGCCTTGGTGCTCTGCGTCTCGGACGACGTCGGCAGGAAAGGCGTGAATACGTTGGCATACAGGCACTGCTCCGAGTATGGGCCCGAACCGTTCTGCGGGCACTGCTTGTTGCGCGTCGTGTCAAGCGCAGTCACGGAGGTGGATGTGCTGCCATCGTACACGGACGAATAGGCGAAACGCTGAGCAGGGTTTGCAAAAGGCACGGCTTGGAAGCGGAACGAGAGTGCATCGCGGAAGCCTGTGAACTTGACGCCGTTGCTTTGGGCTGTGAGCTGCCACTTGGCAGAGGTGTCGGTCGAGTTGGCCGCCCTCCAAGGTGCACTCTGCGTGCAAAGTGCCGGCAGCTTGGTGTCAGCACTCGGCTTGGTCGCCTGAAGGCTTCCCGAGGAGGACGACTTGAGGGCAGTCCCATCGGCAGCCCAGAACGACTGGCCTGCGGCATAGCTGCCGTCGTAGAGCAAGTAGCTCATCTGGGCCTGCAAGCCAGCATTGGACGAGGCGGAGGCAGGGACCAGCGTCTCGCCAAGGCGCCGACATTTTGCGGCAGCATCCGTAGCAGTGAGCGGGGTGGTGAGCAGGAGATAGCCTTCTTGGCGCCTGGACGAATCGGCCCTGTTCCAGTCCAAGTCGTTCTGGTAGAGGAAGCGGACGCCAGTGTTGAGCGAGCTGATGGCGGGCACGCCGGTGGATTGCGCCCTTGCAAGCGCCACCAACGCACATAGGAGCGTACACAACACCCACGGGCTCATGTTGGCAATGGGCTCGGACGTTTGGTCTGATGGTGGAGGGGGATGGAGAGAGGCCTGGACCACATGCGAAGACGAGGATCTCTTGTCTTATAGCGATGGGATCGGCATGGCTTGTAGGGCCAGTCTCGCTCCCACCGGCGATGGGACGCAAGGGCAGCGACTCTGACAACTCGCTCATTGAAGCGCCACACATTGAGCGCCCGCTGCCGTCTTTACCCACAGAAAGCGTGCATGTCGCTCGTCCATAGCCCCACACGGAGCTGCACTCGAAGCCGAACCGAGGACCGCAGGCAACTAGCGGCATCTGAGTGCGATGGTCGAACAGCACGGGCGCGGGAAAGGCTCAAACACCGGCGTTTTCCCCGCACACGTTGTGCACACAGGCTAGGCGTGCGGCTCTCGAAGGCCAAGCGAGACTCGCCAACACGAAAATCCAGGGGGTCCCGCGAGATTGGCGCGTTGGCACCCTTGCTCGAAGCTTGATGCAGGGATCGACGTGTCCAGACGCCACGGTCAATTGAGCTTGTGGTGGCTGTTGTTTGCGCGTCGGAGGGACTGTGCATCAAACACACGGATGCATGAATATCATATTGGTGGCATGCCCCCACCTCATGAGCGCGGTGGGACGGACATTTCGGTGGAGGCTTGCCCGCATGCCTGTGTCTTCAATGCGAAAGCCACGCTGCACACGACGGTGGCACCGGCTGCTGATGCTGTTGCTGTTGCTCTGCAGTAGGAGTTTTGAGTGTTTGTCGCCTTGCCACTTCGACTTCGGGACGAGCCGAGGAACGGCTCAGGGCACGGTGGGGCGATCGTCGCGCCACGCCAAGCCTCGGAATGCAGCTGGCATTTTTTGACAGATGCGCCGGCAGCGTTGAGCCTTCGCGTTCCCGCCCCACCAACCAGCGAGGCGCGGCAACGTCGGGAGACGGCCTAGCGCAGCTCGACGCAGGCACAGTCGACTCCGCAACCACTGCATCGCTAGACATCATTTCGGGTGGGTAGATCGGCTCACCTGGTCGCAACCCGCCCGTGTCTGCCGAGGGCAGTAACGGTGGCGGAATCGTTCGTCGCCGGTGTCTCGCCATCGATATGACCATCGAGATTCGATAACCGAGTGGAGGACAAGCGAAGGCAGTCGAAGGCCAGCTGTTGCCTTGTCAACCCTCAGCAGCTCAAGCCAAGGTGTTGCAGCAGCACCTCACGCAATGTCAGGTCCAGGCCAGGCTCTTATGTCCGAGCCCGCTAACCTCGAACGGAATGAGGACGGAAAACGGCTTAACAGAGCTGACCTTTTTCCAAAGACGCACAGCCAGGGTCCAAACGCTGAGCCGGAAATTACGCGTCGGTCTCCACTTTCGACACGGCTGCAGGGTGGCGGTGCGTTGGGTGCTCAGCCAGGGCGAAACAAAGCTTGCGTGGCCACACGCTCGGAATTGCTTGGCGGTTGGCCATTTAAGCTTCCGGGCATGGCGATGTCGTTCGTCATCCAGCAACCCATTTCACCTTTCCACCTAACCACACCACTTCTTCCTACAACATCATCACTCCACGTCTCTCCAGCATGCCGGAACGTTCAACAGGTCCGATGATGTTCATCGGCGAGCGCTGCGCGTTCGATGAATGCCATCGCGAAGACTTCCTCCCCTTCAAGTGTGGCGACTGCCGCCAGCACTACTGCTCGAACCACTTCCGTCCGCAGGCGCATCGCTGTTCTCATTATGACGATAAGGATCTCGACTATCGTGTGCCGCTGTGTCCGATCTGTGACCAGCCTCCGCAGGGATGGCAGCGCGACCAGGATCCTAACATTGCCATGGACCGTCATCTCTCCGGCCAATGTCCCATGCTCGACAGCAACGGCCATCTCAAGTCAGGCGCTTCTTCTCCCGCTGCGCTCAAGATGAAGAGAGCCAAGAAGGCCAACGAATGCTCGTTCGTCAAGTGCTCCAAGATCATGGTCGTTCCCATCCAGTGCCCACAGTGCGCCGCATGCTTCTGCCCCTCTCATCGGGCACCCAACCAGCACAGCTGTCAGCATTCATCATCCTCCTCTCCAGCCGCATCCTCGACTCGTATCGCCTCCGCGGCTCCAGCAACAAGCGGCATCAAGAGCGCGTTCCAGAACCTCAAGATCAGCACACCGCAGCTCGGATCCAGCAGCACGCCCTCCAAGAGCACCGGCTCGAAACCGCCCGCCACAGCGCCAAAGTCGACCGCCGCAACCTCGACCTCGCAACCGTTTGGAAAGATGTTTGACAAGTCAGAAAAGTGGGTGCCCAAGCCGATCTTTGGCAAGGCTTGAGCAGCTCGCGAGTCGATCGGACCCGTCCGAGTGGGATTGTAGATTGGTACGCCTTTCTCCGACCGCGCCTGCTCACCGATACATCACGCCTAGGCACCGGCAGCGCGCACTTGCTTACTGACTGTGCTCTCGGCTTCACTTTTGACCGTACAGGCGTGCGAAAGCAGAGCGGATGTCCGCCATCCGCGCCATGCAGGCGCGCCAGCGCAAGGGCATCCTATCCGATGCAGACACCGTCAGGCTCGCCGAAGAAATGGCAGCCCTGTCCAAGACCGAGAGAATCAAGGCTTCGGATTCGGATTGCTCCGTCATGTGATGCCAATTCTCTGCCGCCGCATCCACATTATACCCGTTCAATCATGCAATTGATAACCGCAATAGACGCACTTGATCCAGCGTGACATTTGTGTGTGCTACTGGTCGTACACGAGCTGACGGAAAGTGATGCTCTGTGATGGCCAAGAGAAAAAGATGGCGTTAGCACGGCTGTTGTGAGGCTGCGGACCTGCGCCACGGCAGCTTACAATTCTTGGCGTCTTGATTTTGAGCTCTTTGGGGATTTCGTGGGTGTAGAACTTCTGCGTTTGGCCCTGCATGACAAGCAGGCTGCCGCCGGCAAGCATCCATCGTTTCTTCACCTTCTCGCTTGACGGTTGAGTTGAACCCTTCCGAGGCTGCTTTCGTTCCATGATCCAGCTCCTATCGGCGCCGAGGGAAACAGTGACGATGACCTTGTTCTCGATGTTGTCCGAGTGTCTGCCAATGTAGATGCTGCCGTCTTCGTACCGGTTGAGCATGCAGTGGTTGAAGCGCACCTCGGAGCCGAGACAGTCGTCGGACGAGATGAGCGAGGCGATGTGGTTGAGCAGCGGCGGGAACGGAGCATGGAGCTCAACCGGATGTCCGCTGTACTTGAGGTGCAGACCGGGTGCTGTTGAGTACGCCGCAATGTCGCGGCTCTGCGTGATCTCGCGGCCGTACACTTTGAGTTTGGGTCGGTACCATTCGGACAATCGGTCGAGTTCGGCCCGCCACTCTTCCGCCAGATGCGCAGAGATAAAGTCGGGCTTGTAGTAGATCTCGGCGTCGGGAAGACCTTCCACCTCGTACGTCGAGCAGAATTCGGGCCTTGTGACTTGGTGGAACGGTCCGCGATGGTGGTACTCAGGCGCCGCTGATGTTGTCGTGAGCGCTGCAGACGAAGCAGGCTTTGATCGTTTGCTCGGCTCCTCGGTCTCATCCTTCGCTTCATCTTCCTTTGCGCTGTACTGCGATCGTGTACGTTTTGTCGGACTTGCTTCCGCCTTGACGGGCGGCAACCGGGTGCGATGCGCTCCAAACTTGACGTTGAACAGCGTGCATTGCACCGTTCGCCTGGCTGGAGAAGGCGTCTTGCTCGTGCCTTCCCCTTTGTCAGTCGGCTCGAGTGCCGAGGGTGAGAACGATGACGGCTTGACCATCCTTGTGCCAGTCTCCTATGTGTCAATGGACGAGGTTGCTGTAGAAGGGCAGACTCAGCGCGGGTTTGCCACTCGAGCCTCGGCTATTCAAAGGCAGCCTCAGGGTCCAGCTGGGTCAGTTCGTGCAGCAATGCACTTTTTGGTAGCCGCAATCGGGGCAGCACTCCCCGATCAGACGGCCGGGATGCGGGAAGTATGAAGGCACGGGCGAATTTCCGTTCGCCACAAAGCACCTCATGGAGAGATCTCCTTATCGCAAGCCGATCATGAAGTTCTGCGCCCGTCACTGCTCCAAAGCAAGCAGAGTGCATTCATGGCAGAGGCTCCTGTTCCAAAACAATCAATGCTCACATTCGATCGTGGGAGCGAGAGCCAGGTGAATCAGCTATTCCTGTGGTGAGGTGTGACATCGGTGACCGGCGAAATCCAAGGGTCGGAAAAGCCGAAGCCTGTCGCCTGCAAAGATACCCGAAGCTTCACAGCGCGCACGGAGCACGGTTGTGAATGGATGTCCAGTCCCTTTTCGCCATCGCCATCTTCAGTGAGCTGGCTCTGCAACGCCCAAAGGAAAGGCCAGCCTGGCTGTTTCGCCGGCGGCGAACGTATCGGTGGATGCTCGGTCGAGCCAAATTGCATGGCGGCAACGTGTGCAGCGCCAGTGCTCGATTTTCGCGACTGTTGGGGTGGGGGCAATTTCGCCGCACCACAACAACTGCGCTGCTGACCTGCCGTGGCTCCACCAAGTGCTTTTTCGCGAGAGCTCCACATTCGCATCGGAGGCTCATACCGGACAGGATGGCGAGCTGGCTCGCTCAAGTTGTTCGTGTTTCGTGCGTGTGTGGTGCTGTGCAGGAGCACAATGCCTGAGCAAGAGGCGCGAGGCGCGAAGCGCGAATGCAGCTGATGCGTGCAGTTGGGGCTTCATCTATAATCGATGAGGGTCTGATTGGAAGAAGCGTCCAATCTTTGCGCAAAGCCAGCCGAGCCTTTTTTTTTTTTTTTTTTTCTGGTCTCGGGCTCAAGAGGCCGGCGAGTTGTTTTTTTCTGCATCTCTAAATTTTCGCGCCCTGCAGCGCTTCTTCTTCGGGCCAGCGAGCGGGAGTGGCTCGAGCTTTTTTTTTTCTGCTCGGCACGAGACAGCGTTCGGCAAAAGTGGGAGAGAGAGGCAGCAGCGTGGCGTGGCTGAGGAAGCGGTGTTGGACTCGGCGGCCAAATGCGAGTTTTCCAGCAGATCTGGCTATCTGTAGCCTCGTCAGCGCAGCAGCAGAAAGATCAGACGCAGGCGCAGAAGCTTCATCCTCCGCCGCCGCCGCCGCCTCGCCGCCGTCAGCTCGGTCGGTCTTGGTCGCGCTGATTTGCGCAACTCTGCCTGCAGCAGCCTCCTCTTCACCGTTAGAATCTCTCCGCCACTTCGCGACCCACCTTCTTCTTCTCTCCACCACCCTTCCCCTCCACGTATCTTTCTCCCCTTTCGCCGGTCAAGGTACACACACCTTTGCAAGCACCTCATCATGATCTACGCTCCCATCGCAAAGACCCAGCTCGAGTGGTACGCCTCGCTCAACCCCCTCGAGCACGGCGTCGACAACAAGTTCTTCCGTAAGACGTAAGTCTCTGCCGGCCAAGCCACCGCAACAATCACCTGCCCGTCTGTTCTTTGCTGACAATCGCACTATTTCAATGTGTGTCATTGACAATCGCAGCTCCATCATCGCCACCATCGGCCCCAAGACCAACAATGTCCAGATGCTCGGTGCCCTCCGCCAGGCGGGTATGAACATCGGTAAGTGCAGCACCAACACCGGGATTGTTTCGCTGGCTATTACCGTTCAGCACATACTGACGTGAATTCTCGCCCGACGATCTTCCCTGATCCACAGTCCGCCTGAACGCTTCGCACGGCTCCCACGAGTACTTCAAGTCGGTCGTTGACAACGCCCGCGCCGTGGTGGCTCAGACCCCCGGTCGTCCTCTTGCCATCGCTCTCGACACCGTAAGTTGGCCTTATGCGTCTTGCAGTTCGCGGCAATCCGCAGAATCATATTGCTGACCAGTTGCCCAATAACCTGCTTTCGGAGAACAGAAGGGCCCCGAGATGCGAACCGGTGTCATGGTCAACGGCGAGGATGTCAAGATCGCCATGGGCCACGAGTTCTACGTCACCACCGACGACGCCTATGCCGAGAAGTGCAGCCTCGAGTACCTCTACATCGACTACAAGAACCTCGCCAACAAGGTCGAGGTCGGCCGAACCATCTTCATCGACGACGGTATCCTCTCGCTCCAGGTGCTCGCCATCGAGAGCGACAAGCTCGTCAAGGTGCGCGCCGTCAACAACGGCGTCCTCTCCTCCAAGAAGGGTGTCAACCTCCCCATGACCGAGGTCGACCTGCCCGCCATCTCGGACAAGGACAGGAAGGACATCGAGTTCGCCGTCGAGCAGGACCTCGACATGATCTTCGCCTCGTTCATCCGCCGCGGCAGCGATGTCCGCACCATCCGCGAGATCCTCGGCGAGAAGGGCGCGCACATCAAGATCATCTCCAAGGTCGAGAACCACCAGGGTGTGCAGAACTTTGACGAGATCCTCAAGGAGTCGGACGGCATCATGGTTGCCCGTGGTGACCTGGGTATCGAGATCCCCGCTCCCCAGGTATTCATGGCGCAGAAGATGATGATCTCCAAGTGCAACATTGCCGGCAAGCCCGTCATCTGCGCTACCCAGATGCTCGAGTCGATGATCGTCAACAACCGCCCCACGCGTGCCGAGGTTTCGGATGTCGCCAACGCCGTTCTGGACGGTGCCGACTGCGTCATGCTTTCCGGAGAGACCGCCAAGGGCGCATACCCCATCGAGGCCGTCAAGATGATGGCCGAGACTGCATACCTCGCCGAGCAGAGCGTTTCGTACGTGCCCCTCTTCAACGAGATGCGCACGCTCACCACCATCCCCACCGACACCAACGAGACCATCGCCATGGCTGCCGTCGCCGCCTCGCTCGAGCAGCACGCCGGCGCCATCCTGCTCATGTCGACCAGCGGTAACACGGCTCGTCTGGTCAGCAAGTACCGCCCCAGCTGCCCCATCCTCACCATCACCCGCAACCCTCACACTGCTCGCGACGTGCACCTGTACCGCGGCTGCTACCCCTTCCTCTACCCCCATGCCCGCCCCGAGGACAACTCCAAGTGGCAGGAGGACGTCGACAACCGCATCAAGTACGGTCTCGCCGAGGCGCTCAACCTCGGCATCATCGAGAAGGGCGATGTCGTCATCACTCTGCAGGGCTGGAGGGCACAGAGCGGCAGCACCAACACCATCCGCATCCTCAGCGTGCCCGAGAGCGCCCGCGACTTCAAGCTCGAGGGCACCCACCCCAGCCAGTAGATGCGGTTGCGTTGACGGTTTCAAAAGAAGGGCCCGGATGCCACGCCTGCTGCGACTAGATGGGCAGTATGGCCGTGCATGCTTGACCTAGGTTGATTTGTAGTTTCGTTCTGGTTTTGGTTTGCAACAAACACACATGTTTTTCTCGCACTAGTGCAGGTCCCCATTGAGCGTCTGAGATGCGAAGGGAGAGGAGAGGGACGAGACCCGAGTGGCCACTGCATTGGACCAGGTGGACGGACTCAGGGTCCGGCGTCGGAGGAGAAGATAAAGCAGGTGCGTGACAGGTGCAAGGTACGGGCGTCTAGCGTTCGGCTAGATAAGATTGGCAACGGTGGAGGCCGGCGCACCGGTGAATTCGGTCGGAGCGGCGTCTTGTACCTGGCGCAGAGAGCATGACAAGTGCGAAAGGGGTCACAGGGAGGAAGGCTGCGAGAGGCTGGAAGCGGAAGTACGAAGTACCGGGACGTGAAAGACCGGGCAAGAAGCAGGCCGAGGATTCGGGCAAGACCGGTCTCGACCGAAGTTTTCGACCACTTCTAACGTGTTAGGGCGTTAATGCAGACAAGACGGGATTTTTGGCCACGTGTTCCGTCTTTGACGAGCATGCCAAACGACAACTTTGCGAGGTGTTGCCACCAGCTAGGCTTCGAGCGCACTTTTCGTGGCGGCGAATCGCGCGGTGCCTGTGCCCGCCAAATGAAGGCCGCGAATCAGTGCCGGTGGAGAGAGGCCCACAGCGGGAAAATCGGCGCAGCGCAACGAGCCGCGGAACGCCACCTCGCTGCGCGACGTTCAATTTGTTGGGGATGCACGTCATGCAGGATCCGCAGGATTTGACGCAGGTTGCGGAGGGGAGTTCGTGGCTCTTTTTTTTTTCTTCCTCGGTTCGCCTGCGCAAGCCGGTTCATGGCCGTCAGTTTGTGCGGCCGACCGCGTTCCGCCTCTGGGCTTGGCTGCACCATGAAACTTTGGGCTCTCTTCTTGACCCGCAAGTCTGAGCTCGCCCGCGCTCCCCGGCGGCAGAGTCTGCGATTACAGCAAACCCCCTTCATGCGTCAGTGGGGCGGTCGTGTGACTGTACCCCACCCACATGTCCACGCGGGCGATGGAACGCATCGACTGGCTTGAGCCTATCGTGCTTTTGGCTCAGAATTATAGCAGAGCCTTGCGACGGTCGCAGAATGTAAGCCGAACTCTGTGCAGCCGCCACCTTCATGCCAAGACAGTCATGGCGGCCAAAGCGTAGGGAGCGATGGACCAGGCAGGGGCGAAGAAGCACTTGCGAACGGCTTTTGCCCAGCCTACGCACAGCTCGGGGGTTTTGGCCTGCGAACAACCTCCGAGAAGGATCGAAGACTACCTCCGCTCCCCGCCCAGGCCTAGATAGCCACCAAGGCCGCATTGACGGCCACCCATGTGAGCCCCGAGTAGCGCACGCGACTGCATCGCTCGACCGCCGCATTCCAGTCGAGATCTCTTTGTTGAGCATGAGCTTGGTCGGCTAGCCACCGATTCAGTTTAGCCTCACGATTGGCTCCGTCGACCGCCTGCAGCTGTACAGTCAGGCTTGGCCAAGAGCGCACGCTCGCCACCAGACCGGGCCAGCTGAAAGTGGCTATCCCCAACGTCGGATCGTCGTCGGGCCGGCCGAACGGGCGGGCCCTGAACGACGTCTCTGAGTTTGATGACTGGCAGGGACCAAAAAATTAATGCTTCCATCCCCGCACCCGTCTCAACTTTTCTGCCGGGCCCATGCACCCATTTTTTCTTCTCTTGGTGGCGTGCAGCCGGCAAATCACTTTATGAGCTGCGGAAGGGTTCCGCGGCCGACACTATATAGCCCCACACCGTCCCGTCTGGTGCTTTCCGCAACGTGACCATCCCCTCATACACCTCACGATGCTGTACGCTCTTGACAACCCGCTCTCTTCGTTCTGGCAAAGGCTCTCGCAGCAGCCATACCCGGCCAAGCCCGAGGGTCTGCCGGTTGCCGACTGGGCGTTTGAGCTCTCGCTCTCGCCTTGGGTGCCGCTGCTTACCGGCGTTGTCTACCTCTTCGCCACGCACGCCACCAACAACCGCTTTGGACCGGGCAAGCCCAAGCCCACCGACCTTGTCAAGCAGTCGTACGGTCTGTCGCAGACCGTGCTTGGCCACAACATCCTGCTCGCCGTCTACTCGGGCTGGACCTTCTTCCACGCCGCCACGCGCATCCTGAGCTACCTGCTCGGTGGTGCTCTTGCCGGAGGCTTCTCTGGTCTGACGAACGCCTACTGCACCGTGCCTATCGCCGATGCGTCGTTTGCTGGCCTCGGCATCTACGTGTGGCTGTTCTACATCTCCAAGTACTACGAGATTATCGACTCGGTCATCCTCATCCTCAAGGGCAAGCCCGTGAGCAACCTGCAGTCGTACCACCATGCCGGTGCGATTCTGTGCATGTGGGCTGCCTACCGCTACTCGGCACCCGCGGTGTTCATCTTCCTGCTCTTCAACTCGCTCGTGCACACGCTCATGTACACCTACTACTCGATGACCGCGCTCAAGCTGCCCTTCACCGGCGGCCTCAAGCGCAGCATGACCACTATCCAGATCACCCAGCTCGTCGTCGGATGTGGCCTCGCCTCGTCGTACCTCTGGCTCACGTACGCTCCTAGCGCGTACCCGGCCGGCGCCGTTCCCACCCCCGGCAGGCACGTGCTCAACCCGGTCTCGTCGGCTTTCAGCTCGTTCACCTCGGCTGCCAACAGCACCGCATCGGACTCCAAGTTCCTCGCGTCGACTTCGACCGAGGCACTCCAGCTCATCAAGCAGGCCATCCTCGCGAGCGTCGGCGCCAACCAGAAGACCGCCTGTGTTGCTACCACCGGTCAGCTCTTTGCCGTCGTGCTCAACGTCGCATACCTCATCCCGCTCATCTACCTCTTTGTCAGCTTCTACATCCGCAGCTACCAGAAGAAGGCGGCCAAGGGCGCAAAGGCGCAGTAATCGTGCCACCCAACTTTACCTGCGGCTAGCTGGAGGCAAGCCGCGGTATGCTTTCTCTTTCAATGTATTTCTACCCCAATCTGATGTGTTCCCAGGTCAAGGTCTTGGTGCTGTGAAGGATGCGGAATGAGCTCTATTGACACCGAAGTAGAGTGTGGAGAGGCGTGCTAGGATAGTGTACAGCGGAAAGGACGATTACAGTGCAAGGAGACAAATGGGACGATGCAGGTGGCGGGCGGAGAGCGCGGCCGGTGGTATCAAGAGTGCGAAAAAGAGGCGTATGTGCAAGCTCGGCGCCGGGGGGGGGGGGTGTGGATCCGAGCGGATTAGAGAACACCGATTTGGCGGAGAAAGTGGGCGAGGTGGGCGGCGATGCGTTCTGCGATCCAGTTGCCGAGCGCCTCGAGGCCCCAGAAGATGAAGCCGTGGGAGAGGGCGTCTACCTTTTTGACGGTGAGCACGGCGGTGCGGCCGTCCTGGCCGATGTTGTGGTTGATGCCGTGGCGGCCCGGGTCGAGGAGGCCGTCGATCCACTCTACGTCGGCCTTGTAATAGACGTTGTTCCACTTGCCGCCGCGCTGGGCGGCAGCGACGAGCAGGTCGCGCCCGACGTTGTAGCCGTCGCGGTCGATGGTGTGGTGGTACTTGAGATTCTTCTCCTTGGATACGGCGAGGAACCATGCGCCCGTGTTGGCCATGGTGCCGTTCTGCTTCCACACGCGGAAGTGATTTCCGCCGTACAAGCTCTCCCAGCATGCGCCGACCCAGCGGCCCGGTGCGCCGGGGAAGCCGGTCTCGCGGTACTCGAACATCTCGGGCACCCAGCCCTTGCCGTCGCCCAGGTCGGCGCGCTGCAGGTTGCCCATGTGCAGGTTGAGGCACTCGAACGAAAAGCCGATGGTGCGGATGTAGTCCTTCAGGCCGAGGTCGGAGAGGACGTGCTTGTCCGACTTGCCCGAGATGATCACATTGATGGGCTCGCGCAGTCCGTTGCCCACCAGATCGAGCATCGAGCCGCCGTACGTTCGCGGGTCGACCCATCCGGGCTGGTCGGGGTCGCCGGATCCGTCGCCATTGTCGAGATCAAGTGCATTGAATACGGCGTCCTCGGAGAAGGACGAGTTATAGACGAGGAGATCCGAGACGCCAATCGCGGGATCGTTGAGATCTAGAGACTCGCGTGTGGACTGTGGCGGAAACGGTGAAAATGGGTCGATGGGCTGCCATGGCACGGCGGCTGCGGCTACCGCGAGCGGGACGAGTGTCGCCACCAAGAGGGTGCGATGTAGACGCATGCTGATGCGACACCAGTCGGGTTGGTGTGATCTGCAGATGGTTGGCGAGATGAATGTGGGGAAAGAGCAAGCTGTTGACGAGCTCTACTTGCGGGTTTGGATTGCGGCTGCCGGCGACTGATTCTGGACTGCAGCCGGCAGTTGCCAAAATAGGAGAACTCGGCTGCGCAGCCAGTGTGACGCGATTTGGGTTTGCGGAGTTTCGAAGAAGGCGCTCTCACACCCAAACATCCTTGCCGCATCTCTCGTGCGATAGATCCGGTTGTCGCATGTGTCGCCTCCACCTGGCCAAAGCTGTGCCGGACACGCCGTGTCAATCCGCCTCACCTTTGCACCACCATCGAGACGCACAGATCACCATGTCGACATCAACACCAGAAGAGCTGCTCAAGAATGCCGAGAAGAAGGCGTCCGCCTCGGGCGGCTGGTTCTCCTCCGCTACCAGCAAGCAGGAGGAGGCGATTGAACTCTTCAAGGCTGCAGCCAACAAGTTCCGCATCCAGAACCGGTTTGAAGAGGCCGGCAATGCCTACATGCGCGCAGCCGAGACCGAGATCAAGACGGGCGAAAAAGACTATGCTGCCAACACGTTCTTTGAGGCCAACAAGTGTTTCCGCATGAGTCGGCCCGAGCTGGCCGTGGTGGCACTGACGCGTGCGCGCGAGATCCTTATCGAGCGTGGACGATTCCGCCAGGCGGCCGATCGCGAAAAGGCGGTCGCAGAGCTGTACAAGAACGACGCGGCCGATCCGGAGAAGGCGCTCGAGGCGTACGAACAGGCAGCAGCCTGGTATCTGCAAGAAGGCGCCAATGCCACCGCAAGCGGATGCTATCGTGAGGCTGCACAGCTCGCTACCGACCTTGCACGATACCCACAAGCGATCGAACGCTGGGAACAGGTTGCAAGCATGTCGCTCGAAAGCAACCTCACCCGATACAGCGTCAAGGACTACTACCTCAACGCTGGCATGTGCTACCTCGCCATCCCCGTAAGTCTTCCGTCCTATCGTCTTAGCACTGACTACAGCATACTGACACTCGTTGCGTTTTGGACGGTAGGATTATGTGGCGGCGGTACGTGCGATGCAGTTCTACGCAGAACAGGATACCAGCTTCCCAACCACCATGGAGGGTCGTTTCTTGCACTCGCTCGTCCAGGCATGCGAGGAGGGAGACCTGCAGGCTTTCGACGGCCGCGTCCAGGAGTACGACCGCACCAAGAAGATCCAGGGCTGGCAAGCCTCCCTCCTGCGCGCTGTTCGCAAGGGCATTCAGGACGAACCCGACCTTTCCTAGTTCCACGATCCCTCACTCACTTTGCACTTGCTTCAACCTCGTCATCTGTCTTCCACACTGTTCGACTCAAGTCTAAGTCTGGTTCCTCGTGAGAAGCGCGGTTCGAATTCGTATGATCACTCCGAAAGTAACAGAGGTAGACTGTAGGGCGGACTTCAGTACTCGAGCTCGCAGGCGAGGGCGAGAAAGGCATCGTCGTCGTCGGCAAAGCTGTCGTCCGACGACGCGGCGTGTTCGACGCGGCCCTGCTGTGCGCTGCGTCGGCTGGACAGCTGCGCTGGTTGGGACGGTTGGCGGGTGGGTGTGACGCGCGAAATCGCCGGAGGCCGAAACGGTGCTGCGGGCCCGCTCGCTGCAGTGGCGGCGGTGGCTCCAGCTTGCGACGCCGAAGCGACGTACTGCGATGCGCTGCGTGGCAGGCCCGGCTGGCGCGCCTGCGACATGCCGGGCAGCGCGTGGGGTCGCGCGCGTGCGGCGGGCGCACTCACCTTGCGCGATGCTACCGGCGCAACCGTCCCGCCAGCCGCCTTGCGCGGCGAGGCTGATGCGGCCTTGGCGAACGCCGAGGGCGCACGTACGCCCAGCTTTTTGCCCATGCCCGTCTGCTGCATCGCCTCGATCCGCGCCGACCGCTTGACTGGCGAAGCAGCCGCGGGAGCTGCGGTCTCGTCAGCGCCCTCGTGCTCTTTCCTTGACGTGACAGCAGTGCTTTGTTCGTGCCTGGTTACTGTAGGAGCTTCGGCTTGCGGCAGAGGCGCTCGTGATGGAAGTGCCGATTGAGGTCGATTCGCGGCGCCGATTTCTTTGGCATCGAGATTTGACTGCGGTTGTTGTCGGACCGGTCCCGATGGCGATCGTGACCGCGGTGCGGCATGCGCAGACTTGGACTGCAGCTCCTGCTGTGCTGTAACGTTGATAGCTCGGGGCTGCAGGATGCGCGCCTGCCGCTCGTCCTCCTTGCGCACTGCATTGAAGACGTCGTGGTCCGACTTGACCGGGCGAAAGACTCGACGCGACTGAGATCCCTCTCCTTGGTCTTCGTGTTGTGTAGTATGTGAACCCGAGCTCAGGTTGGGTCGCGCAGAGGTCGGCGCGGATGTGGTGCGATTGAGTCCTTCCCTTGGTGTCAGGCGCGCGCTTTCTGGCTGGTCAGCGACTGATGCTTCCGAGCTGTTCTGTCCGATCGAGCTCAGCGCGGTACTTGCGTGGCCGTTGCAGGCTGTCCGAGGTGCTTGGATACCTTGAATGGCGGCTTGAAGATCCTCGAAGAGCTTCAGACAGTCGGTTCCCGATTCGTCTGAGAATCCGAGACCGGCCATGAGCGATTCTCTCTTGCGCCGCCGGGGATGCCTGCGGTCGAGTCGTCGGTGCGATCCTGTCGGCTGCGAACTCGGCTGTACTGCTGCCATCGGCTGGACTGTCGATTTGGAAGAGCAGCTGAGCTCGGACGGTGATGACGGCTGTCGCACTCTGCCAGTATTGCCGGCGTCCATGGTTCGTCTGCGCCTCGATTCGGGCGACGACTCGCCCACATCGCCGAGCAGTAATCGCGCAGGCGCACCGGCGCTGTCCACTGCATCGTCGTCCTCATCATCCGAGATCTCTAGCACCGCATATTCCCGCGTCTTCTCCTTTACCGTAGTTGGGTCTGAGACGTTGCGGCCCTGTTTACGTGAGCTGCCGACGAGCTTGCGCTTGGCTGCATCTCTCGAGACGAGCGGCGACTGCGCCTCGAGCGCGCCCGGCAGCTTTTTGAGCTCGCCGACAAACGCCTGTGTGCATAGTGGTAGTGTTGGGGAATCCTGGCTTCTGCTGGGTGTCCAGTTGTTCAGATGGCGCAGCACACCGGGCGAGGGAGAGGCGTGCCAGAACACCTTGGAGCTCGAGGGCTGCGATGACGAAAGCTGCGACGACGACGGGCCCGAGTTGCTCAGATTGAGCGAGTCGAATAGTTCCGACATGGCTTCGCCTGCGGTCGTGCCCAAGAAAGTCGGTGGACGGTAGCTCTGCTGAGTCGAGACGATGTCGTGCCTATGTGGTCATGGCCAATGTCGTTATGAAGGCGTGGTGAGTCCGGCTGTCGAACGCTTCCGAGTCCAAGCTTGGAGAAAGGGGGCAAGGAGGGGTGAATGGAAAGAGGAAGGGAGTGGAGGAAGAGACGGCGTGCGAATCGTGTTGGAGATGTCGATGACGGCAATCGAGAAGCAAAAGCTTGAATTGGATGATCATGAAAAGCGCTGCAGCTGCATCGACGCGCGACCCCAAATTGCGAATTGCTGGCGCCCGCTGTGACAATCGACGAGACCCTTTTCGGATGCATCACACGCGACTGCCGCCCTTGCACATGCCGGAATCTCATCCTGTTCCCAAGTCACATTCAGATGTCCGTAATCGCAGTGTTCGCAAAGGCTCTGATGCCGATCCACACACTGCGGATGGTAGCTAGTGAGAAGCTTGACTCTGACTTACGACCTGTAAGCGGCCTTCTGCTGTCGAAAGGGTCTGCGGCTGCGAGCGAGGCTTGACGCGTCCAGGCCTTCAGGACGCGGTGGAGCAGGGGTGTGCGTTAGAACAACACTCGTGCTCAGCAGACCAGTGCAAAAAAAAAATCGATGCTTGTTACATCGCAACATCATCGGCAGAGAAATGATTTTCGCCGCGTCGTCGGCCTCCACCAGCCAGGCAAGAGGGTGGCTCGGGAGCATGCATGTGTATGGTGCGGCTGGGCTCTACCCGCTCTTGGCGAGGGCGATCTGCTTGCAGCACAGCTGATGCGGTGCGCCGTCTTCGTCGTAGCGATCGCCAACAGGCACGTAGCCCAGCCTCTTGTAGAAGTCAATCACGTAGATCTGGCTGCTGAGCTTGATGATGATGCTGTCGAGCTTCTGGTCGTCCTTGGCAACAGCTGGGGCGTCGGCGCCTTGCTTGCTGGGCATTGGACCGAAAGCGCCCTGACGTTGTGCTTCGTCGGACTCGAGTGCCTTGACGAGCCATGCTTCGGCTTCACGGACGAGACGATGGCCGAGCCCTTTGCCCCGGACCTCCTTGAGCAGTGCAAGCCGTCCGAGCTTCGCTCCACCCAGCTCGGGAACCTTGGCTTCCGTCTGCTCCTCCTCGGCATGGGTATCGGCGGGATCGCGGCGGCCCGAGACGGGGTGAGAACGTGTCCATGCGGCACTGATAAAGTCGCCCGCTATCGCCGATGCGCTCCGACTGCCACCGAGCGGATACGATGATGCAGCGTCCGGCTCCGTTCCCGGTCCGTCGGGCTTGGGGATCGGTAGAGGGTAGGGCAGCAGTCGAATCGTGCCCAGCACGCGTTCGGGCTGCGAGGTGTGCGTGAGCGCAAAGTGCGCTGCGAGCGGGTCGTACTCGTCGATCTCGTCGGCAAGCGCAAAGCCCTGCTCCTGGACAAACACCTCGAGCCGCACATCGCACGCGCCTCGAAGCTGAGCGGCTGATGTGCACAGGCTCACTTGGTACTCGTCGGTGAGCTTCGACATGACTGGATCAGTCGTGAACTGTAGCGGCCGGTGAGAAGGAAAGTCCGGTGATGGTGGCTACGGACGAAGTGAGCTCCACCAAACCGGCTCGGCTACCCTTGTCTTGCGGTGGAGGTGCAGTGATCCCCCACGCTTGCGGCGGCGGGATCTTCCAGGGTCGGAATTTCAACAGCAACACTTTCGAGCCCGCACCGACACCATCTTTTCCGAACACCAGCACGACTCGCGCCGCGCCCATCGAGCATGTCTGTCGTCAACGTGTTCATCCACGCGCCGTCGACGCTGGTGTCGGCGGAGCGTCGCGTGCCGTCAACGATCCCGCTACACGATCTCAAGTACCGCCTCGAGTCGATCGTGGGCGTGCCACCCTCTCACCAAGTTCTCGAGATCCACTCGTCACGCACCGACCATGAGCAGCAGCAGCAACTCGCCGGACCCGGACCATTCGCAGCCTCGGTTCGCTCCACACTCGTCGCTGCCGTTCCACCGAACTCGGACGTCGAGTCGCGCAGTCTCGAGGAGCTTGGTGTCGTCGATGGCATGGCGATCAAGGTGCTCGATACGCGCCCCAAGGAGCTCATCCAGACATTCACCGACGAGAGTCTGGTGGACAAGTACGTCATGGACGACGATACCTATGCTGCACGCCGTGATACCGTGCTTGCCTTCAAGCAGCGCAACAAGCTCGGCCGCTTCGACCCGTCTAAAGACGCAAGCTCCTCCGCCGGCGATACAGAAGACCTCCCCACCGAGCTGACCGTTGGCGCAAGGTGCCAAGTCGACCTCCTGTCCGGTACAGGCACAACGGGCGCCAACCAGCGCAAGGGCACCATACGATTCGTAGGCTCCACCAAATTCGCCACAGGCGCCTGGGTCGGTGTCGAATACGACGAGCCAGTTGGCAAGAACGACGGGTCGTAAGTTGTGTCCCTCCCCAGTTCCGTCGCAGCTCTAAGCCCCCAAAATCTGACCTCTCATACTTCTTTCACACTTGGATTTCGGCAGCGTGGCGGGTGAACGCTACTTCACATGCAAACCCAACTTCGGCAGCTTTGTGCGCCCCGACAAGGTTCAGGTGGGCGACTTCCCTGCCGATGACTTTGACTTGGATCTGGACGATGACGAGGAGATGTGAAATGACACTCTGCATTCCAATCCCATTTGGGCATCTACACACGACCTGGCCTCTCGAGCACGGCGCAGTCAAGCTTGGACGGGGCAATGATGTGTGCATTGCGAGTGTTGAAAGCATGGACCACGGAACAGGGCAGCAGCACTTACATCGACGGGAGAGAAGCAAAGCCTGGTCCCCCTCGGTCCACCATGCCAACCAAGCTTGGCGTGGGGCGTGGGATCGTCCAGCTTGGAGAGGCCGGACTCTGCGCAAGACAAAGAGGGCAGGAGAAAGGGGGAAGGAAAGGTGCGGATGCGTGTGAAAGAACGGTCAGAGGGGGAAAGAAAGTGAAGGCTAAAATCGGGCAAGGGCGCCTGAAGAGCAGACGTCGATGCGCAAACACGGCGTGACGAGCGGCCTTGCAGCAGACATACCCGAACAAAGCGTGGGAGCAAGCGACGAGCTTAAAGTCGTCGGCCCATCCGACTCTGACTAGATGCGCAGGTCCTGTCTGTCTCAAGAGGCGTTGCGCCCGTTGGAGCAAGCAAAAGGCATCGACGCAAGAGGGAGAAAGCGAGAATGAGCGAGCCAGGTCTGATGCATGCGAGCCAGATCTTGCGCGCCAATCCAAGGCCACGCTACAGCAGTTGCTTTGAGTCGCCGATCCAACTTGCGATCAGCAACACTGCTTCAAACTCTTTCTTGTTGCGGTTCGCTTCTCGTCATGATCCTGTGGTTCTCGTAACAAAGCCGTGAGCATATCGAGCCGAAACAGCCAAGCCAAGTCGCAGTGGACACTGAGAACGCTTAACCGAGCTTAGCCTGCACAAAAGCGTCCGGAATGCTGCAATGACAACAAAATGATGGTCAGCTCTGGCACCACTGATGCACGGATGCAAAAAAGGGGAGCGTGAGTGAGTTCCGACTTACTATTGCGCGCTGATCGGCTTGCCTCCGAAGAATCTTCCGTTGAGCCCATCGAGGGCCTTGCGAGAGGCGTCAAGGTCAGCAAAGGTGAGGTAGATCTCGCCTGCAGACTCCTTCTCCACATGGATGCGCGTCACAGGTCCATACTTGGCCTGACATTCGTCCTTGACGTCTTCAGCGAGCTCCTTGTCCCAGTCGGCCTCCGTTTCTCTGTAAGGTCAGTGGTGAAATCAAAACGAGTAGAAATCAAGAGTGTCAGCCTGCCTGAGTTCGAGACCGAGTCCATCGTCAGGGAGGGTACGTACTCTGCCGGATCAAACATGTTCTTGAGGAGTAGCGAGGTCGAAGTGGCCTCGGGAATGCCTGCCGGGCGCTCCTGCGGTGCCGTATTCGCCTCCGAGGCGGCCGGGGATGGCTCATTGTTGCGAGCAAGTTTCTGCATCAGCGCCGCACGACGTTCCGGGTTGAGGCCGGCACCTCCACCGTCGTCAAACGCAGAGGTGAGCTGCGGCAGGTGGCCTCCGCTTTGCGAGTTCGGGCCAGGCCCGCCCATGTGGGAGCTGCCCGAGCCCTTGGCGTTGACGTTGCCGACTCGGATGGCTCGACCCGCGAGCTCGAAACCGTTCATGGCCTCGTGCGCCTTCCTGGCGTCGTCGGCGTGCTTGAACTGAATGAAGCAGAATCCCTTGCTCTTGCCCGTTCCTGGCTCGCGGTGGAGGTCGACGTACTCGATCTCGCCGAACGGCTCAAACACTGCCTTGACGTTCTCGTCTGTGAGACTGAAATGCAAGCTGCCCACGTAGAGTCGCGCTTCGGTGTTGGGCATGTTGGGCCCGGGTCTCATGGCGCGCGGACCCGGGGGAGCGTTGACGTTGAGATGGATCGGCGCGCCGGCTTGGTGGTATTGCATGGGCATGGGAACGTTGGCGAGCGCCCTAGCGTCCAGGTGCGGTCCTCCAAGCGCGGGGTGGGAGGCGACGCCGTGCGGACCGACTGCCGAGATGGAAGGCGGGCCGTTGCGCGCAGCATCGGTGCGCTGGACCACGATGGGGATGCCGAAGAGCACTTTGCCCGTGAGCTCGATCGCCTTGGGCACCAGTTCTCGCGCAGCAAACTCGACGTAGCCGACACCCTTGCTTCGGCGGGTGACGCGGTCCATTACGATGCGCACGTCCTGAACCGCACCCTCGCCAAGATGCTCCTCGAAGAACTCGCCGAGATCACGCTGGCCAAGTCGGGCCGATAGCTGGCTGCAGAAGACGGATCGGTCCTCGTAGTCGTTGATCTCTGGACTGGGGGTGCGTCGAGAGCGAACCGAGGCAGAGGGACTGTCGTAGCGTCCTCGGCGTCTCGACGAACGGCGCGAGTCATCCACGTAGCGGCCGCCTCGGTTGTGAGGGCCACGATCGCCTCTGCGGTCATAGCGGCGGTCTTCGTAGTAGGAGTCGTAGCGATCTCGGTCGCCTCGGCTGGACGAAGGAGCAGGACTGGCTCGATGACGATCGCCTGCGGAAGAGTGTCCATCGCGGTCATCGTCACGACGTTCGCTGCGAATACGTCGACGCTCGCGGGCGCGTTCGTCTTCGTCTTCATCTAGGCGACTCCGGTCGCTGCGATGGCCGAGGTCGTCGCCGCGACGTCTCTTGCGCCTCTGCTCAGCTGCCTCGTCAGCGCGAGCGCTCCTTCTGGACTGGTGGCTCTTGCGACTGCGGTAGCTATCCTGGCTTCGACTGCGACTGCGACTGCGACTGCGAGAGGGAGAGTGATCACGAGACGATGCGCGAGATGAACGGCTGGACACGCTGGAAGAGCGTCCTCGGCCGCGGGTATCCGCACCCCTGGCGCCGGCACGCGAGGCCTGGGCACGCTTGCGGAGCTGTTCTGCAAGCTCCTTCTCCCGAGATCGGATGCCATCTTCTGCGTCGGCATCGCCGTTTCCAGAGCGGATGCTTCGGTCGATCTCTCGGTCTGAGCCTCTCGATCCCCGAGACGCGCGAGAGCCGCGCTGAGTTCGCGCCTCCTCCAAGTCGGCGTACATCTGGCAAGGCTGATTGCGGTACTGCTTCCGACTGTGTGGTGATGCTTGCAGAGGCTGTCGATGCTGGCGAAATGTCTACGCGAATGGACTCGATGAGATGTGGTTGATGGCGGGTTGATGGCGGAAAGGGCGCAGCAGGCTGCCGGCAAGCGTCTTTCCCGCACTTGAGGTGCTCGTCGCTGGGCTTTCGGTGGGCGTAGTTTGCGGGTCACGTGATTCCAGAAATTCCGAGTGGCGCAGCGCGTGGCATGCGGGCGACCTTTGGCTTGCATGGAGGTCGAAGCAACACCCGGGGAACGGATTTTGTAGCGGATCGGCTCTGAATCGGCTGCAAGGTGCAGCAGGTGGAGCTCAGCTGGACCCGTGAAGGTCTTCGAGACTCGCGCTTGCAGTACTCGGGCACACCCTTTCAGCTCTCCATATCGGCTATCTCTATACGGCTCACTCGGTCATACGAGCTTGGCATCTGGATGGACTTTACGGCAGCGTACCGGCATGCGTCTGGGCGCTGCATCGCCTTTTCGCCCGGCTCCACCTTTCTAGCCTCGGTGACAGGCGACGATGCGTGCTCGGTCGTCGTGCGCGCCAGCTCCACGCTGCAGGTGATCCGCACATGGACGCTAGAGGCATCAATCAGCGTACTGGAATGGTCGCCGGATGGTGCGTTTCTGCTCGCGGCGCATCCGGGCCAAAAGGACGATGGTGTCGTGTTTGTAGTCTCGCTCGACCCCGCCAAGGAGGCGAACGACGGCTCGGACGCCGGGTCGGGCTGGGTGGCGAGGATCGCATCGGGCTCGGACGGGCTCTCTCACGCAACCTGGGCGCCACCTCTGGGGCCCAAGACGCTCATCCTATTCAGCCAGAACCATCTGCGTGCATCTCTGTACAACCTGGTCGACCAGCACATTTCAGCCATCGAAGGTCCCAAGCACGACAAGATCGCATGGACACCCAAACAGCCCGGCCAATTTGCCAGTATCCTCAAGGGCGCAGAACGAGAATCGCTTTACATCTTCTCGCTTCAGAGGCTGGGGCATGAAGAGAGGAAAAAGTTCACCAACCCACCCAAGTCGGACGAGGCGTGGAAGGTGGAACAGGCGTTTCAACTCAACATGACGGATGCTCAGGACGTCATGTGGGCGCCCGACGGCAGCTATATTGCCGTGTGGGAAGGGCCGCTCGAGTACAAGGTGCAGATCTACACGCCGCTGGGGCACATGCGCGCGGCGTTTCTCATCGAGCCCGACTCGGACACGGGAGCCCCTGTTACGCGGCAAGGACCTGCCTCCGAGCCACGGCCCACTGCCTCAAAGCGCCGCACAGACGCCGCCGACCTTCCCAACCTAGTAGCAGGGGGAGGCAGCGGCGTTCGCCACATGGAATGGCATCCGTCATCGTCCTTCCTGGCGGTAGGAGGCGGCGATGAGAAGGTACGCATCCTCGAGAGCAGCGAGTGGGCCGAGTTTGCAACGCTAGACGTGTCGAACCCCTCGATTCGCGCGAGTCACGAGTCTGCATCTGCGTCGACGTACGGATCGCTGGTCGCGTGGCGCGAGCCGCTCAACTGGCTCGAAGAGACGCGAGCGCGCGGGATTGTAGCACTGGAACAAGCGAGTCTGCCGATCTCGCTCTCTGCAACGCGACCCGACGCGGGCAAGCCGGGGCTGAAAGCCGGAGTGGCATGGATGGCCTGGAGTCCCGAAGGCAATCTGGTGGCTGCGTTTAACGAGCGCTTCCCGCACGTGGTATGGGTGTTTGCATTCACCGAGCCCGATGGCACGCGGTTGTCTACCGGATCTCCGCGTCTGCTTGCGGTGGTGCAGTTGAACGCAAGTGCACGAAAGATGGCTTGGCGTCCAGGCCATGTAGGCAAGCTGGGAATCGTGTGCGACAACCGAGCGATCTACACGTGGGAATTGATCGCCACCTCGAGCGTCGAGTCGCCATCGCAGTATAGGCAGAGAGCAGAGGCGATTCCGATACCCAACGACGAGCTCAAAGCGTCGCAGATACAGTGGTCGCCAGACGGCCAAAAGATCCTACTGGCTTCGGACTCGCTCTTCTGCTGTGCTTTTGAAGCGTTCGATAGCTAGCCCATCTCATAGTCCCAGCAGCGGTTGTATTCCAGCAAAAGGTGTTGCTTATGTATTCTATTGATTCGATGCATGCGTGGTATGGGGATTTCAGAGAAAGCCTCGGCCTGTGCCTCTTGGCCAAACCTGGACGCGGCCTGTGTTGGAGCCGATGGTGGCGCCACCAAGGGCAGCGCTCTGGCCGTCGGGAGCGATGCGGTACAGTACAGCCTTCGCGCGTGTGGGACAGGGCGTCTCGACTGCAAATGCCTGCAACGGAGGCACGTTGCGGTGTTGCTGAGCGTGAGATGCAGAGGGGGCAAGCGTGTGGGCGAGCGATGGACGCACTAGAGGATGGACAGTGATTTCGCCATCGCAGTCGCGCGCACGTCCACTCGCAAGCTCCTTGACTTCCACCCACACATCGGCCGTCTGGAGCAGGCTGCTCAGCAGACACTCGTCGACCGGGTCGGACGCACCGTTCTTGCTGCTCGACGTCGCATCCGCATGCATCAGCGTGACCACACTCGCATCGTTCTAAAGACAAAGATCGCCATGCATGTCAGTACAGTGGAGTCGTCGCAGTGAGGGATGTGGGACTTACTCTGGTTGCCAACGCAGTGAGTGCGCCGAGCCATTGGCTTGTCTGTTGGCCAACATTGGTCACATGCCCCTGTGCGTCGATGGAGTCGGCACCCCATGCAAGAGCGGTGAGATCGTCGACGATGATGAGGTTTCGTGACCCCCACTCGCTCTCTAACAACTGGGTGTCGTGATGCGAGGTCGTTGTGAGCTCGCGAGCGATCTGGTCATAGATGCGCTTGAATGGCGTATGCGTACGAGATGCATCGCCTTGTATGCTTAGTGCTGCTGCCGAGCTTTCGATCCCAGATGCTTCGTACACCTCTGCAGCTGCGTCGATGAACTTGAATGTGCCCTGGGCGGTCTCTTCGTCCAGATGCACGCCCGACTTGCGCGCGACGTTCTTGAGATGCACGATGCCCTCGGAGGTGCAGCCGAGCCAGACGACCTTCGTGCGCGCTTTCCCTTTCCCCTTGATGCTCGCAGTGTCTGGCCCGGGCCGAAGCGTCTTGTTGTACGCATGCGATGCTCGTAGGAAGTGCATCAAGACGAACAGGGCGGGCGCGTCGGTAGTGTCCGTGACGAGGACGTGGGAAGAGCGTGGCGGGATCGGTGTGCGTGTCGGACCGCTCGACGACCCCACACCGGGGGTCGGGAAGGACAACAAGCTGTCCAGGTTCGGCATGATGGTAGCTGGAAGGTCGTATGAGGGCAGCCGCGACTCTGCTCAAAAAAAGGGTCCCGCAGCCTTGGCTGGGCAGACCTCGAGGTGGAGGGAGGCCAATGTAGCCCCGATGATGCTCCCGATTCGTCCAAATCGGCGAGATGGAAAAAAATTCGCCGAGGCAGGGGCCGCACGTGTCCGGCGTGAGCGAGGCCGAAGCGTATGCCGAAAGGCGAACGTGCTCGCTCGCCTGCACCACCGACCCGAGACGCGGACGGCCATTGTTGCCCTTCAGATGATTGGGGTGTCGCTCTGCCGCCCAACCATACGAGCTTGCATGGTCTCACTTGTGTGCCATGATGCTCTCAGGTCACGATGCCAGTCCCAAAACTTCTGCTCGCCAGTCAAGGGCGCTGGGGGCCGTGTGAGGGAGAGAGCAATTTTGGCACACTGTGACAGTCGGAAGGGCCGGCTAAAATTTGAATGGCCCAAGACGTGGACAGGTCGAGGTGTCAACGTGCGCAACTCACTAGCCGCCCTCGACGCGCAGTCCCAAGCCTCAGGGGAGGTGGTGTTGAGCTTGCTTGCCCAAGCGGCGACTCCGGGTCTCGCTGTGGCCCTCCGCTGCCAGCCATGCTGCGAGCCCGGCTGCAGGGTCGTGTCGCTTCGAGGCGTGGATTGCCGCGCTGGTTGATGCGCACGCCGGATGGTCCCATTGTAGTGACGCTGCTGCCCCACTCTGTGCCGGCACGGCCTCCTGCCCTTTGTGACAGCTGGCACTGACTCCAGCTAGTCGCCACACCAGTCGCCCCTATGCACACACATATACACTTGTTGTCCTCCAACAACCCAACCTCTCCCTCCTCCATCATCGAGACACCCCCTCTCACACCTCCCCGACTTCGGCTAGCTCTGCAACACCAGCAACATGGCGGTCGCAGCACAGCCCTCGATCGAGCTCATGGGCGTCGACGACGCCGTCCGCGCCTATCCGCGCGACGTCAAGCGTCCCAAGCTGCGCGTGGCGATTGTCACCGAAAACTTCCTGCCCAAGGTGGACGGCGTGACGCGCACGCTCGCGCGTCTGCTCGAGCACCTCAACAACGAGGGCCACGAAGCCATGGTGCTCGGGCCCGAGACCGGCATCCGCCAATACGCCGGCCACCCGGTAGTGGGCACGTTTGGCGTGCCGCTCGTCGTGTACCCGGGTCTGAAGCTCAACTTTATGCGTCCGCGCTTCGTGCGCAGGCTGCAGCAGTTCCAGCCGGACGTGATCCACTTTGTCGATCCCATCTGGCTGGGCGCGCAGATGCTGCCCGCTGTGCACAAGTGGCTGCCCCAAGTGCCGTGCGTGTCTTCGTACCACACCAACCTGCCCACGTACGCCACGCTGTTCGGCATGCCCTGGCTGGAAAAGACCATGTGGCGTCTTACGCGCAACTTGCACGACCGCTGCGAGATCGTCTTCTGCCCCTCGGAAAGCACGCGCCGCATGCTCCAGGACAAAGGGTTTGGCAATGTCGAGATCTGGTCGCGCGGGGTGGATACCGAGCTGTTCGGCCCGCATGCGCGCGACGAGAACCTGCGCGAGAGCTGGGGCTGCACGCCCAAACCGCCCAACCTCAGGCTGCCGCTCTCGCCCTCGGTGGCGGCAGCGGATGCGGCGGCGCACTTTGCATCCGAGCATGCGGCGCTCTCGCACCTCGCGGGAAAACTGGGCGTGTCGATCGTGCATCCCAAGCGGCGCGGGAGCGAGGAAGAGAGCTTCATCCGTACGCCGCCCACTGCAGCCGCCTCGCCCGAGGTCTCCTTCTCGCCGCCGCCGGCGTACGACAGTCTGAGCGGCGTGCCCGATCTGCCCGCGGGCGGATTTCTGCTTCCACCACCTGCGCTTCCCGTCGGTGCGGCTGCGGCTGCGACGATCCCGGCTGCGCTGCGCGTCGAGGCGGATGCCGCGGGCGAGAGCAAGAGCGTGGTGCTTTATGTGGGGCGCATTTCGTGGGAGAAGAACCTGCGTCTGCTCATCGAGGCGTTCAAGCTGCTCCCCACCTCGGTGCGTGCCAAGGCCAAGCTCGTCTTTGTCGGCGACGGACCCGCGCGTGCCGAGCTCACCCGCCTGTGCAACCGACTCGAGCTGGATGCGGCGTTTATGGGGCATCAGAAGGGATCAAGGCTTGCGGCGATGTATGCGTCGGCTAGCATCTTTGCGTTTCCGTCGTTTACAGAGACGTTTGGACAGGTGGTGCTCGAGGCGCTCGCTTCGGGTCTGCCCGTCGTCGGTCTGCATGCCGAAGGTACCTCGGACCTCGTCTCTCATGGTCGAACGGGCCTACTTCTCGACGTCAATGCAGTCGCCAAAGCGAGCACCACCTCGGGTCGACCGGTGGGGGCGAGTCGATCGAACAGTGCATCTGCACTGGGGGAGTTTGCCACCGCTGCATCGTCGGCAGTTCAGAAGCTGCCCAGTTCTCCATCGTCGTCCGCCCGCGGTGAAGGCAAGGTGGAAGTGGGACTGGCTAGTGCGATTCCGTCTACGCTCGAGTTCAAGGCGAGCATGACGCCCAATACGCCGTGGTTCCATCAGTGTGCCAAGAGCTACTCGATGCTTTTGGAGCGGCTGATTCTGGACCGCGAGACGCGCGCGCGCATGGGCCAACGCGCTGTCCTCGCTGCTTCCCGCAAGACTTGGTGGGACGCAATGGACGCCCCCGTGCGAGGGTACGAACGGGCGATTCAGAATAGCGGCAGACACAACCTCTCCGACGACGAACTCGAGGCCTGGAGACAGAATCAGAGATCCAACGCTCCTCTTACTGGCCCAAGGGTCAAACTCGCTATCGCCCTCTATGTTGTGCTGTTTGCTTGGCTCGTCTGGCTCCGATTCCTCTAGTCTTTTCCCACGTGCACTCAATATACCCATCTCTAGCTTTGACTCTCATCTTGACCAACGATCGTTTCACATGGTGCGTACACTCGACCCTGCGTGTGGTGTGGAAATGAGCCTGCTGCCGTCTCTGCACTGCACACTCATCATTTCGCATTCTGGCGGTGTTGCATTGGGAGTGTGCATTGCGTCGAGCATGCGTAAAATTGCTGCAGTGCATCTCCATCGACTCGGTGACTACATGAGCAGGGCAACAAAGTTGCTGGGAAACGTATTGGCGCCCGCCTTTCTCCTCGCTTCATCCAGCAGTTCTCCCTGCCACCATCCGTCGGCCTCGGTATGCGTGACTGCAATAATGTCGCCCGTGGTAAAGCTGAACTCGTCCGGATTGGTTGCCTGATAATCGTACAGCGCCTTGACGTAGAACAAGATCGGTTGGCCTGCGTCGCTGTACTGTCCAGTCGGTGCATGACCCTGAGGCTGTCCCCCACCCGGCGCTACCTGTGCTGGTGCTGGTGCTGGTGCTGGTGCTTGTTGTACAGGTGCAGGTGCAGGTGCTGGAGCAGGTGCCGGACTGGTGGCCCTATTCCACTGCTGATAATGCTGGCCCTGTGACATGCTCGGCTGATGACCGTGTGCAACGCCATTTGCATGCGGAGCCTGTTGTTGCAGGTACTCGTGCATGTACGCCGATGCCGCCGTCTCCTGCCCACCCGTATACTGTCCCTGCTGAACCCCACCTGCGTACTGACTGTACTGACCCGGTGCCTGTTGAACAGGAGCCTGTTGCGCATACCCTGCAGGCGCAGGGGACGTCGAGTACGATCCTCCCTGCTGATGCGCCAAGTGCGCCGGTACACTCTGACTCGCCGCCGGTTGGTGTCCATACCCAGACGCTGCATAGCCGTACTGCTGTTGTGGCGCCGCCTGCGTGGGCATCTGCGGCGTCGACTGTCCCACGCCCGAGTACATCGAAGCCTGCGCACCGTGCTGGCCCTGGTACGCATAGGGACTCTGGATCGCCGGCGCGGATGTCGCCCCTGGCGCCATACTGTACTGGCTCGACACCGAAGCGTGTGCTTGGTGATGCGGAGCTGCCGCCTGATAGTTGGCGTGAACCACCGACGGCGGTCGAGCAGGCTGCTGCGCATGTGCGGGCGGCGCAGCGGCTGCTTGAGGCGGCGGCTGCTGCGGCTGTTGCTGAGGTGGAACGCTGCCGGCCCTTCGCATGTAGTCGACGGCCATCTGATCGTGCGTGACTGATCCCGTAGCGTCGAGCGCGATTCCCAACGGCGTGGTGCTGCGAGGAGGCACGTTGGACTGTCTTCGCGACAGCGTGCCGGACTTTGGCTGATCCGACGGTGCTGGAGCTCGAGGCGACTGCGCTGCGTGTTGCTGCTGCTGCTGGTGTTGCAGCTGTTGCTGCTGTTGCGTCGGACGCGACCAGGGCTGCGGGCTCGGGCTCCGGCCTCGAGCGCCAACGCCAGCAAAGCCTTGATCCTGCTGGTGCTTGCTTGGGCTCCTGGGTGCTTCCGACGCGGGCGCGCCCGCACGCGACGCCACCGAGTTCTGTCGCGAAAGCGACTTGCGCTCACCGGGGAACGACTGTCCATACTGGCCCACAACCTCCTCGACGGGCAGGGGTGAGGCGGCGCGCGCAGGAGCCTGCATGAAGGCCGCCGAGGGCGATCGAGCGCGCGGCGGAATGTTGGTGGCCATGCTTGGCGACGGAGAGTGAGCGCGATGCTCGGGCGGCATGTTGTGGACAATCTGACCAGGCTGGGCAAAAGGTGCGGGGGGCTTTTGGTCGGCCGACAGACTGTCTCTGCGCCCGAGACCGGGAGACTTGCCGCCCGGACGCATACGCAAGCTGGCCAACGCCTTGGCGATGGGGTCGTCATCATCGGCGTTGGAAGCCGAAGACGCGGCTGGCTGCTGCTGGTGGTTGGAGGAGGTGGCGCCGCCGAGCGCTGCGGGTGGCGCGGGGCGCGAGGAGGACTGTGATTTGGGCGATTTGGATTGCGAGAGCGAAGAGGTGCGCGCGAGAAAGTTTTTAGCCGACATCCTGCGCTGCGTATTGACTGGCCTCGATGGCGAATGGGCGTGTCCGAGGTCCGGATCGGGACTCACCTGAGTAGCGTAGGGAGCGGAGGCCGAGTCGGTGGTTGGCAGCGCAGAGGTTTGCTGGCGATGGTCAGGCTCGTATTGGCGTTGAGGCGAGTCGAAGGATTGGGTGGCGGGTTGCGGCGGCACGGGCTTGTCCTGGAAGGGCTGGGCGTTGCGCTGCGCGACGACGGGCTGAGCTGGTGGCTGCGGAGGCTGCGGCGATGGCGCTTGCGACGAGTGGTGCGACTGGAGCGGCTGAACGCCAGCAGAGGGAGAAGGCTGCTGCGGTTGAGGAGGCTGCTGAGGGATGGGCAGCTGGGTGGGGCGCGTGGTGTTGCGCTGGAATCGAGCGGTGTGGTAGACGGGACGAGCGGGAGGCGCCTGGCCCTTTGCGTAGTTGATGTACTCTGGTGGGGCGGGGATGAGCGAGCCGGTGCCGGCGTGCTGGATGAAGAACTGGACGTCGCGCGGGGTGTCTACGTTTTCGAGGCTGACGCGGATGCGTTCGCAGGATTCGTCGTCGGCGACGCAGACGGCGGAGACGGCGTTGGCAAAGTTCCAGAGGTTGCTCTTGGTAAAGTCGATGCGCTCCTCTTCCTGGTCCTGGCACTGGTCGAGGTAGGCCTTCCACTCTGCGTGCCACTTGAGGGTGGTGTCCTTGAGGGCGCGGACGAAGTTCTGGTAGTCCTTGTCGTTCTGGCTGACGGTGGCCTGCGCCTTGTCGAGCTTGTAGGCGACCTTGTCGAGGTCCTTGCCCTGGACGAGGCTGGACTGTGCGGTGTAGCCGTTGATCTTGATGCAGTCCTGTTCGTACTTTTCGCGCGACTTGTTGACGTAGGCCTCTTGGGTGTGCTTGTGCTTGTGGAGCTTTTCGATGTTGGCCTGTGCGGCCTTGCGTGCGTTCCAGGTGCGATTGGCAAAGTCGACGACGGCGCCCTCGAGGTCCTTTTTGATCATGTTGGCGAGGTCGGAGTGGGTGCGCGAGGTGGCATCGAGCTCGAGCTTGACGACGTCGAAGGCGGCCTTGAGCGCGCCGGTGTCGCTGTGACCGAGAGGCTGACGTGCGAGCTTGGCGAGGCGTTTTGCGTAGTCTGCTTCGATGTCTGCACGTTCCTTGTAGAGCGACTTGAGCTCGTCGAGGGTTCGCTGCGAGGCCTTCATGCGAGCCGAGATGGAGTCGAAGCCGGCGTCGTTGTGGCCCCAGAAGGCGTTGCAGAAGGAGGTTGCTTCGGAGAGCTCCTGTCGGATGTACTCGTCTTCTGCGGCGATGCGTCTGCCTGCCTCTCCGCCGTCGGGGCCCATGCTGCCGCTTGCGCGTTCTGCTCTGGAGCGGGAGCTATGGCCGGAGCCGGCGGAGGACGAACGGCGGTCGGACGGCATGTTGAGCGGAGCGGGAGAGCTGGAGCAGTTGGATTGGAAGAAAGTGTTGTTGCGGGCGAAGCGTATGTGGCGCACGCTTCGCCAGTTAGCAGCAAAGGGTAATCGAAGGGGGCGATGGTGGTGGTGGTGGTGGTGGTGGTGGTGGAGTGGAGATTTGGATGTGTTGGTCTGAGCTCTCTTTGCGCCGACCGACCTCTGAGCCTTCCTTCGCGCATCGAATCGCATCGCCTTTGCAGCGCGTGGCTGTGGTGCGCACGAGAAGCCACTTCAACATGTGGCCGCTCTCTGCCTCTCTCTCTCCGCTCTCACTCCACCTCGCACCAAACAAACGCTCAAAATCGCGCGAAATTGCAGATTCGAGTCGGCTCAGCTTAGGGGCGCCACCGCCCCTTTCTGCCGCTATCCATTTTTGCGGGATAAATGGTGTTAGACCCTGAATTCTGTCAAGCAAGTTTATTTCTCGAGCCAGGGTCTGCCGGCTGGCCGAGCGGCGATGCTTCGATGCGCCGAAGCGGCAGCAACGTGGACAATCTCATGCAGCAGCCGCTGTGACCGATTTCCTGCCGATTCGAGTTGCGACCCTGTTCTTGTTTTTGTGGTGTGTGGGTGAAAGGTGCAGCTTAAATTTGGACGAGAAATGTGCGCTCGCTCAGCGTGGAGGTCGTTCGCACTCGCTCGCTTCCACCACTTTGTTGCTCTCCTGCCAACCCCCTCATCACTAGTCCTGCATCTCGTCCGGCGCCAGAGGTGCTTCATCTTGCTCGCCAGCACAGCCATGACGCTTGTCTATACGGCAACACCAACGCCACAGCTCTGGTGATTCCAACTCGCAACGCAATGACTCGTCGTACACACGCGCTGTCGACTTCATCCTCGGTCTGAGCTGCGCCTCGAAACAACGCTGCCAAGATGTCGTCGTCGGCACATCACCCGCACGACGGCAGCGCCGCATCCACCTCGGATGCCCACCTCAACTCGCCTCCTCCGCTTCCAGCACAGCCGCAAGCCCACCACAGCAGTCCACCATCCATCGATCTCGATCTCGATCTCGATACCCCCGCTCTGCCTCCAGCTGCCCTCTTGCCTCCCGATGTACCTCCACCACCGCGCAGGCCACTCAATCGCCAAGATGCGCTCATGGACGATGCTCTTCGCYCCCTCCCTCCCGCCGCTGAGCGCAATACCCACCGCCACAAATCGCCCGCTACTGTGCTCTCCATGTTCAACGCCAACACCTTTGCCGCCGCCTCTCCAACTCCTCCTCCTCCTCCCCCGCAGCAGCAACATACCCAATCGTTCGCCTATCCGCCGCCCACTGCATCCTCCTCCAGAGCACTGCAGCGCACCATCACCTCAAACACCGTCAGGAGTGCACGCAGCGTCGGCAGCGACTCCACCAGCTCCTCCCATCGTCACAGGCTCAACCCCATCCGAACAGCCTTCACAAAGGTGGCCAACCTCGCCACGCCCATGAGCCCAAAGCACATGCCCTCCTCCGCCACCATGTCGCCCACTCTCGACCGCAAACGCTCTTCCATCGCACATGCCACCTCCGTTCAAAAGACAAAAGAGGCTCGTAGAGCCGCCCGCAGAGAGGCAAGGCGCGCAGAACGTCGTCTTCGCCGCCAGCGCGACGCCGAACTACAACTGGCAGACGATGAGCACGATCCGCCACAGTTCAGCCCACGTCCAGCCCACGCCGCACAGTTGGGCGATGAGATCGTCGAGCTACCAGCAGAGCCGCCCTTGGACGTCCCCGAAGCAAACGCTCCCACCGCCACCGCGCTAGCCATGGCTTCCAAGGTCGGACGCAAGCCAAAGCGCAAGCTTCAGTTCGCGCCCGACCAGAGACGCATCCGCAAGGTTGACTTGCCAGACAGCTTCGAGGCAGACGATACCTACCGAAACCTCGACCAGTACGTCGCCGACTCCCGCCAGCGCAGACGCACCCAACGCGGCCGTCGCGGCCGTCGCGGTGCCAGACGCCGTGGTTCGCGCTCCCAACGCGGCTCTCGCAGCAGCCGTGCCAGCCGCAGCTCGGCTCGCAGCAGCGCATCGGGCGCTTCCAGCAGCTCCTCCTCCAGCTCCTCCTCGTCCTCCTCATCCAGCTCCTCTTCCTCCTCCTCGTCTAGCTCCGGTTCCGGCCATGGCATCACCATCGCCCGTCTACGAGCTTTCTTTGGCGACGGCTCCAGCTCCTCCTCCAGCTCCGACTCGGATGACTCTTCGTCCTCCTCCTCCTCCTCGTCTTCATCCTCTTCCTCTACATCCTCCTCATCAAAGAGCTCCTCAAGCAGCTCCGGCGGCACGCGCTCCAGGAGATCCTCGTCTCGCCGCCTCTCCTTCTCAAACAAACGAGCCGCCAAATCGCGACGCACTACCCGCTCCCGCGTCCGCGGCGATCAGTCCGAGGCGAGCGATGCACCCGGCTCACCCATATCGCACCGCAGGGCGCCGCTCACCCCCTACTTTGGGCCGCTCACCGACTTTCCTCTCGGCAAAAAGGCCGCAGAGAGGCGCCAGAACAAAAAGGCAAGGCAGGCTGCGCGCCGCGCCAAGAAGCGCGAGGCACAGCTCATCCGTCAGGGTCGATTGCCGCCCAAGCCGAGCCGCAGTGCACGCGCCAAAGCCATGCGTGCAAAGGAGCTCGCAGGTGGCGTCACCGAGTACCAGCTCTTCACGCCAATGCGCTTGCCCATGGATCTCGCCTGCACCGCCCTCCCCACACTCGAACCTACCCCGGATCCACAGTCCGGCACCTCGGTCGTTCTCAAAAAGACCATGAGGACGCAGAGCTGGGAGCAGGCGCGCAATCAGCTTTACGTGCTTCGCAACCATCTCAGACAGATCGACTCGCACGGCGGCGACATTGGCCTCGACCCGCAGGCCGCATACCCCATCCTTCATCGTCACCAACGCCACGCTGCCAAGGCTAAGCCCGACCGTGGCTCCCACCACCATCATAGAGCGAGGAAGGCAACTCCCAAGGGCCATATTCCGCAAGCGGTACCAGAGGCACCGGAAGAGGACTTTGACCTTCTGGATGGCGATCTCGCTCTCCCACCTCCTGCACTCGATCTACCCGAGGGCACGATTGAGGCCGAGGCGGCGTCGGCCAATCAAGGCAATGAAAGACCTGGCGGGTCTGGCTCCTACAGACGCTCGTCGCCTGAAGAAGACACGACACCCTACTTTCACTACGACCGCCATCTGCCAGCCGATCAAGAAGAAGAGGCTCGAACCGGCCGCCATCTCTCCGACATGCCGCTCAGTCCGCACTATGCCACCGTGTTCGGCAAGGACTTTGGGCGTCAGCCGCATCCCTTCCTGCCCGAGCCATCCTCCTCGGCGCGTCAGAGGAGCTCGGGTCGAGGTGCCGGATCGGATCCTGCATCGCATCCCGTCGACGCCTCGCGGCCACACACTCCGCACATGCAGCGAGACGGCAATCACGCCAAAACGGGCGCGTCGGGCGCATCGAGCGAAGCACCGGATCACGGAGCATGGTGGCTTCACGTTCACTGTCCGACGTACCGCGACATGCACGAGATCTCCAAGCTGTTCCCCATGCACCCGCTTACCGTCGAGGACGTCTTGCAGCAGGACCCGCGCGAGAAGGTCGACGTGTTTGACCGCCTCGGCTACTACTTTGTCGTCATCCGCGCCATCGACGAGCGGTACTTCCGATACACCTCCACCGCCGCCAAAGGGTCGCCGGGATCTCCGAACTTTGCGAGCACATCGTCCAGCACCACAGTGCACGGTGAGGCCGAGGGCAAGACCGACACGAGCGAAGCGGATGGGCAAGGCGAAGGCCAGAGCTTTGAAATGCGCGAGCTTGGCGCGCAGAAAGCGGGCGACGACGGGGCGGGTGGTGAATCGCCTCCCGACGGCCATCGAACGCGACTGGCCGCACCGGCGCGGCTGGGCAAGGGCCGTGTGGAGATCGTCGAGGGCATCGGCGGCAAAGAGGGTCTGGAGGGTGTCAGTGTGGGTGCCAACAATCTGTACCTGCTGGTGTTTTCGCACGGCGTCGTGTCGTTTGCATTCGAGGATGTGAGCAAGCACATCAATCGTGTGGCTGCGCGGCTGCTCGAGATCACGCGGCCGGTCGAGCTGACTGCGGACTGGATCGCACACGATCTGTACGACTCGGTGGTGGATGCCTTTTTCCCGCTCATCTCGTTTGTGCAGTCCGAGGTGGTGGAGGTGGAGGAGCTGGCTAGCGAGCCGGTGAGCACGAGTCGCAGTCGCAAGACCAACAACTTTGCCCCCAAGCAGCGTCGACAGCGTGCTCTGCTCGGATCCAACCCGGAAGGGAGGCTGATTAGCGTCGAGCCGGTTTCTCCGCTATCCACTGGGTTGGAGGTGGAGAAGCGGATGCCGATGCTCGAGGTACGACGACTCAAGACGGTGCGTGCGGTGCGCTTCTTGCCCGTGCTGCGACTGGGAGAGGGCGTGTTGAATCGGCTTCCACGCGTGCTGGTGAAGCAGCGACAGAAGGTGACCATCTCGCGACTGCCCGAGTGGGAGTTCAAAGACACGCTCGAGGCCGAGATGCGGCGTACGGCGGCCGAGATCGACGAGGCGAGCAACTCGGTGTTCGACACACAGGCGGCGGCGGATCAGAGCATCATGCTGCACCGCATCGCCGACACGCGCAAGATCGTCACGGGTCTGTCGCGGTTGCTCGGTCCCAAGAACGATGCGGTCAAAGGCCTGCGTAAGCGGCTTTCCGACATGCAGCAGCTCCAGCGTCGAGCCGAGGGAGCCAGACGGGTTGGAGGAAATAGTCGCAACCTGCTGGCAAGGACGGAGGTTAGCATGTACATGTCGGATGTGCATGACCACATCATCTCCATGCTCCACCAGCTCAACTCGGGTGAAGGACGACTGTCCGAGATCCACCACACCTACCTCGCGCAGATTACGATCGAGAACAGACGGTTCCGACAGGGTGCAGATGCTGCCATCCTGTTTCTGGCGGGGATTGGTACGACCGTGTTCACGATCGTCTTTATCACCTCCATCTTCTCGGTCAACGTCACCAGGCCGCAGAACAAAGAGGGCACACATCATCTCGCCTGGTTCGGTGGCATCGTGGGTACCGCCGCGCTGGTGCCGTTTGTCATCTACGCCTACATCCGCGTCTGCTGGATCAAGAGCAAACAACGCCTCGCCAACAAGCGCGCCGCCAGATAGCAAGGCGTCCAAGTCTAGAAGTTAGCCTCTCGCATTAATCCAACGTTTTGTCAGATTGTTCTCTGGATCAAGTGGCTGCAAGCTGATAAGCCCGCGATCGTGCTGAGTCTTGACAGCAGTGTGACAAGGCATGCCAGCTCGATCGAAGCGCACACACGAGGATATCGATAGAAAAGTTGATTGTAACAAGAGTCACAAGCTAGCCATTGAGATCGACCATCTTGTGAGGTCTAGTTGGTGCGATTACCACGAGGCCTTGGCACTGTGCGTTGCAACAAGATACCAGTCAGTATGAGCTTCGAACTTGGGGTGCGACTTGAGGAAAGACTTACATCTGGAACTTGGCCGCGACGAAGGGGAGGGAGAAGCCGACGACGAGGAAGGTGGTGAGGCTGATGGCGACGGGCACCTTGCGGGTAGGGCCCGAGGGGAACGGCACTGCAATGCAAACACTCGGTCAGTATCCCGTCGTCCTTCGCGATTTGCTGATCAAGCTACTTACGAGACTAGATTGAACCATCGCCGAAGCACGCAGCACAGCATTGCAGAATCGCAAGGCACAAAGTCAGCATCTGAATCGCATCCTATTTTCCCACGCCCGAACTGATTGCTGGTGCAGGTGTTGAAGGGTGGGCTGCCACTTACGGTCTCGTGGGTGTTCTCGACGTGGAGGTTGCGGCGGAGCATGGGAGCCTGCTGCTGGCGGAAAGCGGTGCGGGCAGAGCGCACGGTCTGGCGGGCGAGGATGGACATGGCGAAAATGTGTTGGGTCGACGATAGAACTGTAGAAGATCACGGTGGAGCAGCGACAAGATGATGGATCCCTGATGGCGACGGAACCTCTTTCGCTCCTCTCAGCGCGCGGCCGCACCGCTCATCCCGAAAGGCCGCCTGGGCTGGATGCCAGGCTTAGGCCAAACTCGGGTGCGAATTTCCAAGCGTGGATTATGTCAGCCTGACAGGGGAGGGTAACTCGTGGAATCACGTGCGGCCACCTTTTTTTTGGAGGCGCCATTGTGGAGAAGCGCCCAAAAAAGCAAAATTTCCATGCTTGCCGAAGCAGAGAAACTCGACCCTTTATGCTCCTCACCACCGGCACCGATCCTAGACGCAATCGCCTCTACCACCCTCGCTCGTCAGTCTACTCGCATCTCTGATCGCATCAGACCACCTACATAGACAGCCTCACCGCGAGAAGCTTGCGCCAGTTTCAACATGCCGGGCAAGCCAGAGGCATCGTCGTCGTCCGCCGACGCCAACAAGCCGGCCTCGGGCTCGTTCAAGCACGTCGGCAACAAGATCAAACGCACCGAGCTGTACCGCAAGTACAAGGCCGAGAAGCGCAAGTCGAAGCTCGCCAGGCGCTCCGCACAGGCCAAGGAGGAGCGCGGCGAGGACGGTGCGGCCAAGAAGGCGGCACGTTTGGCCGCCAACAAGACGCGCACCATCGAGAACACGCGCGACTTTAACCCGACCATCATCAATGCGCCCAACACGCACGAAGGACCCGGTCCAAGTAACCTCGGAAAGAAGAAGGCGGATGACGAGGATGACAGCAACGACGACGATGAGGAGGAGGGTGATGCCGAAGAGGAGATGCAGGAGCAGGAGGCATCGGAAGAGATCGATGATGACGAGGACCCTAGCGCGCCGCCGGCGATCTTGATCACCACGTCGATGCCGTCTTCGTCCACATCGCCGCACCTCGAGTCGCTGAACGCACGCTCGCATCCATCGGAGCGCACGCGCGAGTTTGTCGACGAGCTGCTCTCAGTCTTCCCCGGTGCCGAGTACCGACCGCGTGCGAAAGCTCAGGGGGTGGGGCTGGGCAAGATCTGCGGGTGGGCGCGTGAGCGACGGTACGATGCGGTGCTCGTCGTGGGTGAGTCGCGCAAGGAACCTTTCGCGCTCACGGTGATCCAGCTGCCGCACGGGCCCACAGCGTTCTTCCGGCTCACGTCGATCAGCACGGGCGCCGAGATCTACGGCAAGGCCCGCCCCACGCCGCACACGCCCGAGCTCATCCTCAACAACTTCACCACCGTCCTGGGTCATCGCGTCGGCAAGGTGATGCAGGGCCTGTTTCCCAAGATCCCGCAGCTCGAGGGAAGGCAGGTTGTTACGTGCCACAACCAGCGCGACTATATCTTCTTCCGCCGTCACCGGTATATGTTCAAGAGCGACTCCAAGACCGCGCTGCAGGAGATCGGACCGCGATTTACGCTCAAGCTGCATAGCCTCAAGGAGAGCCTGCCCAAGGGCGCGGGCGTGTGGGATGGCAAGTACACGGCAGAGTATGCCGAACTCGAACCCGAGGAGCTCGAGGCGATGCAGAGTGCAGATGCCAACGCAGAGGCAGAGGCAGATGCAGAGGCGGCGGCGGGGCAACAGCACGGCAGCAGCACAGCCAACGACTCGCAAGCGCAAACAGCATCAGCCTCGTCGAACAAGAAGCGCCAGCGCGGAGAAGAAGACACCACCGGCCTCGACTTCCAGTGGCGGCCCAAGATGTCGGTCTCGCGCCGCAACTTTTACCTCTAAGGCTACGATCCGCTCTTTGTCCGCGTACATGTACTTTTATCGTTTTGCAATCGTGTCTTGATTTGTCCAGTCGTGCGAGTGTCTTGCTGGCAGTGGGTGTCGTGGCTCTGAAAGTTGTGGCGAATTGGTGGTGGAGCTTTTTTGGAAGAAAGTGCATCGCGTGGGGGGAGGTTCGAGAGTTGGACCCTGAAGTTCTGCGCGTTGCTCCACCGGGCCGACTCCGTCTCGATCGTCTGCGCGACCACCATCTTCGACGCTTGCACGCTTGCGGTGGTTCGGCACAATGAACGCGCAGCTGCTGAATCCGTTTACGATCGACATCCCGGACTCGGTGGCGAGCACGATCGAGGCGGCCGAATGCACCACGTGCGTATTCAACCACGGCCTCAACGCACTCCACGGCCAATACCTCGCCGTAGGCCGCAGCGACGGATACATCACCGTCTGGGATGTCGAGACCAAGTCGGTGGTACGCGTGCTTTCGGGCCACGTGCGTGCGGTCACCGCGCTGGCTTGGTCGTCGTACAACCGCTATCTCGCCAGCTGCAGTGCCGACTGGAACGTCATCGTCTGGGACCTCGCTGCCAAGTCCCACCCCGGCCCAGCACTGCGTTCCGCACCCTCAACATCCGCAGTCCCACGCGAATCGAACGGCGAAAGTGCAGGCGTGCAGGCGGGGTCGGAGCGCAAAGTGACGCTGCGGTTCGACTGTCCCGTTGCATCGGTGCAGTTCGCACCAGGGAATAGCAAGAAGCTCCTCGTGGTGCTGGCGTCCAACCAAGCGCTGCTCGTCGACATTACCGAAAAGGTGCGCGTCCGGCGCCGGGCGGGAGCAGCGATCGAGGTGGACGATGCGGCGACTTCACCGGTCCGTATTGGGCTGCATACGGGTGTTGGGGCCGAGTCAACCGCCATCACCGCAGCGCGCTTCACCCCCGATGGAAAGTTCATTGTTGCGGGCACGTCAAAGGGCAGTTTGCTGGTGTTTGACTCGCAGACGGGGGTGCTTTTGGACGAGAAATCCGTCCTCGCCACCACGTCGGGTGTCAAGAAGCTCGCCTTTGACGCAGCGGGTCGGTTGCTAGTGGTCAACTGCAACGACCGCGCGCTGCGTGTTCTGGCTGTATCCACCACCGACCTCGGAACAGGGGTGGAGGATGAGCGCAGTACAAAACGCAGACGCACGTCGTTGGAGTTGACACTGCAACACAAGATCCAAGACATGATCCAACGCACCGCCTGGAACGACCTCGGCTTCTCGCCCGATTCGGACTACATCTACGCCGGCGCAGCTCACAAGGCAGCTCACAACGTCTACGTGTGGGACCGCACATCCGGTACGCTCGTCAAGATGCTCGAAGGACCCAAAGACTGGCTTGTGGGGGTCGACTGGTGTCCCCACCGCCCAATGCTCGCATCGGCCAGCAATACCGGTACGATTTATTTGTGGTTCACACCCGCCGAGGAGATCTGGAGTGCCTATGCACCAGGATTTGAGGAGCTCGAGGAGAATATCGAGTACGAGGAGCGGGAGGATGAGTTTGACTTTATCGACGACCAGGACTCGAAGGATCGCCAGAAGCAGCAGGAGCAGGAAGCGGCGCATGTGCGCATCCAGCCACACTCGCTCACCGCCACAACCACACGCGCGACACTCGATCCAGACCATCTCTTCGACACACTCAACATTCCACACCAACAAAGAGGACAGAGAGACTGTGTGGCATTCCGAGCGGTGGCGCAGTATCTACAGCCCATGGATCCCGCGTTAGAGGACACAGAGGGGGTGGTGCTTTCGCGCGCCGACGACGACACCGCCGAGCTGTTCGTCATCCCGCCACGTCTCGAGACCGACCACTCCGACTTCCACCACGATCCCTGATTGCAATCGCAGCGCTAGAATCCAAACACGGCGGCTGAGCGCGGGTTGGTGAGCGCATGCATAGCGTCCTTCCTAAACGTATCGGGCACAGTGGTGACATTGCCGCCCTTGAGCTGCAGCACCTCGCCCGTCGTATACCTGGTCCAGGGCAGACTCGACAGCCTGCTCGGATCGTGATAGTACGTAAAGCTAACGTACGACCTGGGCATCTGCTCGGCGAGCTGCGGATCCTTTTGCCTCCCATCGGGTCGGATGAAGAGGTACTTGAGTTCCGAGCCGTGGAACGCGCCCAGAGCCGAACCCGTTCCGTTGGGGTACATATCGTTCTGCCTGAACTCGAACGACCACACGTTGCGGCTGTTCTTCCTGGCCCCGCCCACCGCAGCGTGCAGGTAGGTGCGTCGATGCGCGTTGAAGGTAAAGTCGCCAAAGAACGCCGCACTGCGCTTGTACTGATTCGACTCCAGCGGCGGGTACATCCTCGACCCCACATCCAGCGTAGCCGCCGAGGTGCTCGTGCCCTCGTTGGGGTACGGTGACCCCTGAACGGGGTCGTCCGGGTAGAGCTCGAATACGCGCTGCAGCGCGCGCTCGGTGTAGGTTGTGTTGTAGATGACGGCAGCGCTGCGCACCCACGTCTCAAAGTCGGCGCTCGAGTTGAGCGCCTTCTGCGCGAAGAGCGTACCCTCATCCAGCGCATTGCCCGAGATCACGGGGATGTCGGCGAGCTTTCCCTGCGCCAGGTTGACGCTCGGATAGTCGGTGATGAGCGTGTAGTCGACGAGCGGCAGAAACGCAAGTGCGCCGGGGACGGGGAATGTCCCGCCCGCCTTGGCGGTCAACTGCATGCCGGTGCTCTGGACCTGCGTGGCATTTGCGCTCCTCAGACACTTGAGCAGCGGCGCCTGTGTGCATCCGACACCCGCAGCGAGCTGTTCAAACGTGCTCTGTACGGTCGGATGTTCCGGGGTGAGCAGCGGACCCGGTGCGATACCACCCGAGTCCATAATGGCAGCATGAAACAGGCCGTGGGTGTTTCCGTCGTACGCGAACGTCTGCAGCGCTACACTCATCGCGCCCGCCGACTGTCCAAAGATCGTCACTCTGCCTGCATCGCCTCCGAAGCGCGCAATGTTGTGCTGCACCCACTTGAGCGCGAGCCTCTGATCGTACAACCCGGCATTCGGCGTCCCATCCGCAACCACCTCTTTGCCACCGAGGAAGCCGAACGGTCCGACGCGGTAGCTGATGGCGACGAACACGATCGGCTTGCCCATGGCCGCACTGCGCGCCACGAGCTCGCTCGCATTGTACGCGGGCGTGCTTCCGGCGAAGAACGCGCCGCCGTAGATCCACACGAGCACAGGCAACTTGGCGCCCGCCACCACGCCCTTGGGACGGATGACGTTGAGGTTGAGGCAGTCCTCGCTCATGTTGAATCCCGCCGGCGGCTGCATGCAGATGTCGCCGAATTGCGTCGCGTCGATCACGGCGTCCGAGGCGTCGACGGGCTGGGGACGTGCGAAGCGCAGATCGCCCACGGGCGGCTTGGCGTACGGAATGCCCAGGAACTGGTCGAGTTGGTAGGCGTCGTCGACCATACCCTTGACGGTGCCCTGAGGGAGGTGGACCGTGGGCTGGGAGCAAGAGGTGGCGGCAGGAAGTGCAACGACCAAGCGCATCGCAGCCGCCGCAGCCAGCAGCCACACTGAAGCAAGCCGCATGTTGAGTCAAGACAAGAGGAGCGGTTGAGAGGATGAGGAGGCTTGAGGGTCAGTCGGCGAGGTCCCGACTAGACGTCGCTTTTTATGTCTTCGCGAGGCAGCATGAGCATGTGCTGTCAAAGCGCGCTGCTACAGCCGAGAGCGAAGGAAGCGCTGGGGGTGCCGACGGTGGGGGGGCGAGTGGCCAAAGACGACGGCGAACTGCGCCGGAGCGTGAGTGAGCTCGCTAGTGGCAGCGCGCATGTGGCCAAGGCTGTTGAGCGTCGGCGCATCCGAGGCTGCGGGACCAGCCGTGTTTCAGCGGTGCTTGCACGCCTCTGCGCCGGCGGCCGAGCGCAGAATGACAGCCACCGACCCTCATCGCAGCCTGGCTCGCATCTATTCTCCTAACGGCATGGTGTTTGGCTTCCCCTGCCATGCGGGGTAACCCTGCATACGCCGCAACCACCACGTCCATGTGGGGCGAGGGTTATGGACGTTGCAGTGTGGGGACATGGTTTTGACAGCCGTCATGGGGCGGAGTCTTTGCGTCGAGTGTGGGGTGCGGCCAAGCGAGGAGGATGGGGTGCATTGCGGCCGAGATGCACTCGACGCCGGCGATGGCAGTCGGCCGGTAGACGCTGGAAATGGCGGATCGGCGAATTCGGCTTCAGGGTCCGCGCACCGCCATCCGCATGGCCAGCAGCTAGAAGCGAGCGTCGTGGGGCGAATGCGGTTGGTCCATGCATCGACAGCTGCTCCACATCGGCAGACCACCGCTGCATCGCCGGCGCGCGAAACGGACCAGCACCATACGGCTGTTTCCGAAGAGGGACGGCATGAAGCGGGTGCAATACAAGACGGCTGTAACAATGGCGCCGAGGATCAATGGCGGTATGGCCGAGGATCAACCTCGCTTCTTTTGTCTTGTCACATGCGCCCGAGGGTTGCCTTTCTCTCTGTCGGCATGCCAAGCCGTCGTTGCGACAAGAAGAACAGTTCAGCTTCGAGAATGCATGGCTCGCTTGCTCTTTGTCCGCTGTCCAACAGCGCCAGGTGGTTGTATCGTGAGCACAAGAATGGCTGCTATTGTTCATGTCGTTCATGTCAGAGGGGCCACCTTATGCGTGCTGCTTGCTCTTGTTGCCCATGAGAGCAGGAGGATCGACGGATCGCTGGTCGGCATGTGCGACGTCGATTTGCGGATCAGGCAACGATCGGCCGTAACGGATCGGGGCATCGGTGGCCAGGATTCATGCGTCGTGGTGCAAGGTCGGCATTGCACCGAGGATGCTCCTGTGATTTTGCTGGTTGGAGCATGTACGAGCGTGGGTGGGTTTGGTGGTAGCGAGGCTGGCTGGCAGCTCCCCTCTCCGCCCTCTCTCGGCCCTCTCTGCCTACAATATTTTTGGCAGCTGCCCATTGGTGTGTGTCTGGGTGTGTGTGCGTGCATGTGATTGGTAGCCTTTCATTCCGTTTGGCTCCACACAAAGTTATCGGCCAACGCCGACCCAGACGGGCCAGGCCGAGATGGCAGTATTCGCAGCTCGGACGGGTGTTCCTGACGCGCGACATCTGGCTTTTGCAAGAGAGGTGAGAAAGCCGCGCGTTGGCTCGGGTCGAAACTTGCGCCCAAAGCGTCGCGCACTCGAGCTGCGCACGGGGCGTCGCGCGCTCAAAACAGCACACCCAAGGCGGCGGCGGGTCCAGACCCAGCTGCGCCCGCACATTGCCCAAATTCCGCATGAAGCCACTCTGGATGGCTCAATTTCCTGCCAAAGATCTCGGAGATCCGTCCGCTTTTTCCCTCTTTTCGCTCCATGCCTCTTGCCCTCTTTCCCTTCTGCAGCCGGGCCAAGCAAGCGCGCGTCAAGTCAAGTCAGGCCCACAAGCGAGAGAGAGAGCGAAAAAAGAGGCGCCTGTATGCTCGTCTTGGCTCGCCTACTCGGCCGCTCCTTTCCCGAATCGGCTCGAGGCATGGGGGGGGGGGGGGGGAGGGGGTAGGCGGCGTGGGGGGTGCGGGGGGTGGGGGGGGGGGGGGGGGGGGGGGGGGGGGGGGGGGGGGGGGGGGGGGGGGGGGGGGGGGGGGGGGGGGAAGGATGACTACGGCTGCACAGTGAAATTCATTTGACTCATGAGCGAGGCAGCCTGGCAACCTATCGGATGCTGCATGCTCGGCCGTGCCACTCTGCATACATGGACGGCGCTTCAGCCAGGCGGCCAGCCACAGTAGAGATGCTGAAGATGGCATAATCTGCCCGACTGTGCACTGCATCGGCTGCCACTCGTCTGTGCGATTGCGAGCGGCCACCGAGTAAGTTGGTGTGGCAGCAACAAGCAGCAGCTGAGGATTGCACAGGGTCTCATCCAGCCGAGCCACACGCGATGCGATGCGATGCGATGCGATGCGATCCCAAGCCTCGACCTCATCCTCGACTTCATCCAGATCCATCAGCCCCTCCCTGCCTCCTTCGCACCGCGCATTCACTTGAGCCACACACATCCTCGCCCATCCTCTCCCAATCCTGCTGCACATCTCATCGAGTTCACCTCGCCTTACACCGCGCCCACCGCATCTTCAAGACTCTGCGATTGCTCTGCAGGGCCGGCAGCCTCCGTTCGCCCCGAGCATGCCTCCGTCGCCCTCCGCCACCTAGATCCCCACCTTCCACATCCATTCATCCCAGCATGTCCGAGTCGTCGTCCAAACCAACCATCAACACGCGCATGCCCAAGGGCGCAAAGCGTCCAAAGACCTCGCGTGCCTGTCTCGCCTGTCGCAAGCTCAAAGCAAGGTGCGAGCCCGCAGGAGGCGCAAAGGCCGCCCCCGCAGACGATCCGCAACCCAGCTCCCTCTCCTTTGTCATCTGCCATCGATGCAAGACGCTCTGCATAGACTGTCTCTACGAGACCCCCGCCGGCGAAGTCGTCCAGGGCGAAGACGTTCAGCCTGCCATCTCGTCGCCCTCCCCCGCAGAAGAGCACAACCGCGCGCCACGCTCCTCCAAACGCTCCCGCCCCGAGGAAGCGCCATCCTCGGATCCCTTCAGCAACGACCGCGCCGTCTTCCTCTCGCCCGCCATCTCGCCTAGCAGCCTCACCCGCTCCATCTATCGCGACGTAGAGATATGCTCGCTCAACACGCTCCAACCCGCCTACCTCGAGCGGCCCGTCCTGCCCGCCAATGCGCTGTCGCGCTTGATCGGCTCCAACCCCGCTCTCAAACGCGACGCTCAAGACTACATCCTCAACCTCTCCGGTGCCTTTGGCTCCGGCTCCACACACAGCTGGAAGCAGGCTCCGCCAGACCTGTGCGCAGGCAAGGCCGCCGCACGTCTCATGGCCGGCCACGCGCCCCTGCCAGCCTATCCTCACGACGAGCTCGAATATCTCGCCCGCATCCTTCGGCCCCACGAGCACCAGCTTCGCATCCTCTTCCACGGCCTCTACGGCGCCTTTTCCCCCTTCCTCTCCACGCCCTTTGAGGACTCGCTCATCCTGTCCAACGCACAGTCCGAGGCACAATCCTTTGTGCTCCTCACCATCTACCTCGCCGCCTTCCCACACCTCGAGGCCTCCCAACCCATCGCGCAAGCCAAGGCGCCGCTCCGCAAGGCCATCGATGCGCTCCTCCGGCGTGCCATCCAGAGCCCGCAGAGCGACCACCTCAACATCTTTGCCCTGCACAACTGCGCCTCCTTCCTCCTCCTGCCCGTCGATGGCCTCGCCGAAGACTGCCGTCCCATCTCCACCCCAGAGCAGGAGGTCGACGGCTTGCTAGAGTTTGCCTCGGACCTCAATCCGAGAGCCACGATCATCACCGCTCTCATCGTCGCCCAGAGACTCGGATACGCCAGTCTCGCCGCCCGCCTGCCCTCGCTCCGCCAGTCCTTTGACGTCGATTCGCCGCAGAACGGATACCCGGGCGACTCGACGCGCGACGAGTACGCGCACGCCGTGCTGTGCACCTTCACCTGGCTCACGCTCCTCCAGTTCCGCGCCTCGATCGACGTCGCCGAGGATCGCGTCGAGTGGGATTCGCTCGCTCAGTTCGAACGCGACATCCCGCGCGTGCGCATCGACGCCATGACGGCAGCGCTTCAACCGCCGCCCGCCTTCCTCTCGCCTCGCGAACAGAGCCGTTGCTGCTGGATGGCACAGCGCGCCGAGCTCTACGGCATTGCGCGCGACCATCGACACACCAAGCGCGCCGCCGCCTCCTTCACCAAAAAGGAGGCCGAGGACCAGGCCATGGGCTACAAAAAGGCGCTCGACGAGTGGCGCTACAAGTTTGGCGAGCAGATGCGCAGCATGAGCACCGAGTTCCGCAAGGATCCGCGCGGCCTCGGCCTGCATCGCTTCTACTCGATCTTTTCCAATGCAGAGGCGGCTTCGCTCCAGGTCGCCATCGGTTCGGTCTATCACAAGGAGTTTGTCGCCGATATGCGCCAACGCCTCGCCGAACCGTTTTTCGGCGACGGTCTGCCCTGGAAGTCGGCGGCAACCATCCTGCTCGGCCACGAGGAGGACCAGCTGACCAAGGCGATCCTCATCAACTTTGCCTTTACCGATGCCATGCTCAAGGCGATGGGCCTCATCTCGAGCCTCACGCCCGTCATGCCGCAGCTGTACGACTTTGTCTCGTACGAGGAATCGGCCGGCAGCGAGATCCCTTCGCTCTGCATTGTTGCACCGCCCAACCTCCAGGCGGGTCTGTTTGCAGTGCCGCTGCTTGCGGCGGCCGACCTGCGTCTGTCGGTGATCGAGACGTGGGGTGCCAGCGCGTCCTACTTCAACCACCACGTCATGCCGCTGCTCACCAACTGCGTCAAGTCGCTGCGTGCGTGCCACGTGAACGTGGATCTGCCGGGCGTGCTCAAGATTCCCTTCGCCACCGCCAATCCGATCGCCGACTATCTGCAGGGGCCGTTTGAGATCCTCATGCGCAAGGTGGCGTCGGCCGAGGAGCGGTTGCAGATCTCGCACGTCGAGAGCATCCTCAACAATTCGTTCTTGCTCTCGAGCAAGAAGAAGCAGATCGAGACGGTGGCGGAGGAGCTTGCGCCCGATGTGCCCGAGATGGTGCAGGCGATTGCCGACAGCAAGAAGATCGAGGACGAGATTTCGGCCGCCATGATGGGTGCGCTGAATGTGCAGTCGATCCGCGAGATTCAAGATACGGATTTTGCGGTCAAGGTGTTTGGCTCCGATCTGCGCGAGGGCGATGTCAAGGCGATTCGCAAGCCCGGACGCAACGGGAGCAGCTCGGCGACGACGCCCGATGCAGAGAATCACCGCAGGGGTCCGAGCAACGCACGCTCGAGCAGTGTCGAGAGCGAGCAGACGGGAAGTCCTTCGGTGTTGACGCACTCGTCCAAGCAGAGGACGCCCATGCATCGCAGTGTGCGCTCGGTCGCCAATGCTTCGCAGTACTCGAGCCCGAGCTCGTCGACGCAGTCGGGCAACGCTGCGCTGCCGGAACCGGCGGTGGTGTATCACAAGGATCCGGCCGTGCCGCCACAAGGGCTGGAGCAGACTCCTGCTATGGGGTATGCTCATCCTCCCACAGCGTACGAGGCTTCGGTGCTGCAACCACCGTCGCAGCCGCATGAGCAGGCATTAGCGTCATCGTATGCACCCATCTCGCAGACGACGCATGCGGGACCGACGTACGCGCCTGCATATGCCGAGAGGAGCATCGATGCACCGCACGGCTACTCGGGTCCCGCTTCGGGCGTGCATGGCATGGATGCGTATGCGTCGTATCCCAACGAGCGGTATCCCGCCGAGAGCGTGCTGGGTCTCGATGCCGGGCATGCGAGTGCGGCAGTCACGACAGGCACGGGCACAGCCGACGTATACGCCTACCGGTCCGATGGCGACCATGGTCCGGTCCCAATTCACAGTGCTGCGGGGTACGACGGAATGCAGAGACAGGGAGCCAAGGCAGAGGGTACAGGGTATGACGGTTATGGGAATGTGCCGCAGGAACAGCCTCAGGTGTCCGAGCCCTGGCAACAGCAGCATGCACAGCAGCAGCAGGGGTACGGTGGTGCCTACGGTGGGGACGCAGCGTCGGGTCAAGCGTACTATGGCCAGCAGGTGAGCGAGCAGCAATATGCAGAGCCGTATGCGCCGGTGTACGATCAGGCGCACTACCAGGTCGGGCAGGGACAGCACCAGGTGGCGCAGGGGCAGCATGGCTCGACCATTTGGGACGCGTGGAATTGGACGCCCGGCCAGGATCAGCCCCCGCATCACCCGCACCCGCACCAGCAACATGGTCATCACCAGCAGCAGCACCAGCAGCACCCGCCTCAGCAGGGCCAACATCATCACCATCAGCAGTACCGAAACTGAAACCTTGGCGCCAATCTTGTTGCGGGACAACGCCGTGGTTGCGCGGTAATCTTATTCGTTGGCGGTGTATCTCACGAACGAAGGACTGGTGAAAGTTGGTTGTGGGTGAGAGCGGATGCAGGACGCGTGGCAGCAAGGGCCGGGTGCAATTCGGCGCGCAAACTTGAAAGTCTGCGCGGGTGTTGTTGATGGAGACTTTGTGCCATTGTTTGTGACTGGAGTGCATGTGGCAAGAGATTCTCTCACAGCGGCAAGACGGCTCACACGCAGCATATCTGTGCATCTCGCTTTGGATTACCAGGTGGGGGAGTTGGACTAGTCGGAGCCTGTATCCGAGGCTTCGTCTGTTGCTAGTCTAAAGAACGCCGCCACTGTGGCGTGGAGTGCCGGCATGAGGCCCCACCTTCCCACAGCCTGATCCTGCTCCTCATCCCCCCACCCCACAATCCCATCCTGCTGTACCGCAACCTTGCAGAGGTGCTTGAATTCGTCCCCGAACTGTTGCAAGAACGCAGATGCCGTTTCGTCCATCAACTTTCCTGGTACGTTGGGTTCAGCGTCTAGCTGTGGCACTGCATGGCCGTAACGATTCCAGACAATGCGGAAGCGCAGTGTTAGCGATGCACCGTGGGTGTTTTGCAGGACGAGTGTTTCGGCATCGGCAGCGATGAGTGATCGACCTAGGGTTTCGTCGACTCGGGACGAGGCGCGCTTGCGTGAGGTGCCCGGTGGATACCAGGGCGCAAAGTCAACCCCATGTGTGGATTCCCAAGCCCGAATGTGTGATCGCACCAAGTCGGTATACGACTCCATGAGCGATGTAAACATGTTGCGCCGCAACGCCAGCAGTGGCACCATTGTACGCAGCATGAGCATTATAGCCGGTAAATCGTTACGTTTGACCAAGCGGGAAAACAGCGTGTGCGGGGTGTTGAGCGTAGTTGAAAGCCAGCTCGGAATGTCGATTGCCAGACGCTGGACCGCAGGAGAGGAACCAGAGTCGTCGATGACGAACCGGATATCGATCGGAAAAAGTCGTGCAAACGATCCCGCTAGGTGCACACTTCGACCCTCGCCAGAGGATCCTTGGTCGAGAGTGTCGATGTCGAGATAGGAGAACTGGGCGAGCGACTGAACGAGCGCATTGGAGCGGCGCTGTCGATCTAGCAGCCAGGTGTTGACGGACGCTACATGTCGGGTTCGATGCAACTCGTTCTCCACCCCTGCGCTCTGGGATAGCGCAATTCGACGGTCGATATCAGCCCCACTACCTGTGCCCTCCACACCGACCGACTTGCTGGGTACAAGCCCTGTGTCGACTGCGGTCCAGGATGCGGAATCCGCACCCGCAATCACGCGCGCCAGACTGTGCACCGACGCACCCAGCAACGCGGTAAGCGCATCGTCGTCCATCTGGCGCAGCTTCTCCAGCAGAGTCGTGCGCACCTCGTCGCGCGTTGCATCGGTGGCGCGCTGCTTTTCCAGCTGCCGCTGCGTCGAACGCCTCCGCTCGCGCTCCGCCGCTATCGCTCGTCGAAGCTCATCGATCTCCAGTTCGAGCTCTTCCGTGCGCTCCAGCAGCACACTCCGATCGCTCGTGGACGTGTTGGACCGCACAGAACCCGGCGTATCCACCGGCGCCCGCCGCCGCGAAGGCGTCTGTGTCGGCGTCTGTGACATACTCCACCACCGTAACTGCGTGCAGAGTAGATGCGCCTGTGAAAAAGGTGGGTGTCCAAATCGAAAAGAATGGAAGGCTGTCGTCAAAGATCGTCGAGTGCGCTGGGGTATATGGTGGATGGTGCGGGGCAGAAGACGGCGTTGGTGAGGTGTTGTGAAGCTGCGAATCATGGAGGTGTTGCCGACCTCTCTGCAGGGTCGGACGGGCGCGGCGCGCGACGCGTCCCAACTCTAAACACCGGTTAAGCAAGCAAATTTGGATGATAATGTTTCAATTCTTCCCGCAGGCCAACGCGGGTTGTATGGAGTAGTTGGTTAACTTAGGAGATTCTGATCGAGCGCCTCTGCAGGTGCCGGGTTCGATTCGACTTCTCTTGCCCTGGGTTCGAATCCCAGTACGACCTCATTTTTTTTTGGCGCGGGCCACCCATCTCTTTTTTTTTTCGACCGAAGCGTTCATGGCACAAACGCACACACCCCGCTGGAACTATCCCAGACAAGACTGAAAGCACACACTCTGCTGCGTGATGCGAAAAGGTATTGCAGTGCATGTGTAGCAAGTGACGAGTATAAACACTTAAAAACGGGAACGCTTGTTGGTGGCTCCAGGTGCGCCAGCCTGGCGTTTGCGTTTGGGTATCGCCGCATTGGCGCCCGAGCCGGAGGGGCCAAAGCCGATGCCGACGGGCATGTCGCGCTTCTCCTTCTGTGCGTTTTTGCGCCTCCTTCTCTCGAGCGCCTTTTTGAGCTGCTTCTTCTCCTGGCCCGAAGCCCTGCGCCCTTCGCCATCGCCCGCACCCGCGAGCCGGTCGTACTTGTCCTTGAGCAGCATCTGCTTGATCTCGCTCTTCTTGGGGTAGAACGGCTGGAGGCCCTTATCGACGCGCTCCTTGTTTTGCGTCTTGATGCGCGCCTTGACCGTGGATTCCCTCTGGCGTCTCTCGCGCTCTCCGGCCAGACCTTCTGCTCGGCGTAGCGCGGCTTCGACCTTGGCGCGCTCGTCGCGGATGGCCTGTGCGTGCTCCGACTTTGCCTTGGGACCGGCCTGGGTGGCTTCCTGCTTCTTGAGCTTGGCGAGCGTCTTTTTGAGCGTGCTCAGCTCGTCCTTGAACATGTCCGGGAGGAACGAGTAGGACTTGGAAAAGAGGTCCTTGTTCACGCTGCCGCTGAGCGACTCGAAGCGCGGATCGCGGATGTGCGCGCTGGGCGTGTCGACAACACTGCGACGGCGAGAGACGGGCCGCTTGCTCGAGATCTCGGTGGGTGCATTCTTGTTGGCACGCTTGGCGAGTTCTTTGCGCTCGTTGTCCTTGCGACGCTGCTCGCGCTGCCGCCGTGCTTCCGCCCAGGCATTGTCGCCTTCGCTCGAAGGGCCGGCGGCGTTGCCGTTGAGCTGACGCAGACGCTCGCGCACTTCGCGCCGCTTCTGCTCGAGCGCCTCGTCCGCATCCGCAGCCGAAGCTTTCGTCTTGCCGCTACGCGCAGGTTGCTTGCCAGCTGTCTGACGCGCGAGGCGTCGACGGTCTTCGGCAAATTCGTCCTCTTCCAGATCCGAGATGTCCGGTTCCGAAAGTTGATCGCTGTCCGAGCCATCCATCTGACGACGTGCCTTCATGAGCGCCGAAAACGGGATCTGCTTCATCTGCTGCTTGAGCGCGGCCTCGTCAAGGTCGGAGCCAGCCTCGTCGCTGCTGTATTGCGCCTGGCCATCGTTGCTCGCGTCATCGTCCAAGCCGTCGCTGTCACCGTCATCATCGTCGTCGTCGTCGGAGGCGGCTTCGAGATCCGAGTCGTCCATGAACTGTGCGTACTTCGGCTGCTGCTGCTCCTCCTCCTCTTCATCGTCTTGCGATTCCGCGTCGTCGTTACCGTCAGCAGCATCGCTCGAGTCAGACGCATCGACGTCCGAGTCGAGCTCGCTGGCCGAGTCGAGGTTGAGCGAGCGGCCGTCATCGCCGTCCGAGTCCTGCTCGAAGACGGGCGCGCCCTTCGGCTTGCGATGCGATGCTGCGGCACCGTTCGCCGCTGCCCTTTTTGCCATGGTTTCAAGGCAATCGGCGCTGAGGTCTGAGCAAGTTGCGAGGTGCAGTAGTGGTCGAAGGGTCTGAAGAGTGGAGGCGCTCTCGGGCGGTGTCCCACTTTTTTTTCTTTTTAGGCTCGGCCCAAAATGTGGAAACGGACAAAATTTGGCCGCCGAGCAGTCAGGGTTCGGTCTTTTGGAGGCGGAAAAAGTTGGCCGCCACCTCCAAGCCTGTGATTTTTTTTCTTTCTTCATCTTCCAGCTCCACTACCACCCAATCACCCCCGCTCGCAACCAGCACTTACAGCTGCGCATTTTGATACAAACCGCATCAGAGCATACATTCGACCCGTGCTTGGCGCAAACCACTATCATCATGGAGGCGGGTCCGTCCAGACCGTCTCGCACCGCGAGCGCATCTAAAAAGAATGGCCAGAAGAAGTCGTACCACAGCCAGGAGGCGCTCGACAAGCAGGCGCATTCCATCTCGGCCGCCACCTCGCTACCGCGCGCACTCGAGCGCTCGGCGCCCGCGTCGATGGCCGACGTCAAGCTGCCCAAGTCCGTGGCGGGCATCAAGGACAAGAAGCTCAAGAGCAAGCTCACGCACCAGCACCTCTCGCAGAAGCGTGCGGCCGAGTCGGCGCGTCTGGCCAACGAGTATCTCAACACCGCCGCGCCGGGCGAGGGTGCGGGCATGATCGAGACCGAGGGCGAGCTGGAGCGCACGTTCAAGGTGACGCAGGCGCAGATCAAGGACAACGTCGGCATCGACACGGCCAAGAAGGGGTTTGAGCTCAAGCTGGATGGCGGCAAGCAGGGGGTGGGGCTGGGGCCGTACCGATGCGACTACACGCGCAACGGCCGGCATCTGGTCATCGGAGGACGCAAGGGCCACTTGGCGGCGTTCGACTGGCAGACGGGCAAGCTGAGCTGCGAGATCCAGGTGCGCGAGACGGTGCGCGACGTCAAGTGGCTGCACAACTCGAGCTTCTTCGCGGCGGCGCAGAAGAAGTACGTCTACATCTACGACGACGCGGGCATCGAGATCCACAAGCTCAAGAACCACACGGACGTCAACCGGCTCGAGTTCCTGCCGTACCACTTTCTGCTGGCCTCGGTGGGGGCGACGGGCTATCTCAAGTACCAGGATACGTCGACGGGCACGCTGATCAGCCAGCACCGTACGGGGTTGGGCAACTGCAACACCATGACGCAGAATCCGCTGACGGCCGTGCTGCATCTGGGTCATTCAAACGGCACGGTGACGCTGTGGACGCCCAATCTGTCGACGCCGGCGGTGAAGCTGCTCGCGCACCGTGGGCCGGTGTCGGGCATCTCGATCGACGCGCGCAACGGCGGACGCGACATGGCGACGTGCGGCATGGACGGCACCATCAAGGTGTGGGACACGCGTATGCTCGGCAAGGGACCGCGGCGCGAGTGGCAAGCGCGCCGGCCCGCTTCGGACCTGCAGTACTCGCAGCGCGGTCTGCTCGGTGTAGCCTGGGGCCCGCACGTGTCGGTGTACGACACCAACGCTGCGTTGGGGAATGCGCCGCCGGGACCGTACATCACCCAGGGCTTTCCACGCGCCGAACCGCTGCAGGTCAAGTTCTGCCCGTTCGAAGACGTGCTGGGCGTCGGCCACGCCGCTGGCTTCACTTCGCTGCTGGTGCCGGGAGCGGGCGAACCGAACTTTGACTCGGCCGAGCTGGATCCGTTCGAGTCGCGCACGGCGCGGCGCGAGCGCGAGGTGCACCAGCTGCTCGACAAGATCGCGCCCGAACTCATCTCGGTCGACTCGAGCATCCTCGGCAGCGTGCGCGTGGCCGAGACCAACGTCTCGGCCGCCGAGCAGGAGCGAATTCTCGCCGAAATGGCACGACGCAATCCCAACGCAGTAGCGCGGTCGGCGGACGGTAGGTCGTACTCGCAGTTATCGCGCGTCGAACGCATGCAGCTCGACAATCCCGATGCCGACCCGATGGGCGAGGACGCCGAGTTTGTAGCCGGCACCGGATCGCTGGCGGAAAAGGTGGCTGCGCACGAGACCGCGCCCAAGAAGGAGAAGAACAGGATGAGGGGAAAGAATAAGGCGCTCAGCAGGTATCTGCGCAAGAAGCGCGAGAATGTTGTCGACCCGAACCGCATCGCGGTCAAGGCCAAGATGGAGCGCATGCGCAAACAGCAGCACGACGCACGCAAGCGTACAGCAGCAGCAGGATTGCCCGAAGGCTCGACCAGTGCCCTCGACATGTTTAACAAGCGATCCTAAACTGTGCTGGAATCCTAATCAATTCGTATTTTCAGAGGTATGCGAGAGAGAAGGGGGTTGTTACTGGAGAGAGAACTTTCCGTCGTTGAGGAGGATGCTAACGGTCGACTTGGTATCGAGACTCCTTCTACCCGCCTCGAGGATGGCGGTGGTAAGCACTGTGTCCCTAATGGTCGGGAGGACGGTATCGTAGTGCGCTGCGTTGCGTTCGTTGCGGTTGATGCGCGTGCAAGCGGTGACAAAGTTCTCGAGCGACAGATAGCCGTACCCATGCTGTCCTGCAAAGTACCCCTCCGCATCGGGGGTATACCGCATGTAAAACGGATTGAAGTCGGTGCAGCTTCCGCCCGTCACACCCTGAGCCGGATCCTCCTGAGTGAACTGATACCCGCGGCGGGCTTGGTTGATGCGCGTTTCGCCGTGGGCGCCTACGTAGTGGAAGTGCTGTTCCGAATGGACCCCTGCTCCCTGGGGAGCCGACCAGCTCGCTGTAAATACCGCCGTTGCCACTTTGCCCTGCTTGGCGCTGCCGTCCGAATCCACGATGGCAAAATCGACAAGCAGCGTGATGGTGTCTTCCGTGCCGGGGACGCATCCAACCGAAGTGGCGATACCTTGGGATGCAGAGGCGGTTACGCGGAGGGGTAGGGCACGACCAGCTGTCATCCAAAGACAGATGTCGATGTGGTGCGAATTGAGGTAGTACGAAATATCACTATCCCTGCCCGCCCAAGCCTTGAACGTCTCGAGCTGATTCTTGGGCTGGCTCATGTACGAGTAGAAGTAATTCATATCTCCCAGTCCACTCCTCGCCCTTTCCCTTGCATCCGCATACGCCGGATCGAACCGCTTATGATGTTCCACCATACAAAGCACGCCCTGCTTCTCCGCTGCCTCTACCAGCTTCTGGTGGTGTTCCAACGTTTGGGTGGCGGGCTTCGTGACGAGCACGTGGATCTTGCGTTGGATCGCGTACATCGCAATATCAAAGTGCGTCGAATCGGGCGTAAAGATCGTAATCGCATCGCCGGGCGCCAGAGAATCAATCGCTGCCTTGTATGCATCGCCATCGCGAACCCCAGCCTCGGGGTACGAGGTAAAAGCGGTGGAGAGATCGCGATACTTGTCCTCGATATTGCGCTTAAAGTGATCCCGGATGCCCGCAAATTTGTCACCGTTGGTGCCGACCATCTTGATCTCTGGTGCGATGAGCCCGCGACGACGCAGGTCGAACATCACCAGGCCCACCACGCCGAGCTTTTTGTCCGAGGGCGATTGCGAGTTGCCCACAAAGCCCGTGGTGTACTCGCCCGTGCCCACCGCAAGCACCGTAGGAAGACCGTTACCCGACATGGTTTCAACTAGAAGGAGCTGGAATGTATGTGGTGGAGGGATAGGGAAGAGAGGGGGGAAGCAGGCTTTATAGCAAGAAGAGGCGTGGGGGGGAAGGCGTCGGTGAACAGAACGGGCTGACAGCGGAAGAGCGGACCGTGGGGGACCGGGGCAGGAAATTCGCCGCCCAACCAGGGCCATGGGCACGCGTCTATTCCCCCCACGCCTAATTTTACTGCCCCCAAGAACCCCCACGTGCTGGCCCAACATGACCGAACCAACTGGCGCTCCACAGCATCACTTTGCCGTCCCCACCCCCCA